TGTTCCTTAGCAGGGGGCTCAGCCCCCCAATATTGAGGGGGCGGAGCATCAAAGGCAGGCTCTTCCTGATGGTGAGAGAGGAGGAGCAGCGGCCATTGAAGCTGTGCGGTGCTGGGCAAGGCTTTCTCCCAACAATGACATATTTTGAAGAGCAAAAAAGAGGACCCGTTTGCCGACTTAAACGTCTAACTATGGATCGCTGTGACGACTCTACCCAAGAAAAAGAGGATGTGTGCTGGAAAAAGAGGACGCATGGCAACCCTAATTGTAACATATGACTTGTTAACTGATTGGGACACTTTCAGAGGTCCCTGTGAAGAGGGAGTGGTTGTTAAACCACTCTGGGAATTGTAGGGCCATGAACAGAATGGAGGTCTCCTAACAACTCTGAGCAACCTTAATAAACCACAGTTCCTTGTATTTTGGGGGGAGGGGAGCCATGACTGTTTAACGTGGTATCGTGCTTTAAATATATGGTGTGAATGTGACCCTACTCTTCTTTCATCCAGTTCTTCTTCTTTAACTTTAAACCTGACTCAGGCCTGACAGCCCTTAATATAGAGATAGCCTCCTAGTTTAGATTGGACATCAAATGCTACTTTAGCCTGAGAGAACCTCTGCTTTGGGCTGGTCTTGGAATAGTGTTTGGTCCTAAGAGTAAAACCAAGTATTCCTTACATGAGCAAAGCTGTCTACCGTGTGAATTGTAAGTCCATGTAATTCAGTTTTAGAAAAAATTATCAGCTGCAAACAATGTGGAGTTATAACCCTGGGAATCTGCCCAGAAAATCAATTAAGAGAAAACTAAACCACAAAGCCATCAAGCCACGGGATATGCAAATATTATTGCTAAGGCTAGTCACATGGGGTTGAGATTTGTAATTCAAAACCTGGTTGATGGTGTCCAAGTCTGGATTTCAGTAGGGCATTTAATTTATTGACTATTTAGTCTCCCAAGATTAGTTTCCAGTACATCATGAAGTGTTGTCATCTAAGCAATCGTCAAGGCTGTAATGGCAACTGGCTTATCCTAATGCCATATCATGCTTAATTAGTTCTCCGTGTCTAACAGGGGTTACGACAGAGGAATGGTATGCAACTTGCCCTACAAACTTAAGGATTTAGTCGAGCTAGACACATATATCGCAGATGACACTGTGCATTATGCTTTGGAGCAAAACGAAGTTTCTTGGGCTTGAAAGCTCTGTGATGCTAATGCAAAAGTTTTCTCTCTCTTTGGGAAGAAACATTCAGCCCATTCTGCAGCTTCTCCCAGGCTGACTCTGCTGCACATCTCACATATTGCATTTTAAGGCCTCTGGCAATGGAACCCCAATGTCCGATGGTTGCAGCACCCTGCTAGACCCAGCAGAAGAAAAAGTGTTTGCACTCCACGTGTCTTTTCTCTCTGTAACCATCTGAATGCTTTTGGCCCCTACCCTGAAAACCATCCATTTTGCAAATGTGGGTGGTAGTTCATCCAGTCCTAGGTACATGGAATAAAATATAGCAACAAGAATTAAGAAATTACCCCAGTCCTGATGGTGCCAGACCACTGTTGTCCCGATGCGTGCATTGATAAAACACTCCAAGAAAGCAACCTCAATGTGATTGTAACCTGTGGCCTTGTGGTGGCTTAAGATAGAGATGGCTGTGTGGTGCTTTACCTACTGATCAAGAGTGCATGCATGCAGTCATTGAAACATTTCACAAAAGGAATCTTGCTGCAACGGCACGTAATGTCGAGATTGCTGTTTTGCGGTGTTTAATCAATGCACGTATGGGCATCGGCGGGAACTCCTGACTGGGGCACCCTCTCATTCCATCTTCTCAGTCTGACTGGGGCACCCTCTCATTCCATCTTCTCAGTCTGACTGGGGCACCCTCTCATTCCATCTTCTCAGTCTGACTGGGGCACCCCTCTCATTCCATCTTCTCAGTCTGAGCATCTTTTAAATCAGGCACAGATTGAGCTGCCTGCTCCCGCCCCTGGGCAATGATCTTAAATCCAGCTTCTACCTATATGGTAACAGCACTGGAAGACTCCACTTGGAGTCTGCTTTACAGATTGCATGGCTTCCAGAATGCAGCTGTATTGGACAATCCAGGACCATTAGGGCAAGCATGGGGAACCTCAGTTCTGGGACCCAACTATGACCCTCCTGGTCTATCTAGCTCTTCAAACTTTCTGCAGGCCACATCCTTCATCAGCTTTGCTTTGCACCCCCACCTCCGAGCGCTTTTCAAAGAATGTGTCCTTGAATTCTGATTGTGCTTTCGCTCGCCTAGATAGAGGACAGAGAGATGTGTGAATGTCTAGAGGTTTCCAGACAGTATACAAAGGTAAAGTTTATATTTGTTGCTCTGTCCTCATTTGCCTCTGACCTTACTCAGCTCTGCCATATGGCCTCCAGAAAGTTGCCATGACGGGAATGTGGCCCTCTGTCAGAAAAACCAAGGAGTGTTTAGACTGTGATTCCAGTGGGAAGTAGATAAACACTACGAGGATGCGGGTGGTGCTGTGGGTTAAACCACAGAGCCTAGGACTTGCCAATCAGAAGGTCAGCGGTTCGAATCCCTGCAACGGGGTGAGCTCCCGTTGTTCGGTCCCTGCTCCTGCCAACCTAGCAGTTCAAAAGCACACAGTGCAAGTAGATAAATAGGTCGGGAAGGTAAATGGTGTTTCCGTGCGCTGCTCTGGTTCGCCAGAAGCAGCTTAGTCATGCTGGCCACATGACCCGGAAGCTGTACGCCAGCTCCCTCGGCCAATAAAGCAAGATGAGCTCCACAACCCCAGAGTCAGTCACTACTGGACCTAATGGTCAGGGGTCCCTTTACTTTACTAGATAAACACTGCTTGTTTGTACTCTTCAGCCCGAGTTGAAGATTATCCCAAGAGCTCATGGCAGGCTGGCAATGACCTTCTGTCTCCTTTCCTGTAGATCTTGTACTTTAGTGGAAATTGTCTGGAACAGTGATGATGCATCTTCCATGCTCTACGAATGGAGTTGTGACTAGGATGTGAAAGGAGGCTGGGGAGAATTCCCCCACAGCCGTTATGCAAGCTCGATCTGTCTTTGTCTCCACCAATGTACTTTGTGTTAATGGGTTCATTTAAATGAGCCAGACTGAAATGCGGGGGAAGAATTGCTACCAGAGGGAGGCTGATTCATGAAGTGATGCTCTCGAAACTATTTCAGGTCCCCACAGGACAAGCCTGCTGCATCAGGCCAATGGCCCACCGAGTCCAGCATCCTGTTCTCACAACAGCCAACCAGATATCTTTTGGGAAGCTTGCAAGCAGGACATGGATGCAGCAACACTCTGCCCACCTGAGATCCCCAGCATCCTTTGGTGGTGCCCCTGCTGGTGTCAGCCCACAGCCTGTTCATGCTGACCCTCAGCACAAGCTTGACCAAGGAGGGATAAGGGAGAAACAGGCTGACCTCATGCCGCAGTGATTGGTAGGTACTACTCCCAAACTAAAGGGATGTGGGTGGCGCTGTGGTCTAAACCACAGAGCCTAGGCCTTGCTGATCAGAAGGTCAGCAGTTTGAATCCCTGCGACGGGGTGAGCTCCCATTGTTTGGTCCCAGCTCCTGCCAACCTAGCAGTTCGAAAGTGTTATGTACTGAAGTTCTCACCCTGGGTCAGCAGGGGTATACTATAGATAGTTTTCACTCAGGTCCACATATGCAAATAAGGGTTCAGTGATTGGATAGTTACAGAAAGTGGTTACTGTTGCGTTGTAGTGGAGCTCTATATAAGCAGGCTGGATGAACCCTCCTGTTCTGTTCTGGCCTGTGAATAAACAAGAGCTGTTTGAAGAATCACTGTGTCGTCTGATATGTTCACCCACAACTTAACAGAAAGCATGTCGAGTGCAAGTAGATAAATAGGTATCACTCCGATGGGAAGGTAAACGGCGTTTTCATGCGCTGCTCTGGTTCGCCAGAAGTGGCTTAGTCATGCTGGCCACATGACCCGGAAGCTGTCTGTGGACAAACGCCCGGCTCCCTTGGCCAGTAAAGCGAGATGAGTGCCGCAACCCCAGAGTCATCCGCGACTGGACCTAACGGTCAGGAGTACCTTTACCTTTACCATTTACTCCCAAACTAAGCCACAGCTCTTTGGATTTATTTCCACTCAGGTACTAGGGTGAATTGAGAGATGGTGGCAGCAGTAAGTGAGAAGTGTCACAGGTTAGTGTTGTCTTAAGACCACTGGCTTCATAGTGTGAATATCCAAGGTGAGGGTTCACTTTATTTAGGTGTGTGGTGGTAGGCCTCAATCCTGCTGCAGGTGGTCACGACAAAGTCCCAAGTAGATAAGTCATTATACTAAGTTCCAAGTCTTAGTCAGGGCCAGCCCTAGAATTAGGCAGTATGAAATGGCTTCCTCAGGCACTCATGCTGGGGAACGACAGGCAGCAGGATGTTGGAGGGCAGGGTGTCTGTGCACCACACAGCTTGCTCTCAGGTGACAGGAAACTATCAGCAGCCAGTCTGGTCAAGCTGGGTATATGGAATAGTAGGGGGTGCTATTTTGGAATGGAATGAGGGACACTATCTTGTCCTTCATCTCAGTCAGCATAATGTCTTGGGGTGGTCTTAGTCTTGGGCTGCTTACACATTACAAATTTAAAGCACATAACTTCCTGCAAATCATCCCAAGAATTGCATCTTACCCCTCACTCGGCTACAATTCCCAGCTTCCTTAACAAAGGAGTTCCCAAACTGAAGTTCCCAGGATTCTTTGGAGGAAGTTATGTGCTTTAAATGTACGGCGCATACACAGCCATCCTCACAGTTAACTGTTGGGCCTATAATCTTCCATCTCCGTCATCACGGAACAAGATGACTGAAATGTTACATTTAACTTCTGGCACAGAAGGTGGAAACAGCATCCAAAAGCCGAAAGCTTTTAAAATGACACTTTTATTATAGATTAATGTTTTCAAGGAAAATAAAGTCAGCTATGCCAAATAGCCAAGAAATATTGTTCAGTTAAAGCCTCTATATTTCACAAAAGCCTCTATATTTCGTTTCCTTTCTGAAAAGATATGCGAATACCTCAAGCCATTAAAAACAAAATAATTGAGGTTGGGGACAAAAACCAGCCAAACTCAATGTCCATCTGGCAAAAATCATTTAGGTCCCTTCTCCTCCAGTACAAAGTATTACAGAAAATGCATGTTGAAATGATGCCCACCCCGCCGTCAAATCAAGAAAAGAAAAGATTGGAGTTGAGGCTAATCATTGATAGAACAAAATATGAATAATAGGGGTTTCAAAGACATTTCCTTTCTGGCTGCCTTCCACAAGTTTTGTGTAATGCCAAACCGTTGAAAATATGACCGATTGTGTATTGACTTGGAACAGAACCAAATGGTGAGCAGAGCACAAGGTACCATCTGCACCACTTCAAATAAATTTCTGCCTGCAGTTTGCTTGTTTGAAAAAGCCCTCATGCCACTATTAGTTACAAAGTCAGCACATCATGTTGCAGGCAGGCCCAGGAACCTCCCTGAAGTGCTGGTTTGGGAATCTGAGTACAAAGGGTACATTCAGACCTGGAATGTTCCCGCCTGGAAAAAGTGAGATGATACACTCCTGTCTCCCTCCTGCAACATCTCCATCAGCATGGCCTCCAACAGGTCCAGGCCAAAAACCAGGACACACGTCGGAAGCAGTCTTCTACCAATTTAGACCATTCGTCTGTGTTAAGACGGGGACTTTCCCAGAGCTACCTGGAGATACTTGGGGTCGAATCTGGGACTTTTTCCACGTAGATGCTCTATTACACAGCTACTACACATAAGAGGGTCTCAAAATATGGCATGCAGACCTCTAGCAGTCCGCTTCCTCCATTCAGATTCAGCTGGTCTGCAGAAATGTTGCAGAACACTTGAGAACATCTGTGCTTGGCCCTGCACTTTTTCTTGTTGGTAATGATGTTTTTTTCCTCTTCCAACCAAGGCCAAGTAATCAAACAGGGTCACAACAACTGGGCCTGTGGTTTTCTTAATACAGTATTGTACTGGTGCAGTCTACCAAATTCTCCCAAAAACAATTACCAGTTTAAGGGGATCTTCCCAAGGCACCTAGGCTAGAGCCCACGATTAACATAATACAATGCTGGCTTTTGCGATGCTGCCACTGGAGGAAAGATGTTATTAAAATATGAGTTATGCCTGTGCTGTGAAAGTTCTTTAAGTGGTCTGCTGAGGCCGCCAGTCATTTTCAAGCGGTCTGTGAACAAACGTTGAGAATCGCTGCCTTAGCCGGGCAACCTCCTTAACCTGCTCTGGGTTGTACCTCCCGGATTCAAGAACCAGACTTTTTTAAACTTCAAGATTTGGCACCCATTTATAAATAAATGTGCGTAAGATCGAGCTGTTGCTGCTGCATATCCTTCCCATTAGCTAATGCAACCCTGGCAGAACTCCAGACCCTCCAGGTGTCTCTATTTTCCAGGAACAGTCCCAGATTTACAGAAGCCATCCCAGTTTCTGGTTTCACACCACTTTTCATTAGGACATCACTATTTTCATTCAAGAAACATTGGAGGGTATGGAGTTATCTGACCCCTGAGCCACCTGAAAGCAGCATCGTATGGGGAAATTTTTCAATGTTTAATGTTTAGTTATGTTGGAAGCCACCCAGGATGGCTGGGGCAACCTAGTCAGATGGGTGGAGTATAATAATAATAATAATAATAGCCCTATTTTCATTGAAGATATGTTGGAGAGCATGGAACTCTGTGTTTAATGGAATCCATGTTCCCTGACTTGACAACCTCTCACCAATTTTAGCCAAACAATGCCCACTGTAGGCCTCTGTACAACTCAACCACAGACGCTACTACACTCACTGCCTCCACTTAGTGCAGCAAAACATGCATATGTCAATCAGATGGCTAATATGGTAAATGGCATCAGCTTTGGATTTTGAGGGGCTCTGTGCAAGCTGCCCTCAGTCCCCTCTCAGGACTGACTGGGACCCCAGTAGTGGTGGTTCTTCAGCCTTTAGCATGCTCACCACCTCCACCACATGCTTCTGAGCTCACCTAGCTCCATGCTTGCTCGTGGACTTACCTGGCGGTGGTCCTTTCATGGGCCAGGAGCCATTCAGCATACGGAAGCTGTTAGATAAGCAGCAGTAGGTTGTTGGGAGTAGCTGTCAGCCTTCCTTTTGCACGTGCAAGCGGGCTTACATTATTTTATATACCACTGATATTTTTAAAAATAGTTCACGGCAGTGAATGGCATAAAATCAACAATAAAATTATGTCAGTGGAACAAGCTCATTGTTGCCAGGTAAGCACGCTTGAACCACATGACCTGGAAGCTGTACACCGGCTCCCTTGGCCAATAAAGCGAGATGAGCGCCGCAACCCCAGAGTCGGCTATGACTGGACCTAATGGTCAGGGGTCCCTTTACCTTTAAGCACGCTTGAAAACAGGGTGGGAAGGTGGTGGCAGCACAACCACCAGGGGGCAGCAGGTGAGGCGGCACAGAGGTGAGTCAGCCAGGCAAGGGGTCAGCCCAGGATGTTGGGTGCAGGCTCCAGGCCTGAAACTAAGGGATGTCCCAGCAGAATATGGCAGAAAGCATGAGAGCAAAGCTGGGGAATTGGAGCAGTGGTGATGGAAGAAAGAACTCAATGTAAGGGAAGTAATAGGGGCTATTTCAACCCTGCTACTTTCTGCTGCTGGAAACCCAGTTGAAAGGGGGTCATGTTACATTGGCTCCTTTCAACACAGCTGCCAAAACTGAAAGACTTCTGGAAGCAAAGCTTTAATATACTTCAACACTTTTCGAAAGCGGTACTCTGGGCTCTAGGCAGGAGCACATTGCAATAAAAGAGTCGGCTGTAACACTTTTGACGACTGAATCGCCAGGCTAAAGGGAACAAAACCCATCTTTTCAGATTATTATTATTTTAACAGCACAGTGGGAAATAACCTCCTGAAATCTTGACCATTTATGATAGCAATAGCCAGACTTGTTGGGGAGCTCAAGTGTGCTGATTCCTATAGAGGCCTCTGTGTTGGTCACACCATAAACTTCTTGGGTACCTAATAAACTTGGGAGAGATACGGGGCGGGGGGATCAGAGCTTTCAGAACTTCCTCTACATCACAGACTGGGAGCTTTTTTAATGTAAAGGACTTTATCCCCCCTTTTCTCTTGCTGACACCCCTTTCTCTCTCCCCCCGCCCCACCCTCATGCAGCTGATCTGAACTGTTTGCTTGGATACGGCTTTTCCCTGCTCCTTCTCCCTTCACTACATCAACTTCTGCTTTTCCCCACTGAAGGTGGGTGCAAAGCCAGGCTGGTAAGAGGGGCAGCTGGAAAGGGTGTGCGTGACCTTGTGAGAACCCCAAGGGCCAGATGAAGGGGCCTGAAGGGCCACATTTGACCTCCAGGCCTGAGATTCCCCATATCTGAGGCAGTTGCCTCAAGGCAGCAGATTTGGGGTGCCCCACGAAAGGACAGCACACTTTTATTCATTTAATTGGTTACTGTTGTGCTTTTATTGTCAGGGACAGGGACAGGCACTTGGGATATTTTCTGCCTCAGGCACCAAAGCAACTTGATCACCCTTGGGTACTTGGTGCCTCGACTAGCCAGCAGAAAAATGTATTGGAACCGTTCTAGAAGGAAATTCAGATGCTCGTATATGCACAAATCAAGCTCCACCCAATCTGGAATCAGCTCCAGTACCAAGCTCATATTGTAGACAAATACAGCTTTTGATCAGCACAAATGGGGCTTGTCAATAAGTAATAATAAGTAGGAGCTAAGGTGCGCCACTATCAGTTGTGACCTGCCAAAGAGATTTCTTTATAGCCCGTTCCAATTAAAGTAGAAATGGATCCACCAGTTAGGAAGCAGAACAAGAAAAAAGCCAAACCTTTGTGAAAGAAATGAGTATTATTTCCTGTCTAACTCTGCAGGGCTTACAAACATAGATACACAGCCAAGCGTATAGTGTGTCATTTTCATACAATCTCTTGGTAACTGATATTTTATTTTTTGCATTTTCACTTTTCTGTACTACTTTGGGGAGGCTTTAGGAACCAAAAAGCGGCATAAAAATAAACTTTTAACATAACGTAACAAATCCAGTTGAGCCTACCAACTCGTTGAAGAGTTTCCGCTAGCTGAGTTTACAAAGATATCCTACTAAAATGTAGGCATTATAAAGGTTCAGGAAAAGTGACACAAGGAAAGAGGCAGTTTTGTTCTTAAGAAAAATTGACCATGCATTAATATAGTGTCGTGAAACGTGTGAAATCCATCTCATACCCTCCATAGGTTGACAGCCAGATACATAGTGTTCTCCTAACCCAGAGACTGCCTTCTGTGTTATGTAGATATGTAGATAGCAACAGGCCACTTTGCCCACAATGAGCAAGTTAGACCACCTTCTCCAACCAGGTACTGTTTGGGGCTGCTGAGAGTTGTGATCCAAAACATCCTGATGGAGGGAAGGCTGATGCAGTCACTTGCTAAGCTGCCCACTTGCAATAGGCCAGTAAGTACATGGAGGAATTAGGTGACAATTCCTCTGCTTTCTTAGATTATGGATGGGGTTTAGACATCTGGCAGAAAGGGTGGATGTTCTTGATCAATGCTATATGAATCAGCAACATGCAGATTAACACTGTGTACACACTAACCAGGCCTGGCCCACCCATGAGATGAGGTGAAGTCCTACCATCTCTGCCCCTGGTGGAGAAACTCTGGCCTCAGTGCCGATTTCCAGCAAGGTATTGCGAGACCTGATCAAAATCTCATGAGATCTTGCCAGACTTCAGCAAGATCTTGCTGGAAATCAGTATTGATGTTGTCTCCACTTCTCATTCTTGCTCATCCTCAATATGCTCAAATTCTCGCTCATTCTCAACATGCCTTCAAACTAGACTGATTCTAGAGCCTGCTGTCCACAAGAGTGGGTGTGGTTACTCAGTACAGATTTGAAAAACCCTCCCCTCGATTAGGTTAGCCACACCTTTTCCTCCCTGCACATCCACCAAGGTGAATGAAGGAGGAAGGGATGATTCCCTTCTCATTATACATCCTTCATCAAAGCCATTGAGTAGGTGTGGATGCAACCCCCACTGTTGGGACCACCTACATCTGCTTTCAAATGGGGGCAATGCAGAATCAACTTGCAAGGAGCTTTTATTTTCTGAATGAAACAGTTTCTCAAGAAGCACTTTTGAGGGGCCATAAAATAAATAAAAATGCACTAGATCTAGCCTGTGTGTGTGGACTACGTAGGAAAAAAACCAAATACTGCATTCATACTCCTTTGATTCTAGAATAAAATGTTGTGTGTACACAGCCTAAGTTGCCAGTGGTAAAAGACCCAATAAAAGAATATATCACCCAGTAAAACTGGACTGGAGACTCATTTACCTATTGGTCAGTGATAAGTCATCAAATAATAGTGAGAGGTGAACATGCTGTATTGTAGGGGAAGCAGTAACCGATCTGGTACATTCTCTAAGTGACCCTGTGAATTTATTATTTAAAAAAATATTCAATTTGGTAATTGCTCTAACTCCAGAAACCTGCTTTGCGTCTCTTAATTTCAGGAAGAGTAATGTGATGGTTTGGGGGGTTTAGGGAAGAGCAAAGCTTTCACCATCTTGTTGATTGCCTACAATCCGGCCTTCTCACCCCACCTCAGTTGAGATGTTCTATATTAACGAAACAAGCGAAATATTTTAGCTGCTGATTTTGGTGAGCATCTTGTTGATTGCTTGCTTGACGTGAGTGGTGGAGCTCCGTCTCCGGGTCTTGCCCTGGACCATCTTACGACGCCGCACTTCCCGGCAAAGCTCATAAAAGGCCTCCATGATGTTGCCTTCCCCTGTACAAGCAGAGCACTCGTAAAATGCACAGGCTAGATCGGTGGCCAGCTTTTCCCCTTCTTCGGTGCTGACCTGCCTCGAGTGGTCCAGGTCTGCTTTGTTTCCAACTAGGATCAAGGTAACATTCTTGGGTTTCTTAACTTCGTCTAGCAAGTTCTTAAGTGGCAGGACTTCTTCAAAGCTCCCTCTGTCGGTGATGTCATAGACCAGCACAAAGCCCTCGCCCCATCGCACATGGCCTTCCTTCTGAATGGCATCCTCCTGTTTTGAAAGAAAGAGGCAGGAGGAACGGGTATGGTCAAAAGACACAAATAGGTATCAAGGGGGTGTCCGTATTTTCGACCGCAGAGGACTCTGTTCTGATTTAGTGTTGCTGTGCTATGGCTTTTGTTTACGATCTATAAAAAGTGTCCATTCTCCAGGGCCAGGCACGAAATGTGCAAGCACTAGCGCAGCAACACTAGCAGAAAGCATTATTACCCTGCATTCCTTCAGTGGTTTTATGGTACCTTGATGCTACGTTCAAATGGACAAGGCAGCATGAAAAATAGGAGCAGTAGTAAAACAGGGACTTCTAACCCTGTGTGTCCTGATTTCTGGTCCATTTAGATCACTCTAAATGCCCTGTTATGCAATGGGGACCTTTCTTTAAGCTTTAGTATGATGACATTGAGGGGACACGAGTGGCGCTGTGGTCTAAACCACTAAGTCTCTTGGGCTTCCCGATCAGGAGGGCGGCGATTCAAATCCCCACGACGGGGTGAGCTCCCGTTGCCCGGTCCCAGCTCCTGTCAACCTAGCAATTTGAAAGCACCCCAAAAAGTGCAAGTAGATAAATAGGTACCGCTCTGGCCGGAAGGTAAACGACATTTCTGTGCGCTGCTCTGGTTTACCAGAAGTGGCTTAGTCATGCTGGTCACATGACCCGGAAAAACTGTGGAGCAGACAAACGCCAGCTCCCTCAGCCTGTAAAGCGAGATGAGCACCGCAACTCCAGAGTCGTTCGCGACTGGACTCAACTTCAGGGGTCCTTTACCTTTACCTTATGATGACATTGATCTCAGATGATGCTAAGGAGAACCAGTGTGGCAAAGACACACAGATTCAACTCACCAACCCAGCCATAAAGCTCACAGGGTATTCTTGGGCCAATTGCTGTCTCTCAGCCTAACCTACATCACAAGGTCATTGTGGACAAAATGGGGAGCAGGAGAGCCATGTCTGCCACCTTGTACAGACTGGAGGAAAAGTGGGATATAAATGTAACAACCATAGGCACCAGGAACATAAACCTCGCCCGCCCCTTTGTAACCAAGGTGCTTGGTTCAGCTAGGACTCTGCGCATGCCTCAAAACTCATGGACTCTGTTAGCTTCGTTCAACAAGTTGCTGTGTAATAAGCACAGGTTTTTTTCTTCTTTGTTTGATAGAGGAAAAGAAGTTATGTTGGGTGTTGTAGGAACGAGATGCTCTTGGGTAGAGAGAAAAAGGGAGAGAAGGATGGGGGGGGGGATTCTCCACTACAAAAGAAGCCAGGGGTGCAGATGAGAAGAGGGGCTTGGATTGCAAAAGGTTCTGACCTCTTCTGACCAAAACAACAACAACAACAACACACCCAGTGAAATATGGACTGTGCTGGATGCTGCGATCATCAGCTGTGGCCCTTCTTCGTGTGCCTCCTCCAGGAGAGGTACAGAGGGTGGTAAGACAAGAATGGGCCTTTTCTGTGGTGGTTCCCTGTTTGTGGAATGCTCTCCCCATTGAGACTCACCAGGCACCTTCATTACATATCTTTAGGCACCAGGCAAAAACATTTCTCTTCAACCAGGCCTTTTTGTCTGATGAATGTTCTACGTCCTTTAAATATGTTTGTGGGAGTAGGGTTATTGGTTTGTTCTTGTTTTTATTATGTATTTTGTGTTTTCATTTTGCAATTTTATGTTGTGAACTGCCCTGTGATCATCAGAGGAAGGGCAGTATACAAATTTAATAATAATAATAATAATAATAATAATAATAATAATAATAATACAATTACAGGCAAGGAAAATAAGATGTTACCTCCCTACCCATTTGGCCCACTGTCTTTTGGCATGTCCCCTTTTGCCTCTTGAATGCTTTTAACGTCTATTGTTCAGCTTAGCAATGCTTCACAACCTTCCTCTGAAGTTACTTACAGTTCTCTGGCATTTGGTTTCTATTGTAGGGATCTGTAGAGTTCTGACTCACCTGCCCAGCTGTGTCTAGTATTTCCATAGAAACAACTTCATCGTCAATTGTGGCCTGATGACGGTAAGTGGACTCTTAAAAGAAACATGAGAGAGAGAGAGAGAATGAAAATTAAATTAAAACTCAAAAGGCAAACAGTTTTGGGTGCAGCCGCTCACAACACATCTCTATATATCTGTTTGGGCCTCAGGACCCCTCCTCCCCCTCTCTATTCCAACAGAACATGTGCTATGATCCTAACCAGTGTGAGACAGTGTGGTGTACTGGCTAGATTGTTGAAGTAAGAATGGTCACCTTCTCTCAGCCTAATCTACCTTGTGAGGAGGGGAGAACCATATACCGTATGCCCCTTTTTGCTCCTTGGAGGAAAGGTGAACTAGAGATCTAATAATAACTACGAAAGCTGGATCAAGAAGTCATGGATGCTCTGAACCTAGACTCTGGCTCTAAACCTGAGCTGGAGTCTGTCGGTCAAATCCCCTTGAGCCAGAGACCCCCAAACTGGGTTTCAGAAGACGGCAACCCTCCCCTCCCCCTGAGTCAGGTTCTCCTGACAAACCAGCCTGCTATATACCAGGGGTCTCACTGCTCCCAACATCTGTTCACCAACACAGGCAATGCATAAAGTGGGGAGCTGATGGGGTGTTATGCTCCAGGCAACTGGTCTACCCCTTTAAGAGTCTCCACTCTTCAGAAAGAGGGTGGAGCTTGGGAGGGATGGCCTGGCTCAAGAAGGATAAAAGGTCTCAGCTGAGTACCAGACCTTTCCACCATTTTGAGAATTCAGATCTGTCAGGAAACTGCCATCAGCTCAGAGGTGAGAGCTGGAAGGGCAGTTGTGTTACAGGGAGCCTCCGAAGATCTTGCGAAGTAGTTCTTCCTCTGGCGAGGAGGGAAGCCACACCTCCAGTGGGGAGGGGGTGCAAGGATCAGAAGATGCTAGGGAGAGCCTCAACACTGAGCCTGAGCAAAGCGGAGGGGAGGCAAGTCCCCCTTTGCCAGCGCCCACTCTGCGCAGTAGGTTTGGGCGCAGAGAGGGGAGGAGAAGGATGGGGGTCACACGACTGTTATGCTGGGGGAGGTATAAGGACCGCCCACTCCCAGATTCTGCTAGCGACTGAGCAGACATGGATTTGTGACGCTCTGCACTGTAAATAGTTTGTACAGATAATAAAGCCTGGAAAATACAGGTTGGAGTCTTGCCTGTTTGCTCCCGAGCAACCACATCGGCACCTGACAAGATCCTTCACACGATTGGAGGAGGAGAGCAGAGGACCAGCATGCTAGCTCTGTCTTTTGTCTCCCTGCCCTCATGGCTCCTCTGTGAGCTGGGAGACTGAATGTCTGCCATGTTTAAGAGCAACAGACTTAAGGCTAGGGCAACCCATATTTTAAGTCCACACTCAGCCATGAGAAGTTCACCAGGTAACTTCGGTCCAGGTACAATCTCTTCATGTAACCTTCCTCACAGGGATGTTGTAAGGTTAAAAGGAAGGAGCAAGAGGAATGTAACATCACCCAATGCCTGGGAGAAAGGGCAGAATATAGATGTAAAAATTCATAGCCACAAAACATGATGTTAATCCATTTTACATGCTACTGGCATAACCTTGGATCCTTTCCCACCGTCATTAATCCGATGGCTGGTTTGTTATTTGGCTCTCCCTCCTGTCATGTTCTGTTCCCTGACCGGATCGAAAGCCAAGATTTTGAGATATGTAAAACTCACGCTTTAAATATTTAGATCCATGCCTGAGATATTAGTTTGGTTCAGCTTTCATTTAAAAACAACAACAATGGGGTCTACGGAATATTGGCAGAGCCAGGCACTTTCATTCCTTCCCATGTTGCTCAATTCAATTTACTTTTAAATTGCCAGAGACACAAAGTTCTTATAAAGGAGATGTAGTGGGAAGGAAAAAAAAGAGAAAGCAGATTGGGAAAAAACTCCCCTGGGCTGATTTGTGCCACAGAGTTAATGAGTACGCTAGAAAACATGGAATCAGAATGTAGAGTCTCTGGTGTTAGGTGGAACTCATATACCCACTACACAAACTCCTAACTCAGGAATGGGAAAGGCTTGGGGGGCCAAAGGCTTTTCTGACTGGCCCTCAGGACTCTTCCCAGACCACACCCCTTCTCCCCAGGCCATATCCCTCACCAGCCTTGCTTTGCACCCTCCCTGAGTGTTTTTATCGCACTGTGATGTGTCCTTGAACTCTGTTGGTGCCTCTTGCTTGCCTGCGTGGAGGACAGAGAAGGACGTGTGAGATGTGTGTGTAGAAACTAAGCCTACTATTCAGAAGTAAAATTTACATACTGTCGTGGACTGGCTGGATGCAGAGGAATGCGGGGGCACCAGCTGGGGAACCCCCAAGTGAAGAAGGCTCAGGGTCCGGGAATTGGTGGTGGGATGGCGATGTGAGGTCAGAGGGAGAAAACTGGGGGGGAAGTGTCAGAAGCTGTGGAGGTAAAAGAGCTTAGCGAGCTGGGGGAGTCTGTGGGAAAGAGAAGTCCAGAATCAGAATCAGAAAGAAGGCCAAGAAGCAGAGATGAATCAGGCTGGTGAAGAAGCCATGGTTTCTCCCCCTCCTGCTGCAACAATCTCCCCTCCCCTGGATCTCCTATGACCAGGAGAGGTATGAAGAAGGAGAAGCAAAAGCAGGTGTGTCGGCTTACCCTCAGATTGCTTGGGAATGACCCAGAATAATAAGAGACTTAGGCAGCTGCGGGAAGGCAGGGACCTTCAGTCTCAGCAACTGCTTCCTAAGACCAAAACCTACCACAGGACAGTTGCTTTGCTCATTAAGCCAGGGACTCTTGAGCAGACCTTGTTTCTTCTAATAAAGAGTTAACTTCACTTACCCCGTGTGATTTATTGCTGGCTCACTCCTGACACATACATTACTCTGCCCACTGTTGCCTCTGGCCCTACCCACCACTTTCATGTGGCCCCCAAAAGGTTGCCCAGGAGGAAAAGGTACACTACCCTACCTAACACTTTGGTGGTGGAGTCTCCTATGGGGGCTCGCTAGAGGTGGGCAGAGCTGTGGGAGAGAACAAGGGAGAGGGAGAAGTGGTAGTTCTGCCCACATGGGTTGTGGCTCCACCCACCATTGGCTCCGCCCCTTCACTGACTTTTCCTGAGAGTCACTGGCCCTCCCTAGGAAAGAAGTTTCCTCCACACCCCTGTAGGAAACCATGTACTGTGGACACCACTCACTGGAAATTTCAGACAAAAAAGAGCAGGAAACCCCCTGCCCCACAATAAAATTCATTTTTATTTAATTGCTTGGGGCACAAACCATGGCTCAACATATTGCAGTGCACTGCCTTGCATTATTTAGTCCTGCATGGCACTTGGGGATATAGGATGGATGGGAAAATCCATCTGGGAGCCCAAGTTTTAGTTCTGCTGCACAAATGATGTGGAAGAAGAGCCCAAAGAGTCCATCCACGTCAGTGGAGAGGAGAGAAGGGAGCTGGCAACAGAAGGTGTATTAAATTTGTATGAAGTTGAGCGACTTGAATATTCCGCTCTCCGTTTTGGCAACTGGAAATAATGTCTTTGCGGGGCAGGTACCTGTCAAGGTAGCCTTGAGAATGGTAACACACTATGATGCTCTTTAGCTGTGAAAATCTGGATAAGAAAACAGCTCCCCAAACAAGGCATGCCACTAATTAAACAGGGGACAGACTACAGAACTCTGATACAGAATCCAGTGCCACCTTCTCCTTGGGAGAATAGCAACGCCACCTTTCTTCTCTATCCCCCTCAAAGAGCATCAGCAAGTTTTGATGAGCTCATTTTGCACAAGGTTGCTGCTTCTAGACAGGCGCTATTTTGCAGGTGGGAATCAACTGCAGACCAGCAAATGCAATTTGTGCAGTTGAAGAAGTGGATCAGGCACTCTTGCACAACAAACTTTCATTATAAAAACAATACCCCACTCCCCAAAAAACCTTGTGGACTTAGTTCAGTAAGGAAATTGAAAGGGGAAAATGCACTGGAAAGAGCAGGATAAGGATTGCTTGGGATAATATATAACCTCTCCACGAACTAAACGCAATGAAAGCTCAGTAAACAGCACCTTCCTCACAAACAGAGCTTGGGAAATGGCATTAACTGTTAAACCACTCTAGGATTTGTAGTTCTGTGAGGGGAATAGGGGTCTCCTAACAACTTTCAGCATGCTTAATGAACTACAGCTCCCAGGATTCTTTGGGGCAGGGGGGCAGGAGACATGGCTGTTTAAATTGGTATGATGCTACTTTAAACACATAGTGCGTGTAAGAGCCATTAATGTTCATGTGACCTATCTATTTTTGAAAGGTCATTGAGCTAAGCATTATGGCAAGTAACTCCATACTTACTCCATACTTACACACTGGCGTAAAAGAGTTTTGAGAACTATCCTATGTTTAAAAGCCAGACCGCCTATTCCTTTCCCCTCCAGTGGTTTTTAGAAATAAAATGTCCAAGTCATCTGCGCTGGCAAGAGCCCCAAACATCTTTTCCCCCCAACACCACAAGTCATACCCATTCTGTGTACCTCATTGCCTCACATAACTGCTCAAAGGCCACAAGGGAGCATTTAGAAGGTAGTAGTGGTGGGGAGAAAGATGTTCCAAAAGCACTGTTAAGAATGAACAGCTTCATTGGCAAGAGAGCCATTTATTTGATTTTGCACGGGTTTGTTTTTAGAGGACCTGGCAGCCGTCCACAGATCATTTAAATTGTCCTTGGTCTGCAGAGTATGCGACTGCAATGCCATATGCTCAAGTCGAAACGGGTTGCCAGAAAAGGGATCGCACAAATTCTGACTTTGCATGAATGCTCCACATTTGGAGCAGACCACAATGGGAAGGCCAGATCATTTGGGTTTTTTTAGAATAGCTTGGAGAATTTGAATCATCAAGAAAAGACCTTTCAAGAAGCCAAGATTCTCCCCACCCCCCAAAAAACCTTGGGAATGCTTAATGGACTGGTTTTGTATCGTGCTCCAAATCTAACTTTAATTGCCTTGTTGGGGGTTGAATCAGATCCAAGTCTTATTGCCTGGTGAATTGGCAGAGAAGAGTGCTCTTAACAGCGCCTGGCTTGGCTATTCTGCACAGCTATCAGAGCGGTTTTCATTACACCTTCAGCCTGAGGTACTGCTGGTGTCGTGACCTTTGGACGTTTGTATACTCTACTCTTTAGGGGGGAAATGAGCAAAACCCTGTGCCAAGCCAACTCGAAAACCATGTCAACAAATGCCAAATTCTTCACAATTTATATAAACACACCCACGTTTGCATAAACTAGGGGTGGGCTGAATCTCCCACTCCATTTTTGTAGGACCATTCTGCCACCACCTGCAAAAATAGAGAGGGAATTGCTTTTGGGGGGGGGGGCTGTTCAAATTCCTAAAAGAAGGCTTTTATTTATCTTTTACTTCATTTAGCGAAATATGTATATCGCTTGCTTGCAGTAGAACTTCCAAGGGGCTTGCGAGAAATATCAAAATCGTCAATAAAAACATTTTTAATTACAGTGGTACCTCGAGTTACAAACGCTTCAGGTTACCAACTCTGCTAACCTGGAAGAGTTACCTCAAGTTGAGAACTTTGCCCCAGGATGAGAACGGAAATCGTGTGCCGGCGGCGCAGTGGCAGCAAGAGGCCCCATTAGCGAAAGCAACACCTCTAGTTAAGAACAGTTTCAGGTTAAGAATGGACCTCTGGAACAAATTAAGTTCGTAACTAGAGGTACCACTGTAATAGTGAAATGCATAGACATTGATGGGTCTGGATAAACCTGCCTAAGCAAAAATGTTTCAGGTGCTGAAAAACTTGCAGTGAAGGAACCTGCCTGATGTCAATAGGCAGAAAGTTCCAGTTCAAACTTTACCAAAAATGGTCTGACCATGACAAGGGAATGTATTGCACCCCCAAAAACTTGGCTTCAGCCCTCATATCACTAAGGGTAAAGATTACATCAAGAGTATGCCCTACCTGGTGCATTGGATCAATGACCATTGGGGTTTTTTTTGGAGGGGGGGTTATCACTGCAATAACAATGCTAGGATTGTTCCCTTGCTGATCTTGAAAGTGACTGGACGTTAGAAGGTTGTGGAGTGGGAGAGGTACTATAAATCAGTCAAGTACTATAAATCGTCTTTCCAACCGGCTCTGCGGCATTCCATGGTTACAGGCAACAGAATAGAACAGGCATAGGCAAACTCGGCCCTCCAGATGTTTGGGGACTACAACTCCCATCATCCCTAGCTTACAGGACCAGTCATCAGGGATGATGGGAGTTGTAGTCCCAAAAACATCGGGAGTGCCAAGTTTGCCCATGCCTGGAATAGAACTTACCAAGAGTAGGATCGTACTCCCATATGAACCGTTTGGTCAGAAAACGCACCACAAGAGCTATGGAGAAAGAAACAAATGAAGTTAGATTCAGAGGAGTACAAATCTTTTGTTCAGGGACATTCTCTAGGTGAAGAGCCGGCCCCTTCTGGGTGCTACTGGGCTACAACTTCCATCGTCCTTCACCACTGACAATATTTGGAAAAGGCCACAGGTTCCTCATCCATATTTGAGACAGCTGCTGTTTTTGAGGGCTGTATGGCACAATAAAAACCTTATTGACCTGGGCAGTCTCTCTTGCAAGGCAGAGCAGATTCACACAACCAAACTAGCATGTTGAGAATTTGGCATGAATGGATTCCACACTGAATTCAGCATATAAGGGGGCCTCAGTCTCTTAGCTACAACACTGCAGCTCTGTACAAGAGACTCGTAGGATGGGGACATTCAAGCAGCAATTCTTCATTATTTACTGTCATGTAACATCAGGTGCCCTAAGTACAGATAGTGCTCAAATACTGATCTTTGACTGCAGCATGTGTCTGCAGTGAGTGTAATCTGGGGAAATAAATTCAGTCATTCTGAGGGCCACATTGCATCATGGGGATCCATTCAGGGGCCACACCCCAGTGGTGTGATCAGAGGCAAAAGTCAGGGTTTTTTTTATACACACATACACACTTCTACTACACAACAAATCTGCATTTTTTTTCAACCAGGCTCCATCAATTAATGAAAAGAGAAATGGAATACAGAAAAAAAATGTCCAAAGGGAGAAGAAAAATAAAATTAGTGATATTCTCATGGGTATGATGCAGTGTTTTGTTGTATTAACTTTGCATTCAAGGGGGGTCAAGGGGTGTGCCATTTTTTGCATTCAGCAAATCATTTCTCTGGAGGGCTGCACTCTGCAACCATCCTGGTGCTTGTCTTTCCTGAAATATGCATGTCATTCCCATCTGAGCGTTCCTGCAAGTCCAAGAAGGTGGGGAGGTTGTCTGCTGTCTGCCTAGCTGAACAGCTGTTCAGAGTTATTTATTTAAGTGAAGTCTTTTTAAAAAAAGCTTTTAAAGAAATCAGTGTAGCAATGTATTTTTTAATTCAATTAACAACCAAGAGTTTTTTTTATTTAACATGCTGCTTTTTGAGTTTTCTATGTTCACCCAAGCTTCAAAATGTTGAAAGACCAGCAACATTTGGATCCTCCTCTGTCTGTTCAGCATACAAGGAAGAACGATAGTTCATAGCCACACCTGTACCATATGTTTAAAGCACTCTTTTTTTTTAAATGATATTTATTAAAGTTTCAAAAAAAGATTACATTGATAAGAAAAAGAAAAATAGAGAAAAGAAAAATACAAAATGCAAAAAAAACCAATTAAAAACAATTCCATCTTTTCATCCCTTATCTTTCATTTACTTGTTTCCCGGACCTCCTCATGCCTCCCTTTTTTGTATTCCAGTTCAATTTATTAGTTCAGCAATTCCTTTCCCTCCTTATTTTATCCTAATCTTTAATCTTAATATATTATAGCATTAAGTTTTGACCTATTGAAAATCCAATTTTTCCATATTCTTTTACATATGTTTAAAGCACTCTTATACCACTAACAGTCATGGTTTCCCCAAAGAATCCTGGGAACTGTAGTTTGTTCAGGATGCTGAGAGTTATGAGCCCCCTGTTCCCCTAACAGAGCTACAATTCCCAGAGTTATCTGGGCTGAGGGATTGCTAAAGTTTGGAAGAATCCTTAGTTATTTTCTGCAATGTGTTTCCATAAAAACCAATTTGATTTACACGGTGCCATGGAGTACACATGAAAGGTTTTATGAAACAAAGGCTAACATAACTTTTTATTAGCTATTTGCAATGGTTCATCATTATCGTTGTTTTTTTTAAAAGACACATATTTGCTTTCTGTGTTTGGCGAGAATCAGAGGCACAACCACAAAACTCTTAAGAAAAATGTTTTTCCTTGTGGTATAAACTACCCATCCATTAGCAGGATGGGCTGTTAAATCTTGTGAGAACATCTGCTTCGCTGAATGGATCGGAAGTCTGGAGAAGTTCCGGTAAACACCCTTGACGTTATAATTCGGTGTACATCAAACCTCCCAACATGCTGTGGTTTCTGTAGCGCTCCAGCTAAACGCCATGGCAATAAGGAGATGGACAAAATGTTAAGTTTAGGATCCACATTTTGTTCTGTATTGTGACCTTTCCATTCCTCTGATCTCCAAATGGGGGCACTTGGCAAGTCCTTCTCTCTCTTCCTTAATAGTGTATATGGAAGATACATTTAAAAAGCATTTTGGAAACCGGCTGCATCTAGCTGCATGCTTGGGCCATTTCCTCTTACACTTCCTTAGTTAACAGGAATATGGATGGAGGTTATATAAACATGTGCTGGACATATGGCTTTCTGAAAATGTCCTCAAAGGCATTTTTGAAGTACAGTGGTACCTCGGGTTACAGACACTTCAGGTTACAGATGTTTCAGGTTACAGACTCCGCTAACCCAGAAATAGTACTTCAGGTTAACTTTGCTTCAGGATGAGAACAGAAATCATGTGGTGGCAGTGGGAGGCCCCATTAGTTAAAGTGGTGCTTCAGGTTAAGAACAGTTTCAGGTTAAGAACAGACCTCCAGAACGAATTAAGTTCTTAACCCGAGGTACCACTGTAGAGGGTGCCTTCTTTCTCCTCAATCGCAAGATGTAAAATGGGCCCAGGCAACTGCCTTTACAGCAGGCATCCCCAACCTTTGGCCCTCCAGATGTTTTGGACTACAATTCCCACAATCCCTGACCACTGGTCCTGTTAGCTAGGGATCATGGGAGTTGTAGGCCAAAACATCTGGAGGGCCGCAGGTTGGGGATGCCTGCCTTACAGCCAGGGTGGCACATCCTGTTTTGCCGCCTGAGGCGAAAGGGGAATGTGCCACCCTGCTGCCTTGCTCTCCCCCCCCTGCCCTTACCTGGGGAGCCAAAGAGGCAGTGCCCCTGTGGGTGGAAAGTGGAACTGCAGCTCTGCCAGTGGGGCAGGTGGGGTGCCAACTTTTTGGCTTCTGCCACTTGAGGTGCCTATTTAACCCCACCTCACAGGCAGGGTTACTTATAGCTAGAGATGAGAGAATATGTCAATTTTGGTTTCTCTCAGTTTCTAATCTTTTTTCTAAACTTAAATTTAGTTCTCCGCATTTACTCAGCAGTTTGTGATTTTTTTTAAAAAAGGAATTCACATGAAAATTCACCAGTATTTTTATGTGAATTTCTCGTAAGACATCCATGGTGCGTGCAACTTTGTCAAATATAAACCTTTTGGCAAAGCAACTTTCCCTAAAACAATGCAAGTTTGTACATTATCTTCACTAATATACACACATTTTAGTATAGTACGTATAGGCATTTTTGTACACAGTGCTTTGCTGGAGATCTGCACTGCAAAATTTTGGTTAAATGCAGATTTTAAGGATGGCTGTATTTCAGCTCATGCACTGTATCAAAACGTGTGATAAAAGTAACTTTGCCTTTGGTGCAAACTGAATCAAATTTCTCCCTCATTGCTATTTACAGTAGGTATAGCCAACACTGTGCTCTGCAGATGCTGTTGGACGCTGGCTCCCATCAGTCTCTGCTAGCATGGCGAATGGTCAGGAATGATGGGAGATTAGTCAGGGGTGGTTAGGAAGTACCCAGGAAGCCTAAGTCCCAGGTCCTTTTCGCAAGGCTCCAGATCTCCACCCGCTTCCTCCCTTCTTGAACAATTTTCAAAAATGAATCTTTGCCTGTTGTTCCGCAATTTCCTAAACGTGCATACTTATTGCCTTACTACATGGGAGTCCTTTTTTGAGGCATACAAAGATAAGAAGAACCTGCTAGTCCATCTAGTTCTGCTTTTTTCTTACAGCTGCCAACCAGAGGTCCATGCAAAACCCATAAGCAGAACCTGAGTAATCATCCATCTCCGAATCTATAATTCACTGAGGTTCGCAACTTGATGAATATCTGTTGCTGTAATTCAGACAATGGGTTATATTACACAGTGCTTGGTCTCAAGTCTTGAGAAGCACATCCCCCAGGTCTGGATGTTCTGAGATAAGAGATAAGTGCTCTGGGTTACCACAGCAACACTAGCAAGGCCTATGACTTGCTGAGTTATTCCTCCTCCCACTGGTCCAGGAACGTAGAGATGGATATTGCTTGCATTAAGCCCTGCTGCAAATTTTGATGCTGCACTCTCTGTGGGACAGGGTCTGACTCTGAATCTGTGAGAATCAGGGGAAGACAGTGTCGGTTTTATGCGTTAGCTAGCATGGCGACCGTGTTAATGGACCTTTCTGTACTTATGTATCTTTAGTTCAGACACCCGAGGAACTGCATGTGCCCTCACAACATCTCTGTATTTTCTTTTAAATAATGGAGGGCATTTGAACCCCTCTTTTCTGTAAGGATGATGAAATATACTTGGAGTCAAGTGTGGATTTCATGCTCTTTATTCAGCTCATAGTAGTGAGGAGGAATGGAAGTTCCCCCAAAATGTCTGCTTTATATACATTATTTACACAATGGGCCCCACGTGATTGGCTAATTCCAGGATTCTCCTGTAGGCCAATCAAGTTGCAGATTCACTTCCACCTGGAGTTGGATTGGGTGGCTCCTGTGGACCAACCAGGCTGCTGCATTCTGGATCCTATTGTTCTAGGACCAATCAGACTGCTGCATTCTGAATCCTATTGTTCTAGGACCAATCAGACTGCTGCAATTTGGATCCTATTTAACTCAGTACATAACAGATGACATTACTGAAGCTGTGATGGGACAGAAGGTCAGAACAGGGAAGGTGACGAAAGCATCACAAAAGGAAGGAATAAAGCTCTAAATAACAGTAATCATTGCTGATAAATATACTCATCAGTGCATTAGGTTAAATCCTGGTAAAACTTTTTTTTCCTAAAATAATGCACATTGTGCCTAAATCTCCCATCTTTTGCATATATGTTTACTCATGTTTATAATCAAGACATCTGTTTGTTTATCACCTAGCGTCTGAAAATCTGCTGTCTATAAAATAGCTATTTCTACAGTAAACATATTTTATTGTCACACATACACACAGAGAGCCTATTTTGCAACCCCATTAAATCACAACCCTTCAATTAGTCCCACTGAAATAAATAAAATAAAAATCTAGAATAGATGCAACCCTGATAGGCCGATGCCAGATCTTTTTCACTAAGCAGAGTGGATGGCATTCGTAAAGGAACATGGCTTCTGGCCTTTGAAGACCACCAAGGGATACAACAGGGCTTTCCAGCTTCTCCCCATCAGCTGTTGAACACCACACTCCTTAGCGATGCTTAAAGAACACAACCAAATCCCACTTGAAATATAGGCCACAAATTTTATTACTATTTAGATATTGCCATCTGTGTACATGGTATGCTGCGGACTAACATAAGCACAGGAAAGGCTTTGCCCCCAGATGTTAATCTCCATTTAGGTCTAGTTCTCAGTGTGGTGGTAAATCTGTGTCTGGGTGATGTCAATTCAAACAGCAGGTAATGATGCGCAAAACAGAACGTTCCTTCCTAAAAACAACACACCAGAGCAAAGCACTAGCCCAGAAGTCTTCCCCTGGATATCTAGGGTGGAATTCAACTTCACACTAAGGTGATCACTCTGTCAGCACAAGTGTCTCTGCACAAGGATGATCTCCCCTCTCCTCCTCCTGTGTGGTTCTCCCAACTCTCCTAAGCAGATTTGGGGAGGACATGGGGTGTGCGGCAGAGAGTGGGGGAAAGTCCCATGGTGCTAGTGGGACTCATTTTGCCGGCTTCTGTTAGTTCAATGACTTAGTTGAATGTGGCCCCTAGTTTTCTATGTGAAGGGATATTCTTTTTTGGAACGAGGAAACATTCAGTCGCATGAGAACCCCTCTCTGAAGGCCGCACACCCCAGTCACAGGTTGAACACCCCAATGAAGTTAAGGCTCATGCATTCAGGGAATACGTGCTAAAGGTATTCTGAACCACTCTCCACTGTGGGAGGGCCATTTGTCTGCAGGGAAAGCAGATTTTCAGCTGCTTTCAAGGGGCCATGGGTGAAGTTCATAGGAATCTTTGAGTGTGTTGGGTGGGAGGCATGGGTTATTTTCATTCGGGGTGACCAGTGTGGTGCCTTCCAGATATTGCTTAACTGCAGCTCCCATAATCCATGACCATTGGCTATACGAGCTGGGGCAGATGGAAGTTGGAATCTAGCAACCTCTGATAGGTCCCATTATAGCAACCCCTGCCTGAATATGATGAGATGGCCAAGGTGACTTTTGTTAAACGCCACACAGTTCCTGGCAGGGGTGTGAGGCTCTCTGCAGCCTATCAGCCACATCTCCAGATCTGGAATGTAACCTGGACAAGACACTATGTAGGGCTTACTTTTAAGTAATGCCTACCACCTTTAAGATGTTTTGGACTACAACTCACGTCTGTCAGGCTTCAGGGAATCAGCTTCTTCCCCCTTTGGCAGTAGATAAGCAGAACAAAGGAAAAGGAGTCTTCTTACCAGCTAGAAACTTTAATGATCACAGTGAGAGAATAAAGAATCCATTTCCTAGGAATGGCGGTGCTCCCAATTAAGGGTTCCACCCACTTCCTCCCTAGTCACCCACGTCACTACTGTGTCTTGTAACTTGATCTCGCAACCACTGTGCTTTTTGTGCTGCCACCTTATCAGCTCTTCTTGACCTTGGGCTGAGCGGATGAAGGCTTTCCAGAGGCAGTGAATCTGTTAACACTCTCTCTCCCAGTGCTTCTCCACCCAGTATTTCCCAGCTTCTGCCTTCTAAACTATGTCCCTCTGCAAACCACTGTTCCAAATCTATACTGTCCTCCTGCTCCTGGGAAGATTCAGGATCTTGATCGGGAGCAGGGGGAGGGGAAGGCTCCCACCTTTCCTCCTCAGTGCAGCCCTCCCTGACATCGCCAGTCCCAGGCAGAATGGTCAACGGTCAGGGGTAATGAGAGTTGTAGTCTATCAAAAAGCATGGAGGGATTACCTGAAAAACCACCAGCCTTCCACAACTGGACCCAATGGTTGAAAGAGCAAGGTTCTCAAAGTGTGTAAGTGTGGGTGGTCATATAACAGCCAATACAACTGCTTTCTTAAAAAATAAACTGCAAATACAACTGAAATAAAGTGCACACAATAAAGTTTCTGTAACATGTTATCCTATCACCAATATTCTCTTTATCCAACGTCTCAGATTTCCTTTCTATAATCTTCATACAGAGATTTCTGATTCCAGCATCAGCTGAGTTTACACTGTTGTTCCCTTTTCCAAATCCTATTTTGCAGGATATTGTGCATCAATATTCTTTGGCATATATCTATTTTATCACTCTCCCAGAGACAAAAGTTATTCCCCACTCCATCAATTTATTGTCACTAAAATTCCAGAAACCAATATATTCTCAAGTAAGTTTTAAATACTCAACTGGAACCGAACCAAATCGGAATCAAACATCCAATCTATCAAGGGAAAAGCACCATAAAATCTATTGGCCAAGGCAAAAGTTAGCTGGGGTGGAGAAATCTCCATTGAATTCCCTCCCTTGTTTTGTGTGCATATCGATGGGGTAAAGAAGTACAGTTTTCTCATTAGATAGCTGGCTGCCATTTTGATTGCTGCCTGATGGGTCTGAAGCCAATGCAATGAGTTCTTTTTCCCCAGCGAACTGATTTTTTGTTTTGTTTTGTTACAACTGGTGAAGCTCAGAGCATTTCTTTCTTGACCCTGGAGAGGATCAGTGGGGCAAAATTTGAAATCTACCAGCCTTGCTCTTTTTAACCCTTTTCCTGAAGTTTCTTCTCATGTACCTTGAATTCTGCTTTCATCTTGCAAGGCCAGTTAAGTGAAAGATTATTTTTTATCTAGGCGCAATATTTTGATTAATATAGCAAAATGTTGCTTGGAGGATTATTGTTTGTGTCCCTCCCCCCTCATAAATTTCAGTGCTGTTGAATAAAACCTACAGCTATACATAATGGATGTTGTAAAACCAACAGCTTATTGGGAGTTTTAGGATCAGGGAGAATTAATACAACATAAAGGTTTTTAACCTCTTGACAGCCAAGAGGATTCTTCTATCCTGGGCCTGCACAACTTTAATTTTATCTCTATCTCACTTTTTGATGTAAGACGTTTTCCAAGTAACTTGTGTTAGACACTAAATTATAATTATCCCGGGGCTGGGAATGGGCAAGTCTGACAATTGTGGTTCCTCTCAGTCTTTCACTTTCCTGCTCTTAGGCTCTGTCCTCCACATTTCCACGTCAGCCTTGCTTTTCTTAGAAACTAGTCCTCATGAAAATTCATTAGTATTTTAGTGCTAATTTCTCCTTGTACACATACAGTGATACCTCGGGTTACAGACGCTTCAGGTTACAGACTCCGCTAACCCAGAAATAGTACCTCAGGTCAAGAACTTTGCTTCAGGATGAGAACAGAAATCGTGCAGCAGTGGCAGCGGGAGGCCTCATTAGCTAAAGTGGTACCTCAGGTTAAGAACGATTTCAGGTTAAGAACGGACCTCCGGAATGAATTAAGTACTTAACCCGAGGTACCACTGTATTTTTGTATGCAGTTTTGCTTACTATACACATTTCTGCAAACAATTTCGCCTTGTATAATGCATTTTTGTACTCTATTATTCACCAACAGATTGCTCTGTGAAATGTAAACAATTGCCAGTTGCAAAGGATGGCTGTTTTGGGATCAGAAAATGCTAAATATTGTTGCTGTGTTGCTTTTGAGCAACATACCTCTAGGAAATATACAACCTTGCACATGATTTGGTTCATAGTAAGGTATGCTATTTTGTCTTAGTTTATTATTTACTGAACGTTCAAGGTGCAAAATAAAGATCTTTAAAAAGAAAGTAGGTAGGTTCATCAATCAAGGCAATCTGGATCAAATAGCAACCCCCAGCACTAACTATGGCAGTTTCGACCCCTTCTGGTACATAACATTGCTCTCGGATCTTACCACACAAATCAACACCTTAGATAATTGTCCCAGCTTTCTCTCCTAACTGCTGTGCTGCTTTTATGCTGCAAAAGAGAGAAATGAAAAGAGGGCAACTTCATGACTTCTGCCAGCTATCTTTGGCATACCCTTAAAGAATCTAAGTGTCCTCCAATAGCAGGGTGACTTAATGATTTAAATGCAGGGTGACTTAATGACTTCTGAATTGTTTGTCAATTATCTGCTCAGGCAGAAAGTGCTCTGATGTGTATTGCACCAAGGCAACAGACACTCTGTATTCTCTAGCCTCTTTTGATCCAGTCCATCACCTATAAACACACAGGGCTGCATCCCACTCAGAATCGACCCAGTTATGGTATTCGAGATGACTAATTTAGGATTATTCATTTCAATGGGTTTACTCTGAGTCTAATGTAGTTGGGTACAACCAACCTTAAATAAAAATTACCATCTATGCAGCTTTTGGAATCAAAAGCTGCCTAGGCCATACCTGATCTAAAGACCTTATCCGAAACTGGATAGATAGACCAACCTAATCCATGGTGCAGTGCAAATTTGAGCATGATATTCGAGTTTGTAACTGAAATTAACATCTTCAGAAATGCAGCAGGTAGGCTTTTCATGGACTCGGAAAATGGAGTTCAAAATGGAAAGTTGGGGTGATTTTAATCTCTTTTAGCATTTTAACTTTTGTATGTTTGAAAGTAATTCTTTCTTGATTTTACTGTTTTATATTTTGTAATTCGCTTTGAGGTTTCTTTCCCCTTACAATCAAGCAGTGTTTAAATTTTTCTGAAACAAGCAAGCAAGAAAACAAATAGAGCAACACCTGGTGGTCCAACTGCATTCAGTGAGTGAGCTCTAGATAATATATCATACTTGAAATTTGTGGGGATTTGTCTGTGTCAGTATAATCTGTGAAGTTATGCAAAGCCATTTATGCATTGCAAGAAGCATCTTTTCCTGCTGAGTCTGCCTCACTCTTCTCTTTTAGTGCTTGCTCTTTATCTCGTCAGCCTCCTAAGAAGAATTAGCAGACATGCTGCAGGCAGAGGCTAAAGCCTGTGGCCACCAACCCCTTCCCCGTTAATAATATTTGCTGCTGTGTACAAACGTCTGGCTTCTGCCCTTCCTCAGCTTGACTTAGCCAGCAATGTGCGTGGGTGGCAGAGCAGGTTAATTGCCCGCCCTTTCTAAAGATCAACAACTCACTGCACACCACAGAAACCGTAAGAGTTGCGGGAGGCATGGAAGAAGAACCGGAGAGGCGGAGCAAAGTAAGGAGAGGTGGTCCGACTTCAGAGCTGGTTAAAAAGGACACCACTTTGTGTATGGAGTAGAGATGGGGGAGAAACTCAGCTCTGTTTACATTTAAAGGTGACTCTGCCCAGTTTGCACTATCTCAAACAAGCCTCCTTAGAAACCCCGACTCATCCGAATTTTGCAATGCAGGTCTCCATTCAAGCAACGTGCCTTAACGATGCATATGCCGAATTTAAGGTGTGCATCGCAATGCATACAGGAGCAAAAATGCATGGGAAAATGCAATACATTGGGGGAAATCGATTTGCGAAAATGTGCACATTAGGCAAAATTGCCTAGAATGAAATGATAGGATAATTTTGCATTAGGATGGGCGTGGATTCTCATCAGGCTTCTTTTTTTAAAAAAAAATAATAATAATAAAGAATTGCAAACTGATGTGGAAATGTGGAGAACTGATCTGCAGGAAGGAAAAATGGGAAACCAAAAGAAACCCAAACTGTCCAAATTCCCCATCCCAAATATTGCATGCCAACAACCATTGGGCAGTTGCACGATCCATTTCATTCTACTTTTCCCCAGCATTTAGGGCTAGTGCAAGAAAATGGTCTGCCTGAGCTGCTGTCCACACTCCTCTTCCTCTTATCCTGTCTCTGCTACCCCTCTCACATTATTACTCCCCCCCCCTAATTTTAGGCTCCATTAGCCACCAAAGCAAACCACAGTTGTGGTGCAGGTGCTTTCATGGCCACCCTACCCAGAATGCTTTGCTCTGAGGGCCCCCTTAACTCTTGCTAGAGTGAGGCAGGCAGGGGGGAGACATAGAGCCCCTCACCCTAGGACAGTAACCCAGCAGAGGGAAGCAGCAGGTCTAGCAGGGGGCAAGACCAATGTGCCACCCTCTGTGGCTGCCGCCTGAGGCAGTTGCTTCAGTTTGCCTAATGGAAGCGCCGACTTGGCCAGCGTTCCATCGCTCCGATTCCACTTCTGCTCCACCAATGCTTCTGCCTCCACCAGCAGCCATGATTCCTGTTGGGATTTGAGCAAGGGTGAAGCTCTTCCCTGCCTCTACCTGTCTCGTGGCTCCGAGATGTGACTCAGTCCTGGTTGCCATTTCCCCCAGCTTACGGTTCTGCTCAAGAGCCTGCTCCACGCTCTCCCTACCAGTCAAGGCTTTATTTATATAAACAAACTGAACTTCTTCAGCATTACAGTTCCCATATCCCCCTTTTTAAAAGAAAGAAACTACAGTGAAAAAGGTCTGGAAAATGCGTCAATGCTGTCAGGAAGTTCAGATACAACACAAGACCCTGAGAGAGCGGCTGTCAGTCAGAGCGGGCTGCCCTTGTGTCTGCTGGGTCAAAAGCAGACACTCTGCTTAAAAACAAGCTCCAGGAGAAAGTCAAGGGTGCTCCTGTGCTGAAATTGCCCCTCCAATTTCTTTTATGTTTTCTTCCCTTTGTGGTTTTTGTGCCTCATAGACGGGCATCTTTAGACCTTCTTTGTAATTCCAGTGTGTGCAGTGCTGAGCTGACCTCACCGCTGCTGGTGGACTGTTTTCACTTCTCTGATCTGAAGAACATTTCCGAATCTGAAAAAAGTCGCACAGGAGGAGTTGCCTCATGGTATCTTTCCTTGTACTTCAATTAAACTACAGCAGCGACCAATTTACAAGCGTCCAATTGGCGTGCACCTATGCGCGTCGCTCTGAACCCAGACGTGACTTTTAAAATAGCAAAAATGGCCCTCAAAGAGCCCAGAAAGGGCAAAAAGGTGCAAAAACAGTGCCTAGCAATCCCACAAACCTTTGCAAGCGCACTCCCATGAGCCCTTGCACCAACCGTTGAGAATTGGGAGTCTGAGCAATGAGGTTTAGAGGGAGCAATGGTGGTGGAGTTTGGCATCTGCTGCTGTTTTTTAAAGGGTTTTCCAAGGGTTTCCAGAGGTTTGGAGGGTGTTTGCAGGCTTTTCCTATGGTGTTTCAAATATACATCAATTCACTGAAACGTGAGGTGCCTCGTAACGTAACGGCAGCTTAAATGGGGAGTTGCCTGTACAGATACCAGGGAGGTTGATGACATAAGGAGAGCTCTCCTGGATCAGGCCCATTTAGTTCACTATCCTGTTTTCTCAGTGGCCCATCTATGTCCTGCTGCTTGTGTGTTTCACAAGGCATCTTGCGGTCACTGTTGGAAATAGGAAACTGAATGAAAAGGAACTTTAGTCTGATCCAAGAAAGGACGTTACTCTGTTTTCAACACTGGGGCAATCAACAAACAGTGCAGAAAATATTTCCGTGCTCTTCCCTCCCTCTCCCATTCTTCCCTTCTTCTCTCTTCTGTATATTAATTTTTAAAAGTCCTTTTATAATTCAGGGTATCTCTTTCCCCAGATGCTTCCTCTTCCTCTTCTTTCAAAAGAGTTGGCTACACAGGGAATTTCTCCAAGCAATCAGCAGATTTGCAGCTGTTTTGAGTTTTATAGGTTGCTGTTGTTTTTAATTAAAACACGCACGCACCCCCCCCCCCAGGAAAGCCCACATGCAAAGGCAAATTTTGAGTCCATTGCCATATTTTTTCTCCTTCTGAAGCCAGAAGAAAAAGCATATTTGTTTTTCATGTGGCCTACAAAAGGTTCTGTTTCCTTCCCTATCCCATCCTGCTCTTCTGTAATTTGCAGGATGAGATGAGAAAATGATGAATTACTAGACTAAGGATGCAGCGCAATGCACATTTTACCTGGGATTAAGTTCCGATGAACTCAGTGGGAGATAATTCTGAGCAAACAGCCAGAAGATTGCTCTGTAAACGATGCTATTAGATTCCGAGAATTCTGAGAAGCAGCTTTGTTCTTAGAACATTAAAAGTATGTCTCTGTTTTAGGGGTGGATGGCTCTGTCTATTTAGGAAGTTGCTGTATACTGAATCAAGCCATTTGGTCCATATGGTATTGCCTCACTGGCTGATATTGGCCTTACAGACAGGGGTCTTTTCCACTTCCACCCAAAAATTTCAGGGACTGCACCTTCTACATGCAACGCAGTTTCTCTACCACTAAACTACACCAATTTGTGAGTTTGCAATGTTCCATTCATGTTCATTCGCTCCTGTTTCCACTACAGTTTGTGAATTTTCTTTTCTATGTGTGGAACTTTGCATTATTTTAACCGCCCCCCCTCACAAAATGCACATTTTGGTATTCCACTGCACTCTTTCACAGTTACTGGGGTGAGACTTGAAATAAATGTATCATAGGCCAGCACAGCATGCTATTTTTGTTTGCAAAATTAATCACTTCTATTTTTGTCTGACAAATACTGGACTGGGTATGCTGTAGTTTAGTGTACAAATTTGCCGAAGTTCAGAGCAACCCCCCGCCCTTTTGCTTGCCGCGTTCTTTTCTTGTCCTACATAACTGTCAAAAGCATAACTGTGCATAATATCCAAGCTAAAGTAAAACCAGGCGATAGAATGCAGCAAGAGGAGAAAGGAGGAGGTTCAAGAGTGCCAAAGTTTCTTACACACGGGAGGGGTGGGAACTCAGTTGGTCCAACATGGATAGATCACTCAAGCATGCAAGAGTTGACCTACATTGCCTTGAAATGGTGTGTGATGTAGTGCAGGCCTCCTGAGACTGTACCACTGTGGAATGCAGGTGGGGAACTGCATATTTGAATGCTCTCGCATTTGCACACCAAAGAACAGGTTTGGAATGATCTACTGCTGTTTAAGGTGGTTTAATGGAGAGGTGCATTTAACTATGCAATCCCTGACCTGCTGCCTGTAGTGGCTCATCTGCACAGGACTGTTCCACACGTTGTTTCCAAAAGTGAAGCTTTGGCTCCAGTTCCTGCTGACCACAAAATTGTGTTGTTGTTTTTAACAATTAACCTAAGCCAGCAACAAGCAGGAAGCAGTTCAAGTTGTGTCAGGACCTGTGGCCCTCCAGAGGTTAGGAGATTCCAACTCCCATCACCCCTGGCCATTGGGCATGTTTGTTTGTTTACAGTGTTGATATACTGCTTTCCCCAAAGATGTCCCTCAAGGCAACGGAAGAAGAAAAGACTAAGGATTAAACCCTACTCAAATCCAAAGTGGAGTCCCTAAGATGGTTGGATGGCGCCTTGTACGCCTCCTTTTGACAACTCCTGCAGCCAAGCTGGTGCCAAACGTCTTGCTCTACTTTCCTTTGGGATACATCAGCAAGGCAGAGAGCGGGGTCTTGTTGTCTGGGCAGCTCAGGACCTGCATACACACTGCCCAGGCTTGCACCTAGGGGAGGTCACTTCGGCGCTTCTAACACAGCAAAAACAGCCCAGGAGGCAACGGTTTTGAGTTACTGGCCTCTGTAGCCACAGCAGGTACTGTGATTCTCTAGCAGTTTGACCATAGCTGTCACCTTTCAGATTTGAAAATAAGGGATCAGCAGCTTCACCTGTCCTGGGGAAAGTCTACAGGATATCTAACAATCTGGGATAGCAGCGGGAAACGGCACTGGAATAAGGGAATTTCCCGCAAAAAAAAGGGAAGGTTGACAGCTATGCAGTTTGACTTCACTCCTAGAGGTGCACTTCCATTGTTTGACGAGAAAGACAGGTGCCAACAACAATACTGCTTTTCAGGCCAACCACACAGCAGTTTAGGTAAAGGTAAAGGGACCGCTGACCATTAGGTCCAGTCGTGACCAACTCTGGGGTTGCGGTGCTCACCTCGCCTTATTGGCCGAGGGAGCCGGCGTTTGTCCGCAGATAGCTTCCGGGTCATGTGGCCAGCATGACTAAGCCGCTTCTGGCGAACCAGAGCAGCGCACGGAAATGCCATTTACCTTCCCGACAGAGCGGTACCTATTTATCTACTTGCACTTTGATGTGCTTTCGAACAGCTAGGTTGAAAGGAGCAGGGACCGAGCAACGGGAGCTCACCCTGTCGCAGGGATTCGAACCATTGACCTTCTGATCAGCAAGTCCTAGGCTCTGTGGTTTAACCCACAGCACCACCCGCGTCCCCACAAAGCAGTTTACATGGCATTATTTAAAAAATAAGCATCAAATTAGAAGGAAAAGGTTACAAAGGAATTGAAAAGGGCAACTTGTTCCTCTAGAAAAAGCTGCTACTGATTCTTCTCCCTTCCTCTCAGGGCAAGATGGTCCTTCAGTTCCCCCTGAGGTGGCAGCTGAGAGGAGGGGAGGGCTACTATCCCTATGCTGGAGCTGTAGTCTCACAACATCTGGAGGGCCAGAACTTCCCCCATTCTTGTTTTATGAGGCAGATTTATCACCTGAATTCCCACTCCCTGCAAGTGAGAGCCTCAAGTGAGATCGATGGGTTACCAGGGAATGGTGGTTTGAAGGCTACAGGTACACAACTATCTGAAATGGAAGCAGCTGCTCTGTGACTTGTTCTCACCGCCAAAGCTGGATTGCTGAACATTTATTCTGCAAGACAACCAAACATTTTCATATCTGGTGGTGGAGTTTGCTTCTTTATTTCCTACCCACAGAGCGATGCTTATCAGTCATGCATCACCCTAGCCTGCCCGCAAGCAGCCATTCTTCTCCAATCTGTACGGCTTAAGAGTGATGCCGAATGAATGAGTCACACGTTTATTCACAAGATAACACACAGGAGAGAGTTGCACATAGCAACCAGCGTGCTTATTTTCTGTGGATTTTGTGCACTACAGAGGCATTGACTGAGAACACTGTTCCCTGCAGAAAAGTGTGTTTTTAGTGAGAGGGGGCTGGTGAGAGGGAGTTCATAAAATGTTGATGACTTTGACAATAATATTTCTGAAGAGGAACTTGGAGGGAGGGAAACCTCAGAGACAGGCTAGACATGCAGCTAGTCTGTACAATAGATTTAGTTGAGGCATTCAAGGACCTTTCTCTGTCAAATTAATTGCATCTGGCATAGGAAGCTGCAAATTTTAACTTTAGCTGTCAGGGATGACCTAAATGCAGACAAGCTAGGAACAATGATATCAGCTCAAACTATTTGCCCATTAACTGTAAACTCTGGTTGGCAACAGATTTCCAAAGTCCCACCCCCCTTTTGGGGGGCTAGGGACTGAACTTGGGACCTTTAAATGTTCAATGCCACACTAATCTATGCAAAACTCTGCAAACAGAATAGAAAACGCAGGCATTTGCAACAGATTTCAGTGTGAGATTCAACCCTGAATAAATTCTCTTCCTGCTCCCTGCGGGAGTACTTGGCCCTGATGTGCGTGTTGAATTTGACTCTGGTTAAGGGATAAATTTGGAAGTTTCCAAACAGTGGAGCAAAATGATAGGTTACTGTTGCTGGTAATATTTATAACCAGTTAATACTTCTTCTTCACCAGTGACTCATCCGTCTCGCCTGACCTCGTTTGGATTAGGCAGCCAGCCAGATTGAGGGGAGCAAGAAATGGAAAGGAAGAAAAAGTGGCCATCACAACCTCCCTTTATACAAACTAAGGACAAGTCCTCCAGAGCTTGTTTCCCATTCTGGCCTTCAGAGGTTTAAAATATTTAAAGCTCCTCATAAAAGTATGATAATGGGACTAGAAGTCACACACAGAGAGAGTGTATAAAACAGAAGGAACTAAAGGAACGAAATGGAATCCAAATGAAAGCCGGCTGGTTTTATAGAAATGAGATCAGTTGATTGCTCCTTCCCAGAGCCTGGACAGATATCCAATCTATGGGGAAGGGGTAGAGCCATTTCAAATGGGGAAATGTTGTAGTCCAGTAGCCAGAATGTTGAACTTGAAGGCTTAGGAACAAAACACAACGAAGCCATGAAATTCTCAATGGATGGCCGTGAGCCAGTCACTCTCAGCCTTGTCTTCCTCACAGGGTTGTTGGAAGAATAGACTGAGATTAAGCCAGTCTATCCTCATTGCCCCCTGCCCCATTTACTGGCTGAAAACGGTCCTGGCTATTTTACAGGGAAAAGAAAGATAATAATTTCACAGCCAGCTTTAACATGCACAGAACATGAATGAACTAACATAATACTATTTTTGTTCTACAGTGGTACCTCTGGTTAAGTACTTAATTCATTCCAGAGGTCCGTACTTAACCTGAAACTGTTCTTAACCTGAAGCACCACTTTAGTTAATGGGGCCTCCTGCTGCTGCCGCGCCACCGGAGCACGATTTCTGTTCTCATCCTGAAGCAAAGTTCTTAACCTGAAGCACTATTTCTGGGTTAGCGGAGTCTGTAACCTGAAGCGTATGTAACCTGAAGTGTATGTAACCCGAGGTACCACTGTATTTAGAAAATTTAGACCCTGCCTTTTGTTGTAGTGGTTCGTCAATGAGATCTTCCATTGCTACTGGTCTCCAAATTGCTATGGTACAGTTTTAATTCTTATTGGTTGTTTTATTTAAATGCATTTCTAATTGAGTTGGTTTATATGTTTGAAACAACCCAGGGATGACTTATGTGATGAAAGATGGTTGATAAAACTGATGGATGAATACATAAATAGGAAAAACAAGGATTGGAATAGAATAAAATCACATATAACAGATGCTGAATAAATGAAATTTATTCCCAGGTGAGAGCTCGGAGGGATTGCTCTTTTGTGTGTGGAATAAGCGTTAAGACATAATTAGGGTAGAGGCTCTTGTGTTTATTTCTTCTTTTTCTATGTCTTTATTTTCTTCTTTTTCCTTATTTTTGCTTCTTCCCTATTTATCTTCTTTAGATTAGTTTGGCTTTTATTGCATTTTAGGTTGAAAACTCTTAATAAGATTGATTTAAAAAGAATAAATGAAAACCAGTTTTCTATTTATAGGGTTTTCATGTATATTAATGTTTTTGAATTCTTAATCGATATACGTACTTATATTGACACATCTTGCAGTTCTGCTTCAATAACAAAATATATTAAATATGTACGATACTACTACATTTCTTCCGAAATAAGCTATTATTTGTTCAGTCAATAAACAAAGGCAAAATGTGGCTTCTTCTTTTTTGTTTCAGCGCAAGGTCGCTGCAAATTCTGCTGGTGGCTGAAAGCAGCACTGAAGCAAAAACAATTGCCTTTTTGAATTGTAATCTCTTATCTGTGGCCAGTGTGTGGTCTTTATTCTATGCACAAAGTACAGGCTGGTTTTCCACAGTCAAGGGCACCGACTGTGATGAGATACTCCTGGAATGGAAACCTGCTTTAACTTGTCATTGAGCAATCTCTTTTGCCAGTGAATGCCTTGCTCACCCTCAGTCCCTCTGAAAGCTGCTGTGGTTTATTTATACAGGGCATTTATTTATTATATTTATATATCGCTCATCAACATAAGATCTCAGGGCAGTTCACAGAATAAAATACAGGACAAAAACATGAAAATAAATAAAACAAAACCGCAAAACAGACCGCAAAAACCTTCCCACAGACACAATTAGAAGGCTGTAGAATATAAATCAGCCAAAGGCTTGGTTGAAGAGCCTAAAAATATATAATGAAGGCACCAGGCGGACTTCCTTAGGAAGAGCATTCCACAAGCAGGGAGCCACTACCGAAAAGGTCTGTTCTTGTGTTGCCACTCTCTGGACCTCATATGGAGGTGGCACATGAATGAAGAAGAGCCTCAGAAGATGATCTCAGGGTCCAGGATGGTTTACCTTCTGCCCACCAGTGCTCCACGGCTGGGGGAGGAATTCTCTCCTCCGAAAAATGTTTTCTAATGAGGTTCAAAATTGTCAACCCAATTCTAAACTCAGAAGGAGCTTGCTTATCACGAGAGATAGCACTGAGCTAGGTGGCTTGATGGCATGACTCAGTAGAAGGCAATTTCTAGAGCTGCTAATGATTCCATTTCAGACTTCCGACTTCCTTTGGCTTACTGCTCCCCCTGTGAAGCACTTTGTGGATCTGCTATACCTCCCGGAGTCAAGAGAGATCATGATTTATTTTACAGAGCCTGAGTCACCATCTCTCAGGCGTGTTCAAAAAAGCCATTAATAGTCCGACTACCATTGAATGCTTCCACTCACCACCTACTTAAGGGGTTTGTGACTCAAATATTGACTTGAATTTTTTTATACACCTTGCACAGAAATGTTCATAGATATGTAATATTTGGAGCAGAATCCCTGGCCTTTAATCTCGGCATATTTTGAGCTTAGGAACCTGTTCCTCCACCCACTTGCTTTTCCCCTACTTCTTAAAAACACACTTGCTTTTATTTCTGTGGCAAAGTTGTTGGAGGTGAAAATATTAACCAGTTTATTGATCCGAAAGTTGAATTCACTAGCCACAGTGACAAACAAGCCTGTAGATTTCCCCCCTATATCTAAATGGTCCAGATATTTACTTCTTTTTTAAACAAACAAACAGAGGTAGTTCTAAAAACCTGCAACTATTCTGGCAAGCTGTACAAAGTACCCAATCTGGCCATATATAATGAATACACAGTATGGCAAAAGCAGAGCATCTGCCTTGCACACAAAAGGTCCCAAATTTCACCCTTGGTATGTTCATTTTCCACCTCTCTATTTTGATTCTCTGGCCCCATATCTGCACAAACTTATTATCCCAAAATACAGATGTGCTTTTACACTTGCAAGACTGGATGTTTTGCCATCTGCAGTACTGGAGGGTCGATTCCAAAAGATCCCACCTGAGAAACGTCTTTGCCCCTGTGGAGATGGTAGCACCAAAACAGTGGCACACGTCCTCCTGTCCTGTACTCTCTACAAAGACCTGAGGAACGAGATCATCACCCCACTTGTACTAACCATCCCAGGGTGCTCAACCACTGCCACAATGGCCTTTCTTCTATCAGATCAAAATGAGCAGATAACAGCAAAAGTTGCTAGGCTCACAGCAGGGGCAATCAGAATAAGGGCCACTAACTGACAGCTGATTCAGGACTTTAAATTGTGCTCTTATATCAAATTCCCTTTTCTGCATATACTGTAATGTTTTACTGTTGCTTTGGCCATTAGCTAATGCAAATAAAGTTTTATCCATCTTAACCCCTGGCATCCCCAGGTATGGCTGAGATACAATCCTGCCTGAAATCCTGGGAAGCTACTGCCAAGTCAGCTGCTGAGCTAGATGGACCAAGGACCTGACTTCGCATAAGAGCTTTGCATATGTTCCTGTGCTAGATATTTTCCTTTGTTTTGCCTTCACCATTTCAAAATGGAGCAGAGACTGCAGATGTTAGATTCACAGTTGTTGCTTAGTCATTTGCCCCCCCCCAATTTCTTCTTATTTTTTATTTTATTTAAAGAGAGGTGGCAGGCTAAAAAGAGGTCACAAGAACATAAGAAGAGCCTGCTGGATCAGGCCAATTAGTTTCTGGGCCCAAGTCAAAGTGTTGGTTTGGACCAATAAAGCCTTACATGGCTTAGGACCACAATGCCTCTAGGTGCTGGTTTTGACCTTTAAAGCCCTATGTGGCCTAGGACTCACGTACCTACGGGACTGCCTCTCCTGGTATGCCCCGCGGAGGACCTTAGGGTCCACAAATGACAACACTTTGGAGGTCCCAAGTCGCAAGTTGGTTAGATTGGTCTCAACTAGGGCCAGGGCCTTTTCAGTACTGGCCCCGACTTGGTGGAACGCTCTGTCGCAAGAGACTAGGGCCCTGCGGGACTTGACATCTTTCCACAGGGACTGCAAGACAGAGCTGTTCCACCTGGCCTTTGGTTTGGACTCAGTCTGACCCTTATGTTTCCCTCCCCTTATGGTCTTGATCCATGGGCTACTATTAAAATGATGTTGAATTTTAAATTGTATTTTAACCCATATTTTAAATTGGTTTTCTTTCTCCCCCCGCCCCCTATTATGTTTTTATTGTAATTTTACTGGTGTTAGCCGCCCTGAACCTGGCTCTGTGGCCGGGGAGGGTGGGGTATAAATAAAATTATTATTATTATTATTATTATTATTATTATTATTAGGACTGCCTCTCCCCATATGAACCAACCTGAACCCTGGGATCACCCTCTGACACCTTTCGTCATGTGCCTCCTCCACAAGAGGTCCGGAGGGCAGCAACATGAGAGCAGGTCTTTTCTGTGGTGGCTCCCTTCTTGTAGAATGCTTTCCCCAGGAGGCTCACCTGGTGCCTTCATTATACATCTTGAGGTGAAAGCATTCCTCTTCAACCAGGCCTCAGGCTGATTAACACTCTAGGTCCTTTTAAATGTCGGTGGGCAGGTATATTTAATTTCATTCTTATTATGTATTTTTATTTTGCATTTTTTATGCTGAGAACCGCCCTGAGATCTTTGGATGAAAGGCAGTACAAAAATTTAATATATAGTAAAATTAAATAAATAAAATAACCTCTCCCCCAACCCAGCAATCTGTTCTCACAGTGGCCACTCAAATGCCTATGGGGACCCAAGAAGCCTTATCCTCCATGGCATCTTTTTTTTAACCCAAGAGGCTGATAAAACTGGCTTTAGCCACAGTGCACTTCTCCAGACACAACAGGGCAGAGAGGGAGCGCACACGCACAAAATCTAAATAAAACCTCTACCCAAATTAAGAATTCTGCTTGTAGGCTGCATAGCCTTGTCCAGCTTCCTCCAAAGATGTACCTGGTGCATAGAGTAAACCAAAGTCCCACACGTGATTATTACGCTGGGTAAACCCTGCCTGCCAACATGCTCAGAAGAAATGCCAATATGAAGTTGCTAAAGTTCATTTACATAATCACCTTACCGCATACCATATAGATATTTACAAAAACTGCCTGTGAGAAATAAAGCAGAGCAATCTATTATCTGCTGGCGCCATGCACGGATGCAAATCTTTCTTTTTACTAAATCAAATTATCTGAAACACTTTGTTCTGAACAGCGTGCTATTTAGCAGCCTAGACTGTTGGGATCTGTGCGTTTGCCGTTCCTCTGTTCCTGAAAGCAACGTTTTTCTCCTGGGCCTTGAATCTCAGGAACAGCTAGCTGCCAGCCCAATCAGTTTTGCCTAGAAAATATTTGCCATGTTTCTGCAGTCACGCTATGCCACTGCCAGCCGAAGTAAAGCACATCCCTTTCTTTTAAGCACATCCCTGACTATCTGCAAGGTGCCTATTCTCAATACACATTGGAACCAGTCAGAATGGGAAAAGGAAGTAGAGGAAGGAGGAATGTGGAAGTTTCAGGGCAAAAGATGTCTCATACTCCCACTTCCATCACTCCAAGGAATTGTGGCTGGTGAGAGAGACTGGGAGATGGGTGCAACTGACCACATAGGAAGTAAATGCAAATGGAAAGCACACTCAAAGGCGAATTGTCATTACTGAGGCCCCTTCTTTGTTTGCATGTAGTGGCGGATACTGAATGGATTTCTGAGTGCTGGATATGCAACAGAATCAGCTCTGGGTTTTGAGGGCAGGGCCTTAGGGCTAGCTGACCACAAGTCCCCCCCAGTGGTACCATGAGCCACAATTTAAAATACAATATTAAAACCAGTTTTGAAAACTTATGGTTGAAAGAAATGACATCACAAAGTAAACAGTGGGTCCTGGAAACATATCAATTGGTTGGTAATCAGGTCGCTTGCCTGCCTGCCTTAGGCACATGCCAAGCTGAGCTCCTGGCTTGTACACCTGACCTGTACTTGCTAGTGCAGATGCCAGGGACTGGTTTGATGCAGAGGAATGGTGGGAGGAACCACCGAGAGAAGAAGGCTCAGAGCCTGAGGATTGGTGGTGGGATGATGATGAGTGAGAAGAGGGGCTTAGTGAGCTAGGAGAGTCAGTGGCACAGGGAAGTCCAGAATCAGAGGCAAAAGCTGAAGCAGGAGAGTGGGATTAGGGAGGCCAAGAGGCAGAGATGAGTCAGGCTGGTGAAGAGTCACAGGTGTCTCCTCCTCCTGCTGTGACAAGCTCCCTCCCCACCCTTGTCTCCCAGAACCAGAAGAGGCATGAAAAGGGTGGAGGGGAGGTTGACTTCACAAAGGCACAGTCTCTGGTTGCTGGAGTGGAGGAAACTTAGACAGCAGTGAGGACATGGGAACTTTCATTCTCGACAACTGATCCATGGGGCATGAGCTGCTGTGCTCATTTGACCTGACACTCTGCCAAGTCTGTGCAAATCATGTTCTTGCTAAGAAAGAGTTAACTCCAACTTGCATGGTGTGATTTACTGCCGGCTCACTCCTGACAGCAGGTTTCTGAATCATGCCAGCTCCACCATTGAGTTTATGCTTACCATATGGGTCTGGTCATTCCTCCATAATCACCACCACTCAACTGAGTCATATCAGCTGTGGAGACAGTGGTATTCTGGTATAATAATAATAACAACAATAATAATAATTTATTTTTATACCCTGCCCATCTGGCTGGGTTTCCCCAGTCACTCTGGGCGGCTTCCAACAGAATATTAAAATACAATAACCTATTAAGCATTAAAAGCTTCCCTAAACAGGGCTGCCTTCAGATGTCTTCTAAAAGTCTGGTCGTTATTTTTCTCTTTGACATCTGGTGGGAGGGCATTCCACAGGGTGGGTGCCACTACTGAGAAGGCCCTGTGCCTGGCTCCCTGTAACTTGGCTTCTCACAGCGAGGGAACCGCCAGAAGGCCCTCGGCACTGGACCTCAGTGTCCGGGCAGAACGATGGGGTAGTAGTGGGCATGGGTCCTTCTGGCACAATGGCCTTTCCCTGAGTATGTTGTGTGTTGTCACCATGCATGACGCACAGTCCCACTGAGACCTCATCTCTCTTGCCTTTCCTCGCTTGCTGAGTGGGACTTAGGAACCAAACAGAAGATGTGTCTGGAAGAGGTGCCTGGAACTTTGAAACTGTCTTTGTTTCTCTCTTGCCTCAGCTTATTCAAAAAACACATCTAGCTCGGGGTTGTGTCATGTGAGGTAGCTGTTTGGCATCAAGCTGCTCTTAAGATCTCCTTTTTTAAAAAAAAGACTGAAGGGAAACATTCCATTCATTTCCAAATCTCAGGGCTGGACACAGAGCAATTTGTCTCAGCAAAAGAGCTGCTCAATCAGAGTTAAGTACAGACTAGAGCGGACATTTTATTTATGGGGGAACGTCACACTGCATTAGCCAAGACGATTTGGTCACCACTCATGAAGACAAAGTGCAATGTTTTGATTACGTTTGGAAATCTGCTCATGCAGGGGAAAGTCAGAGTTCCAACGTCCTGGCTGTTTTTAGCAGCAGGGATTTTGAAAATGGCAATCAGAAGGGATTTAGCAAAGGGTTCACTGTCTCATAGCAATCATTGGAAAAGGTTGCACAATGTAGTTGACCATGTACATCTGCCACCAAATGCAGGTTTAAGATTTTGTCCAGCACCTTCAAATGGTACTTTGGGGATGTGACAGAAAACTGAACTTTCCACTCCGTTCCACAATACCTTTCTGGGAGAAAACATGCCTTTGGGGGCATCTGAAGAGCATGCCGAGAAAGCTGGACACTGAATCTAGGATTTACAATTAACAATAAACCTATTAACAGCAGCAAGAATCTGTATTACTTCTTGCTGAAAATGGTACATTTTTGAAATGGTACATGTTTATTCATATATTTATTCAAAGTATTTTTTAATCAGAAGATTCCAGGATAGTGTACAAAACAGTGAAAACAATTCATGCAGTGTGTACGCCACCATGCCGTGAAACAAGCATACACAGAGCAAACACAAAAGTAAAGCACAGGATAAAGACACAAAAGTAAAGAACAAAAACAGCACCGGTAAAAATTCTGTCCAAAATGCCCTGACATTTAGGAAAGGCTTAACCTGACACCAAAAAGATGGTACAGTCATACCACTTGTTACGTTTGCTTCAGGTTAAATCTTTTCAGGTTGCGTCCCGCGGCGACCCGGAAGTACCGGAAAGGGTTACTTCCGGGTTTCACCGCTCACGCCTGCACAGACGCTCAAAATGAAGTCACATGCATGTGCAGAAGCGGTGAATTGTGACCCATATTCAACTGCAGGATGCCAACTGGACTGGACTGACCATCGCTAACCTTCTATAACTCCTGCAAATATTGCTGGCAGGCTCCATAGGATAGGTGAAGTCAACATGGTACTCTCTAGATGTAATGGCACCATCCCTGGTCACTGGCCATGCCAGCTGGGGCTTCCAGGAACGAATAGTCTGGCAGCATTTGAAGGCCACCCCACTGGCTAACCTCCCTATAGGAGACGGAGGGTAATGTATTACAGGGCCTAGTCCACTATGCTGTTAACATCAGTGGCAATTATGGAAGTTTTTAAATTTGCCACCGGTACAGCGAGCGATTAGGAACATGCTCCTTTAAAACATGGAAATTCTCTTCTCATCATCATCAGCAAAACGGCAAAGATGAATGAATGCTGTTAGTGATATTGACTTATGAAATCCTACCAGCTTAGCTCCGTGAGATCCCTATGAAGCAGGTGAAGGGAGTGTTCACATTACTCAGAACGAATAGAAAGGCTTTAGGCATTGCTGTCTTTAATGGGGTACAAAATGTCCTGATTCAAGGACAACTAGAGTGCTGTCTTTCTCATTTGCTTTGCCACAACTAATGAAAGAGAGAATGGAAAACACAGCCATAAAGACTACAAAATGTCCTCCCTAAAAGAAGGGAGGAATTTCCACTCCCACCACCTTTCCAAGATTATACTGACACTTGGGTTTGTTTTTCTAAACCATTTGGCCTGAAATGGATGCATCCTTTGACCTATTGCAAAAATAGTGTGGTGAAGTGGTCAGAGTGTTAGATTTGACTGTGGAAGGCCTGGGTTTGAATCTATTTATTTTTATTTCTTTACCATTACATTCCTTTCTTCCGTCATAGAACACACAGCAGCACATGTGATTATCAGTCAGTCTACCAACCAGGCCACAACTAGGCCAAGACCTGCATAGCTTCAGCAAGGAAGTAGCTTTCAAGTCATACTTTGGTCTTGATTCCCTGGCCATTGTTCCTCAGCTGAACTAACATAGCAGAAATGATGAAAGGGTGATCCAGACTGGGAGGTACCAAAGAATGGAATACAGTGCACTGTCAAATCTAGTTTTCCCCTCCCAAAGTGGCCAAACACACACACTCTCCACCTCCTATCCTTTGCAGCTTACTAAAGCTACGTGGCGAGGTTTAGAATAATAGAATTGTCAAGTTGGAAGGGCTCAGGAGGGTCATCTAGTCCAATCCCCCTGAAATGCAGGAATCTTTTGCCCAATGTGGGGTGCAAACCCATGACCCTGAGATTAAGAGTCTCATGCGCTGCCAACTGAGCTATCCCAGTCAGAAGGTAAGTGGGTATGGTGAGGATATCTCTGTGTGAGCGAGAGTCCACCTTGAAGGAGGTGGTGATGTGTGACTTCTGCAAAAGCAGCAACACCCCAGACCCAATGGTGTGGGTGTGGGTGTGCATGCGCTTTTAAGATTTTATTGAAGCAGAGCACAGACATTAATAGGAAAATAATAATAATAGCAATACAAAAAAAGCAATCCTGGAGAGACATAATAAGAAGTCGGTGATGTGCTTAAGATCATTAGGAAAGGCAATTCTCACATTGTGGAGAGCGAGCCCTGTGTATTTTCATTTGTTGTTTATAAGATAAAATCCGAGTAAATAGGGTAGAATTTTTCAGGATCCTCCTGGAGTCATTTCAGTCTGGATGCTGATGGGGCTTTGGGACAGAAACAGCCTCAGTCTAAAGCCCTGAACGACACTGTAGCAGGCAATATGCCTCTGAATGCCTGGGAAATGCAAGGTGGAGAGTGCTGTTGTGCTCAGGCCCTGCCTCCCATAGGCATCTGGCTGGCTGCTGTGGGACCAGGATGCTGGTCTAGAAGGGCTTTTGGTCTGATCCAGCAGGGCAGTTCTTACTCTAGACCAGCTTTCGCCAACCTGATGCCCTCTAGATGTTGTTGGACTACAACTCGCATCAGCCCCAGGCAGCACAGTGTGAACTACAGCTGGCTAGATTTGATGGAAGCCATAGTCCAATGTCTGGAAGGCACCAGGGTAGCGAAGGCTGATCTAGACTTTTCTATTTCATCTGGGCTTTTGACAACTGAATTGTAGACAAGAGTTGATGGAATCACAGACAGAGTTGTAGACAGCCTTACTGGCTGCTACCAGGCAATGGTTGAGAGAGAAGGGCTCACAGAGCTGGTGTTTCAGCAGATCTGATGAAGCAAGTGCTTGAGTTTGTTCTGCTCTTCCTGTGCCTTCTCGCCCTTAATGACATTTGTTTTACGGTGCTCAGTTGGGCTTTTAATTGGCAGCAAGTTCATGAAGAGTAGGACGCCGTGCGTCACTCTTGACTTTAATTATAAGTTGTTTACAGACTATGCTGGCAGGAGCTATTAATCCAAACAAATAAGTAACAAAAGTCTCTGAGAAGCTTGCCATGTGGATCCGTGACGGGTACTTCCACGCCACCAACTGTCGTCCCCAGGAAACTTGGCACTGTGGAAAATGCTCCACTTTTATCAGGAAGATCCAGAGCAAACCACGCTAGAATTTACAGCTGCCAACATGGAGAGTCCACACACTAAACCTGCCTGCCAAAAGGATATGATCACATGGAAGCTGCCCTTTACAGGCCTCTTACTATCTTGACTCAGCAAAGAACTGATGTCTATGCAATGCTTTAGGAACAGGTGTTTGCCCAGGCACTGTTGAATGCTAAGCATGCCTGCCCTCAACGAGTTGCTTAAACACTGCATTTTCTAAATACTGCAAATGCCTGGATGGAATGAAGGTCTTTTTATGATTAACGACATATCATGCAAATATTTTGGGACAGTCTGTCAACTGGCGGACCAAACTATGCATTTAATTTACATGTTGCAAGGTGGCTGCTGTGTTTTAATACAATAATACAATAATAACAGAGCACTGGAAGCATTGTTTGTGATGGTTTAATTACACCATGATGCATCCAAAAATTATATCTATTTCCAACCTCCGGTGGATAATTGTCGGTGCTTAAATATTTAATGTCTGTGGCTGCTTTGCATACAAGACCAGACTGTTAATTCAAAACTGCACATATTGCTGTGAATTGCAACTGTTTATATGCTGGATTTTTTAAAAACGGGTTATAATGAAAACTGCTTTGATGCTTTGCTAGCAAAGATCCGGTCCATGTGATTGGGAGTGTGTGCATGAGGAAGAATTTGTATATAAGAAGACCCCCAAGTCCATGGCATCTTAGAACTGCTCAGGAATTCATCCCCCATCCCCAAACAGAATAGCACAATGAAGAGAATGGGAACATGCATACTACCCTAATCTCTTCCACTGCTCTCCAGAAGTTGGCACTGGGAGGGGAAACGTCTGTAGAAGGGAACCTACTCTACTTCCTCTGCACAATTTAGAATGTCAGAGTGCTGTGTTCAAATCATGAAGGGAGCCTTTGCAAATAGACAGGATCCCATTTCTGGGCTTACCCTTCTGACCCGCAGAAGGTGATGTAGTTGAGCAAACACAACGAAGGTGGTGGAACCAACAAGCACATTCCTACTCTTTCCCCACGCCCAATTCCAATTGTGTATTTGTGTCAAGACCTGAACTGGGATGTCTGTGGCATCTGTGGAAGGAATGTTGAACAGGAGTCGTGGGGAAAGTCTTAGCTCCTTGCTACGCCCCATCTATTGCACATGTACCATTCCAGGTTCTGTTCTGTTTTGAGTCACAGCCTCTAGTACAAGAATGAAGTGTGATGAGGCTGAACAGCACCCTGGACAGCTCCATGCAGGTCTCAGGCTGGAGGTTCCATAAGAGCTGGGATGTTGTTTCAGTAGAGGTCATCCTTAAACTGGGAGATGCAGCTCTGTCTCAGTAGCCGGTGCTGTCACGAGAGGAGCCTCTTCATTTGAAGATGCCCAGCCTGCTATAGTAAGATCCTATCAGGGTTTCTAAGCAGTAGTTCTTAGGAGTCAATGAAGGGCAATGTGACATTTCCAGGGTGGAACGGAACTGATACAGTCAGGTTCCTCTCGTGCTTCTGATTTGTTATGTAGATTTGGGGATGGTCCAGAGGCCGATTCTCTCATCCACTCCAAATCCCTAGCTTGAAGAAGAGGTCACAACAGTTCCTTGCTTTCCCAGTTGAAATAATTTCAAGGAGGAGGAATGGAAAAGACCATAGTCCATGACCAGCAGGATTCATTGGAACTTGCCCTGGGCATCAGGTGGGCATCAGTGCTATGCCAGGTGCTGCAGGGTATTATGGGAAATTTACTACTACTGTCCCCAGGGAAGCCTATTGCTGGGGCAGGCTGACACTGATAGAGAAGGGGCCTCCAGAAGGCTCCTTGGCTAGGCCTCCTCAAACTTGAAGCTGACCCTGCCTCAGCAGGAGATGTTGGAGAGTCATTTGGTACAGAGAGTACTAAGCTGGATGAGTCAACTGTGCAACATATTCTGCCTTTCCTCTTAAGAAGCACAGCACAGCGGACATGGTTGTTCCCCCTGCCACCAGATTTTATCATTCTGCATTGTAGGCTAAGCTCAGGTAGACCTGTTGCTCAAGAGAAGTTCCACTGAGGCAGGATGTCCTTTCTACCCAATGGCTAGGCTGGGCAGAATCATTCTGGAAGGTTCTTCACTCAATATTTTGATGGCGATGGGAAAAGGAAAGAATCTGTGGGATTGAGTGTAGGTATGTTTGAACATTATTAAGGACTGTATGAAATGTATGTTTGTATGCTTGTATATTCACAATATGTGTGTATTAATGTTGAATTATTTTAATAAGAAAAACTTTTTTTTTTAAAAAAAAGGAAGGTTCTTCACTGTGAAGCAGTGGTTAGCATTTCCCGTCAGCCTGAGTGGGGATTTGAATAGCTCTCTTTGTTCCTAACTCATATACTCTCTAAGCACTACAGCAGCCCATTTATTCATATTTCGTCACTCATTCATGTTGAAGGCACATATAGCCTGGCAGATTTTGGCCCAGTGGTGCTAAGCTGAGTAGTCATGGTGATATGTGTTGCCAAATTGACTTCCTGTTTTTACCTCATGCATCACTACAGGCATGGATTAGGGTACCTCAGGACATGCTTTTGCTCAGACTGCTGACTTATTATTCTCATGCTTCCCAGGTTCAAGTTGAAAGCACTCAGCCTGCCCCAACACTTCCTTATTGTCTGTAGTGCCATCAGGAATAACAACAACAACAACAACAACAACAACAACAACAACAATTTATTATTTATACCCTGCCCATCTGCCTGGGCTTCCCCAGCCACTCTGGGCGGCTTCCAACAAAATATTAAAATACCGTAATGAATCATACATTAAAAGGTTCCCTAAACAGGGCTGCCTTCAGATGTCTTCTAAAAGTCTGGTAGTTGTTGTTCTCTTTGACATCTGGTGGGAGGGCGTTCCACAGGGCGGGCGCCACTACCAAGAAGGCCCTCTGCCTGGTTCCCTGTAACTAACACCCGCTAATACGTTTCCGCCTTTGACAGTTCCTCAACAGCTGTACTCAGTTTGGCTTCAAATGGGCACACAACCCCCTGCCTTAAAAAGCAATGCTCTCATCCACAAGCTTGCTGTTTGCAACTTGCTAGGCCTCTGAAATGCTTGGAAGTTACATATTTCCTCAGTGGGACATCACCGCCAGTTTCATGCTCAAACTAAGAAGTGACAGAATCTCCGCAGCTATCATTTATCGGTCTTAATCATACTCCCTGGTTGGGGAACAGGTTGAAGAGACAGATCCTGAGTTCACCTCCTGCCCCACGGGCTGCTTTGACAGGTGGGCTGGGCCATGCACCTTTCATCCCCATGAGGACTGGTGACAACTTCAAAGGAAAGAATCAGGGGTGTGCTCCTGATTCTTTCCTTTCTTGCTTTGCAGGAACAGCTTTGATTGAGCCGTGTCCGCAAACGAAGATGCTGAATGCCAGCCCCACTTGCGGCTGGGATGGGTTTACTTTGCAAGTACCGACTGGGCGTTCCCAAGCAGAATTGATCCCACTGCCCTTATATTCAGAACTTCATTTAAATTCAGTGCTGAACGCAAACCCCACTTGCAGAGGAACAATCATGAGTGTAGTCTAATGTTCCTAATTGTTCCTTGCAGCCATGGGTTTACCTGCCCCACACCTGGGGCAGGTGGCTTTGGCTGGGAAAAGTGGCCCATGGGGCAAATTAGCTGTGGGCCTACTTTGGCTGTGGTGCAGAGATTTCCCATGTCTGTATTATTCCTGTCTTCTTATTTCTCACTAGATCCTATTATTATTTTTTGGAAAAAAAATATGAATTCTTGAGGTGACTAAGAAATGATCAATCAGCAAAAAAAAACTTCATTCCAATACTATGAACAGCACAATAAGAAAACAGCATGAAAAGACAGGCTTGAAGTTTCTAAGTTTTACATTTCTTCCAGGAGGAAGGGTCATGGTCATACATGGTCGTCTGGGGGCTACCAGAGAGAAGGCTCTGCATCTTCCCAGAAAGTTTTCATGTTCTTCACTATAGAATTTCTCAACAGAGCCCAATGAAAAGACTTTTTTAAAAAGTCAGGGGGAAGAAAATTTAGAAGTATAAAAATGAACCAGCAATATATATATATATATATAATATATATATATATATATATATATGGTGGTGGGGTGGGAATGGGGTGACCCTTCCGGGCTTCCATATTCAACTGCCAGTAGAAAACAACTTTCTGTGGTGCCCTCAGAAAGATAGCCAAATAGCAGAAGCTAAATGCAACCTTTGGGGATTTTTCTCTGGGCTATTTTTGACTTCCAGCTTGTTCTGCAGATTGGCAGCCTGCTGTGTATTATTTTAAGCCTTTCCCAACCACTCCCTTTCGAATAACATATCCTGACAAACAAGTCACTCTCGGGCGAGCTGAACAACCTCAGACCGTGAGCCTAGGTAGCAGTTCCAGGCAAGCTCCCACAGCTGGTTCCAGCAGAACGCCTGTGGCAGAGGGACTGAGAATGGCATTTTTCCCACGCGTGCAGAATGGCGATGGGACCCATGGTAAAGGGCCGGCAGTGAATTCCTTTCCTAGACATGTATGGTAGGAAATGCTTTGGGCAGTCCTGCTGAAATGGCCCATCATCGAGTGCTTATGAAAGTGAATGGGGAAGTTGCATGGTTGCTGTTGGTTGTTTTTGCTATAGACCTCTTTCTCTAGAAATGATTTCTTCTTCCTCTCCAGGTCTCTTTTGTTTGCTCCATTGGGGGGAAAAAGATCATTAGCGCACAGGTGCCTGTCTCTCCCCCACCCTCCCCACTGATGCCTAGAGCAGCTTCAGGAATGGGGGAAGAATCATTTAAATACCCCACGCCCTGGCCATCCAATCATCCTCTATCAGTGGCTGCTTTTAAGGACCCCACCAGGCTAGTGTACTCTGCAACATGCCCTTGATGCAACAACTGCATTTGTGGTGGATTTATAACGGACCATCCACATATCATTCCACTTTATTAACTTTTTCTGCAATGCCCTTTCGCAAGGTCATGCGCTATTGACATCCGAATTGAAATCAAGAGACGTTATGCGTACCTTTGTTATCCATTAAAATCTTTCAGTAAAAACATTTTTTTTAAAAAAGCCTAGAAAAAGGCAAATAAAACAAAATCAATGAACACAACTAATTTAGATCCATTGATTTCAATGGGTCTGCTCAGAATAGAATTGGATACAAGCCATAGCACCCTATACATAACAAACAGCAAAAGAAAAGAAAAAGACAAGATACGTCCACTACCACCCTATTCTCCAAGCTTGTCCTGCATCAAAGGTCAGCAGAGTTCAGCAACCCTGAAAGTGGTGGCAAATAGCTTGCTGGAGGCAGGGCTGAGTGACAATATACACAACCACCCCATCGCTCAGCCCGGACACCAGGGTCCTCCTTCGAGGGTCTTCTGTTGGTTCCCTCACTGCGAGAAGCAAAGGTACAGGGAACCAGGCAGAAGGCCTTCTTGGTAGTGGCGCCCTCCCTGTGGAGCACCCTAACTTCATATGTCAAGGAGATAAAGAATTACACAACTTTAAAAAGACATCTGAAGGCAGCCCTGTATCAGGAGGCTTTTAACGCTTGATGTTTTATGGTTTTAAATATGCTGTAAGCTGCCCAGAGTGGCTGGGGAAACCCAGAAGGGTGGGGTATAATTATTATTATTATTATTATTATTATTATTCACCAACTGAAGCTTTGCACAATCCATTTGTGCAAATCTGTTCCCTTTAGCAGCTGCTTCTCCTGTAGCATCCCTCCCCCCGCCCCCCCTACCTCCAGGCAGGCAAATTGTAACTGATGAATAACAAAGGAGGAGGTGCTATTTTTAATCTCAACCCTGTAGCACTCTGGTAGTGATGATGAATTCATAGCTCCTTTTCTTTACTGACAAAGGCTTACCTTTCTAAGGGCAGGCGTGGGTGCATTTAATCCAAGGTTGAAATTGTGCTAAACAATTCTCAACAAATGTGGCATTGCCCAAGGGTGACATTTGAGATTTCAGGGAGAGGAAAGAGGAAGAGAGAGACTCAGCAAACCGAAAAGGTCCAACTGTGGGAGATACATATGTCCCATGACTGGGCTGCAATCAAAGACATCCTGTAACATGAATAGTACACACATTTGCAGAGTGTGGATCATACTGCAGTCAAATAGGCATCATCCACACACAACAGGGAGGTATTGGCAGGCTTAGGGGGAACCCAATGAAACATACTCAGAGTCCTGTAGTGATTTCATGCTCTTTATTGCAGCTTGTAAATCAGTGATTGGATTGCCCCCCAAACCTAGGCTTTTATATACATTATTTACACAATGAGTCCCATCTGATTGGCTGATTCTGCTTCCCTCCTGGAGCCTGATTGGTCTTTTCCTGCAGGCCAATCAGTTGTGGGCTATTTGCGACGCCCTGGCACCTAAGGATAAGGCAGAACTCCAGGTCTTCTTGGGACTATTAAACTTTTACCATGCCTTCTTACCCCACAAGGCAGCGGTAGCGGAGCCCCTACACAGACTGTTAGACAAGCGGGCCCTGTGGGTATGGGGGCAGTGCCAGGAGGCCGTGTTCCAAGCAGTCAAAGATCTGCTCATCTTGAACTCGGTCCTGGTGCACTTTGACGAGAGGTTGCCGGTGGTGCTGGCATGCGACGCCTCGCCCTATGGTGTTGGCGCCATACTAGGCCACCAACTTCCGGATGGAAGAGAGGTGCCGGTGGCTTACTTTCCCCAGACCCTCTCCGAGAGGAACTATTCGCAAATAGACAAAGAGGGCCTGGCAATCGTGAAGGGAGTAAAGAAATTTCACAATTTCTTGTATGGGTGCCCCTTTACCGTCGTGACTGACCACAAGCCGCTGCTTGGCCTATTCGCCCCCAAGAAGCAGACCCCTCAAGTACATAACACCCAAAGTTTGCAGGAAGGGGGGGCAAACCAAGTGGTGTAGCATGGGGGGGCACAGGGGTGGTTGCCCCGGGTGCAAAACCCTGGAGAGCCACTACCAGCCAGTGTAGACAATACAGAGCCAGGTGAACTAATGGTCTGATTTGGTATAAGGCTGTTTCCTAGTGTGCATTCACACCCACTTTCTGTCCTTCAGCTCAGTTGGCTAGAGCAAGGTGTTGATATCGCCAAGGCTGCAGGTTTGATCCCTGTATGGGGCAGCTGCATATTCCTGTACCGTGATCCTCAGGGTCTCTTCCAACTCTATGATCCTATGCACAACACAGTGGTACCTCGGGTTACAGACGCTTCAGGTTACATACGCTTCAGGTTACAGACTCCGCTAACCAAGAAATAGTACCTCGGGTTAAGAACTTTGCTTCAGGATGAGAACAGAAATCGTGTGGCGGTGGCGCAGCAGCAGCAGGACGCCCCATGAGCTAAAGTGGTGCTTCAGGTTAAGAACAGTTTCTGGTTAAGAACGGACCTCCGGAACGAATTAAGTACTTAACCCGGGGTACCACTGTATATGAACATTACACTAAAAACAAAAACAAAAAAGACGCGCGCAAACAGAGCTTTACTCTCTAAGGAATTGTTATGTCAGTGTTGCATTTCTCTTTTGAGTCTGGCTTCTCCTGAACAAAACACAGGCAATTCAAAGAGAAACACACCCTGCAAAAACACAACAGTGTAGCCTATGGAAGTTTAGAAGAAGTAAGCTAAACGTTTCCCCATGGCTCAGACTCAGACATCGCTCCCAACCCACTAGGACCCTCCCCTAGATTGTCCAGCTCCTCCCACTCTTGCTCAGGATCAAACACGCCCCTCCATGACATCACCAAGGGGCTTATGGCACAGGCCATATATCAGACCAACCTCTATCCCTGACAGCAGGCCGCGATGTTTTCAAAAGCATGAAGCAACCACAAAGAGCAAGCAAGTCTTGAACGTCATTATCCAGATGCCCTATTGGCCAGTGTATTATTATTTTTTATTAGTGTATAGACACTAATACAGATTCTTCCCGCGAGGCTGCTTTTATTATTGAGATAGGCACTGGTGCCGTTAGTCTGCAATGAAGCAATTTACGGTGAGAGAATATTTTGTTTAAGTCTGTAAAAGAAACACTGTTGAAGCCAGAAAAGAATTCCGACAAGTGATTTGGCCAATTTATGAAGCTGAAGAGATGTCAGTCAGATGTCTGGCAGAACATGGAACCATGATCAGCTGATTCAAAATATCCATCATCATTAGGATGGCAGGCTGGTTTCTTTCCTTATCACTCTCACGCATGAGAGATAATACAGGGCCAGGGAGGGAGGAGAGAGAAAGGATTTGTTTATTTCCGAAATGCGCCATAAATCATTCCAGCCTCCACGCATTTCCTGTTGGCAACTCTGATTTGCCTAAGGGCTCATCCACCCTTCCACTCCCCCCCCCCACAGAAACCCTCTGTTCACTGCTGAATCGGAGCAAACATCAATTGGCTTTTCTCCAGACTGATGTTTGTTCCAATTCAGCAGCAAAGAGCAGGTTTTCCAAGGGAAAGTGGTGGGGAGAGAGCAAAACTGCTCGGAGCCATGCCTAGAAAGCAGAAGTGTAGACAAGAACTGAGTTAGATATACATGGAAGTATAAGAATGGCAAGGAAGTGAGTAAAAAAGGTGGGGAGTGATGCCGGAGATACAAACAGCAGGTGAACTGACTCACAAAACTCCCACCACCCTTCAGCACCAGATTAACAGAGGAGCATACAAGGCAGCAATGTCTATTTGGGGGGATTCATTATTTCAGCAGCTTCACCTCATTCCAGACCCTCCAAGTGTCCCTAATTTCCAAGGACAATCCCAAATTTAAAGAAGTTTCCCCAGTTTCTGATTTGATCATGGAATGTCCCGCCTGTCTTTAGGACGTCCCTATTTTCACCTGGGACGGGGGTGGCGCTGTGGGTTAAACCACAGAGCCTAGGACTTGCCGATCAGAAGGTTGGCGGTTCAAATTCCCGAGATGGGGTGAGCTCCCGTTGCTCGGTCCCTGCTCCTGCCAACCTTGCAGTTTGAAAGCACGTCAAAGTGCAAGTAGATAAATACCTTCTCTGGCGGGAAGGTAAACGGCGTTTCCGTGCGCTGCTCTGGTTCGCCAGAAACGGCTTAGTCATGCTGGCCACATGACCCGGAAGCTGTACGCCGGCTCCCTCGGCCAATAAAGCGAGATGAGCGCCACAATCCCAGAGTCAGCAACGTCTGGAGGTCCCTTTACCTTTACCTTTATTTTCACCTGAGAAAATTTTGGAGTTACGTGATTCTCGAGCCGAGGAGATAAGTACCTACACAACCTTTAGAAGACATCTGCCTTGTATAGGGAAGGTTTGTTTTAATGTTTAATTTTTCACTATGTGTTTTAAATTTGTTTTTGTATGACAGACCAATATAGCTCATTTTACATCCATGTATGCTGATCGAATAAAATACTGACCTTTCCACTACTTTTAAAAGCTAGGGGAAAATAAGGAAGACACAACATGAAGCAAGGAACTCAGAGGGGACAAAAGTTTGGAACAGCTCCAGGAGATATCAGGGACGGCATAAAATGAGGTCAGGACCAGATGTGGCCCTCAGGCTGTAAGCAACAGTCCTTGAACCACTAGGCTGAAAACAGTATTCCAATGGGAAGAAATCCCAGATATCTACCTCACCTTTTTTTTATCTCCAGGGAATAGCTTGTTCCTCAGCAAAATGCAATAAAGAAGCAATTTATCTAGCACATTAGACCTAAGTCTCGGGATGTGCTTTGGCACATTTTATGCCAAGTGGCACTCCCAGCAACTCATGTGAAGGATAATACCTCAGGAAAGTAATGGGTAGTAGGACCCTGGGGGAACATGGCTGGTGCAAATAGCAATCCAGGGAGAGGATTGTGGGAGAAACAAGTTGACCAAGGGGTACCAGGGAAGGAGATAAAAGTGGTTCTGCGATACAAGGAAAGAGCTCAAGGAGAGGCGGGGATGAGTCTCTTCCCAAATATGGCTGGGATCTGTGGTTGTAGCCCACTTGCCTCCTTCATTGAAATTGCCTTTGTTGCTGAGGCCCCCAAAGTGAAGCTCTAGCCCCCAAGGGACAGTGGAAGACCTTCACGATCAGGGATGGAAGAGAAAGTCAATATTTCTTGTATCTGACAATGAGAAGCTACATGTTCCTCGCTTCTTCAACCAACGTGTGACCCAAAACAGAGCCATCCTTCAAAATTTGCACTTTTTCGAAATTCCTAGGCGGTTCTCTTTACCAAAGAGTATGTAGGGAAAAAAATACATAAGTTAACAGGAAACGTACATAAAAATGCATTTTTAAGTGAGGATAATGTACAAAAATGCATTTGCAGTAAATTGCTGGTGATTTTTTATGAGATCGTTTTTGGCAGCGGCGGGAATCACAAATTGCAGCAGATATGCAAAGAACTTAACTTAAGATGGGAGAAACAAGAAACTTAAGGAATGGAAATTGATAGGAATTGGACCATCTCTACTGCCTATACTCATGTTGTGGGAAGAATCTCCCTGTAATATTTCTTATTCTTCAAGAAATGCTACAGTGGTGCAATTTTAAATGTATTCAAATATGTCCTATTGCACAAGTCATTCTTGACCCAGATTCCACAACCCACCCACCCTCTAATATTTCCCATGTACACCCAATCTGGCTTCATTAACATGACAAATTGAAATATGTGGAATGGCTTTCCTGGTATAACTCGCTCTTCCTGAAACATTTATAAGGTGAGGACAGCACAGCGTCACAAACATACAAGATAAAATGAGGGCATAACCCCCTCTGCTTTTTAATTTCTAGCAGCTGAAAATGACTTTTACAGAATATAAAACCGAAAACCAGAATAAAATAAATATACATGATTAATGATTAGTCGGTTAGACTAGGGATTGCAGAGGTGTGTGTATTAATTGCATGGTAGATGGTGAATGTGGTGGTTCATAAAACTCTCACAGAAAATACAAGCTCTAAAAATCAAGATCTTCCAAAGGATGTTTTGTTTGCTCATCAGCACATTTATATCCTGTTTTTCCTCCAAGGAGTTATTTTTGCTCCCTTTAATGCTACAACAACCCAGTGAGGTAGGTTTGGCTGAGAGACAGTGCCTGGCCCAAAATCACCCAGTGTGCTTCATAGAGGCTGAGTGGGGATTCAAACCTGGGTCTCCCAGGTTCTAGTCCAACACTCTAACCACTGCACCACTATGGCTCTCTTGTCAACCCAACTTCTCCCACAGAGCAAGGATGGCAACCCTTTTATTCTCTAGAATGATGACAGCCTGAAATAGTTTGCAAAATAGGCTTCATTGGCAACACAGCACACACACTTGGCTGGGTAATGAAGATTGTTTCAGAGACCAGATTGGTGGTGGTCCTTCGGATCTCCAAAATAAACACACAAAGATTATCTAATGTACACAGAGACTTATTGCTTCTTTCCCTCCCCAGTGACACCATGAGCAAATTTTAAAAACTGAATTTTGATTAGCATTCAGGGCCAGATGAAAGTTTCTCTGGCAGTTGGAACCAGTCGACTGGTTTGACATCTTTGCTCTGGAGTTATTAAAAATATCACAGATTGGATTCAGCGACTCAACAAGAAGAACGCTTGTTGGGGTGCTATCCTGCAAACTGCTATGCAAGAGCTCCTGGAAGACTTCAAAATACGCAGGCATTGCACAAGAATGCACCCTGAGACCTTGTGAGGGAGCCAGATAGTAGAATCTACACCTTTCATAAAATTTATCAGGGTGGTTCCCCATTTCATGCACAGGAGCTGACCAGACTGGCGACTGAACCATCTTTCCCACTGGTGGCCAGATAGCACCCTTCAGTGTAGCTGATAGTGGCAGCCTAGCTTACGAGTGAACATCAAGCCATGTGGCATGCACAGCCCTGCCTGACAACACCTTGCCACTGTCCCCTGCCCTTCAGCATCAGTTGCCTGATGTGCTTGCCTCATCCTGTCTAAGGAAAGGGCCGGCCCCGGCAAGATCTTGCACAAGAGATTATGAAGAGGATGATAAACTGAATTTATATAGCCACTTGCCAGTAAATATTTCCCAGACAGTTTACAAACAAAGCAATGCTAAAATAAAATGCAATATATCATGATTAAAATCAACAAACAGAATAAAAGGCAGTGAAAAGAAGATTGCAACAGTGAGAAAGCATTAAACAAATGCGACATCTCCTGTACGTCCCCAGATTTCAGATCCAGTTTGTCAGGCAAGAAGCTTGTGCTTAGTTGGGGAACAGTTTTCCATGAGTCAAAGGACACTTTTAGACTCAACCCCATGGCTATTAGCCATGATGGTTATAAGGAACTTGTCACTAAATACCTCCTCTCTGAAAGCCACTCTACAAACCCCAAAGGAGGGAATCCTCTGGGAATGCTTCACCATAGCAACATTAGAAATCAAGCACTGCCTATCTGGAGGTTAGGTTGCAGCTCGGAGGTAGAGCTCAGAGGTGAAACTCAAGTTTAACATGCAGAAGATCTCAGATTCCCTGTCTGAAATCTCAGAGGGCTGCCACCATTCTATACTTATGCAGTACTGAGCTGGATGGGCCAAAAGACTGACTTGGTGTAAGCAGCTTCCTAGCGCTTTGACTGAGCTAGAAGGCCGATCAGGGATCTGAAGCTAAATTCCATGCATTTAAATGCTTAAAGCAGTTGCTTTGATGCTGCATACATGAATATGCATAGTGAATATGGATATGCAGCAGTATTGAATACCAAAGACCTCCAATAATCTCATTTAATTTATTGCACTTTACACTAACACCACCTTGCACAAGGAAGTACAGTCGTACCTTGGTTCTCAAACGGAATCCGTTATGGAAGTCTGCTCGACTTTCAAAAACGTTCGAAAACCAAGGTGCAACTTCTGATTGGCTGCAGGAGCTTCCTGCACTCAATCGGAAGCTGTGGAAGCAGTGTCGGATGTTCGGGTTCCAAAGAATGTTCGCAAACCGGAACACTCACTTCCGGGATTACGGCATTCAGGAGCCAAAACGTTAGAGTCGCAAGGCGTTCGACAACCAAGGTACAACTGTATACTTTTTCTTAAAAGAAGTAGGACACCATTTAAAAAGAAACCCACTAAAGTAACAATTCTTAGTAGCAGCAATTCAGAAAAACAACACCCCTCAGTTAAATCTGAAAATAGAGAGGTAGGTTTAAGTGTCTCCAAAGGCTCACCGGAACAAAGCAGTCTTCAAATGACCTCCTGCAAAGCAATTCCAAGCCAGCTTTCTGACCCTCTCTAGGGAGGTTTATTTCGGTGGCTTAAAATATTTCCTGCATGTCACACGCACACAGAAAATTGGATGTATCGAAGTGCCTGCTTCATGCCAGCCATGACGTCCTTGCCAATTTCGGTGGGAGATTAGCAAAGGGGTGTCTGAAATTCTCTGCGTCTTTGGGCTTTGACATTTCCGTAGAATTAAACCAGATTCTGCCCCCACCTGAACTGCATCAAGTGGGCCTTAATTTACTTGCTTCTTTCAGTGTCTGAGCCCTGTTGAAACATGTTTTACGAGATAATCAAGTTTGTTTAAAGAGTAATCTGACAGATAATGTGGAAAAAATGATCTCTCCTACCCTGGTATGATATATCGCCAATAAAACCAGCTATTGTTAGATTCTGTTAAAACAGACAGAAGAGAAAAACAAGGAGTCTGGCTTCTGGAACAGGTTTCTGGAACAGGAAATCCACCTGGCCTCTAAGGCATCCTTTGCCAGCCAGGAGTCCAGATGTTTGCGACTCCAACTCCCATCAGTTACTGTCACCAGGCTGCACTGACTGCGGCTAGATATTGCTGTGATGTCTGGTGACTGGCGGGTGGCTGGGTGGGATGTTCATCTGCCAAGACAATACAAGGTATTGCAACGGGGTGGCCAACAACCAGAATTTTTTTAAAAAACAGAGAGGCCGGATGCAATGCCTTGTCAGCTTATGGAATGCCACTGAGATTGTGCGAAAGAAAGTGTGGCAATTTGAGCTTGCCACGAAACACAGTGGGTATCAAAACTCACATATTAATCCAAACCAGAGAACCATTTTCCCTTTCCCTCCCAATTACCCACCAGCTGCTGTTCTGCTGTTGGCTGCCAATGGTCCCAAAGCTGAGGTTCCTTCCCTTTCCTTCTCCCTGGCACCTGGTAAGCTGGGAAATGCAGTTTCCCGATAGCGCATGGCAAAAAATTAGGAGCAAGTTTAGAAGTTTTCCCCTTGCAATTTTTCTCCACTGTTGCACAAACTTCCTGGCTCCAACATAAATCAATTCACCATCACATCAATTACAATTCCACACTTCGTGGGGGTTGGGGTGGGGGTGGGCGGGCAGAGTGATTTTAGGTGAAATGGTATCTCTGCCCAAGTGTAAAGGGAATCCTTGTTTTTGGCTTGGTGATTCAGTACTTGCTATTAAGGTTCTCCAGCGGAAATACTATTGCGACGGGGTAAGCTCCTGTTGCTCTGTCCCAGCTTCTGCCAACCTTGCAGTTCGAAAGCACACTAGCGCAAGTAGATAAATAGGTGGTAGGAATGTAAATGGCGTTTCTGTGCCCTCTGGTTTCTATCATGGTGTTCCATTGTGCCAGAAGCGGTTTGGTCATGCTGGCCACATGACCTGGAAAACTGTCTGTGGACAAATGCCAGCTCCCTCGGCCTGAAAGCAAGATGAGCACCGCAACCCCATAGTTGCCTTTGACTGGACTTAACCATCCAGGGGTCATTTTCCTTTACTTTTTACCTTACTATTGATACCACTGAGCATAAGGAAATGGAAACACACCAGGAATGGGAGATAAATTTGATACAATTCACATCTAAATGCAAACCTACCTAATTTTTACTTTCCCAAAGAATTCACAAACTGAAACAAAGCTAACCTTTGAAATTCCCACTTCACTCTGAATTTTGCAAGGCAGTTCTCCAGCCCAGTGATGTCCCCAGAGATGCATATACAAGGGTAAACTGTCCATAATAATGCACATATCAGTGAAAATAACATTTAGAATGCAGGGAATTGCTTCTCAAGAATGTGTGTTTTTAGGTAGCAATATGACCATGTGCCTATTAGGAGACATTCAATGATGAATTTTCATGAGGACTTGGAAACAAAGAATCTGGAAACTGATGTGGAAATGCGAGGAACTGAACTGGAGATATGAAAAATGAGAAGATGAGAGAAACCAAAATTGACAGAATCTCTCATCCCTAAATCATGTTGAGTAACCTTGCTAGGTAGAGGGAGGAGGGAAATGTTCCATGGCAAAAATTCAGCTCTTGGCAGTTTAATAATATTCTGTATTTTTGTTGGGTTTTGGCTTTGAATGCCTGCCAGAGGCCTCCATCCAATAAAAATGTTATTCTGTTTCTAAGGGTTACACAACGCATGAGAATATCGGGCTTCCTAGCATCTAACTAACCACCTTGTTCCCTATGTCTTCTATGGGTCATTCCACACCTTCCCCTTTGACTCAAAAGTTATCAGGGCCCCCAGTCCTTCTGACCTGGACATTTCCCCATGTTTTGCTACTGGATCTGATTTGGGGCAGGGCAAGAGGAGTGCTTCCAAGGAATGGCAAAGGTGTCAAAACCACCCCAGACATCAACAAGAGAGGAGGGCAACTCCTTCACACCCCTTCTTGCGAAATCTGCCACCAGGTAAAAAGATCAGAAAAGCCTTCTGGAGCAGGCCAGGGGCCCGTCTACTGCAGCATCCTGATCTCACAGTGGTCAACCAGATGTCTGTGGGAAATCCACCAGCAGGAACTGAGCACAAAGTATTCTCCCTTCCTGTACTTTACAGCAACATGTATTCAGAAGCATTATTGCCTCTGGTAGGCAGAGCATAGCCATCATAGATGGGAGCCACTGATAGCCCTCTTGTCCATGAATTTGTCTAATCCTCTTTCAAAGCCATTCTAGGTTGCTGGCTGTCACTGCCTCCTGTGGCAATGAGTTCCAGAGTTTAACGACGGGCTGTGTGAAAAAGTACCGTATTTCTTGCTCTATAAGACTCACTTTTTCCCTCCTAAAAAGTAAGGGGAAATGTGTGTGCGTCTTATGGAGCGAATGCAGGCTGCGCAGCTATCCCAGAAGCCAGAACAGCAAGAGGGATTGCTGCTTTCACTGCGCAGCGATCCCTCTTGCTGTTCTGGCTTCTGAGATTCAGAATATTTTTTTTCTTGTTTTCCTCCTCCAAAAACTAGGTGTGTCTTGTGGTCTGGTGCGTCTTATAGAGCGAAAAATACGGTACTTTCTTTTATTTGTTTGTCCATGTCATCCATAATTCTATAAACATCAAATTGGAATTTTAACCTGGCATGGCCCAGTCTTAGTCCAACAGATTAGCCACTACACCACAGTGGCTCTAGGGTGTTGCGCTGCGGCATCAAACTGTGACAGAGCCTTGAAAGGCAGAAACATGGTAGCTTCTTCTAGATCTCAACGGGTGTGCAAAGCGGGATCATGTTTGTGTGGAAGGGCAAGGAAATCCTTCCCTTTCTCTGAATGCATTCATTTCTCTCTGCTGAAATGCATCATGAAGACAATCTACTAAAAAGAAGTCTTTTTTTGTGTTTTTACAAGGGGGTGAGGGCAGGGGAAGAAACACTGTTTTCCATAGACAAAGCATAGCATCACTGCTGAGAATAACTCTTGCTGTTCTCGACAGAAGACCATCCAAGATAATGGAGCTATGTACTGGACTTGATTGCTGCCTTGAGGAGATTAGTATAAATGCCTGCTTGCACCAGCCTTCCTGATGTCAGGAACTGGAAAAAGTACATCTTGAGCTACTTGTGAATGGCAGCCAACAGAGGTCCCTGAAATGAGTTGCCTTGACTGTTTTATCACACTGTTAGCTTACGTGTTTGCTTGGGAACAATCTTTCAGATTAGTATTCTATTTATAACGTAGGCTCCTGCAGGTTGGAAACCTTAACTCATTAGCTCATTTCAGGCACAGTTTGTGCTAATCATGGTTTACAAAACAAACCATGGCTTGAGCCCCCACATTTATAGGCCAGGGGTAGCCATGACTGTGCCTCTGGGGAAGCAATAATCCTTCCCATCTTATGTTTCCAGCTTTAGGCAGTCAGCTACCCACTGCCTCTGTACTTTGAATCATAGAACCGGAAGAGACTGATGAGAACATCTCGTTCATCCCTCCCCTACAATGCAAGATGGAGCTACATTGGCTGTGCTGCCACTGCTTAAGTATCTCCTTCAAAGAGGAGCCCACCAACACCTGAGGTCATTTGCTAGGAAGTGGAAAGGCCCATTAAATCAGGGGTGGCATCTTCTACATGCCACTGACTACAGCCCCCATGATCCCTGATGACTGGCCATGCAGAGGAAGCATTTTCTTTCTGTCTATCTGGAATCTTCCCAACGCTCAGCTTAACTGAATGGCCCAAAGTTTGAGAGAAGACCACCTCCCTATCCACTGTTTCTATACCAGGTATGAGGAACCTTTGGTCCTCCAGATGTTGCTGAACTGCAATACCCATCATCCCTGGCCACGATTGCTGGGGATGATGGGAGCTATAGTTCTGCAGCAGCTGGAGTACCAAACGTTCCCTATCCCTGCTCTACGCCATGCATAACTCTATACATCTCTATCATACCTCCTGCCCACTTGCACACCATTTTTCTAATAAAAGAGAGCGCCAAATGTTGCTGCTTTTGCAAATGTGGGATTCTGGGTGTTGTTAGAGTACAACCCCCATCATCCCTAAACATTGGCTGGGGCTGATGCTGGAGCCAAACAGCATCTAGAGGGCTAGCCCTGGTTTTGTGCCATTCCAGAGGACCTGAGACTGAAGGCCAATAAGGCATAAAAAATGCTAGTTTTCCATGGGAAGGGAACTTCTGATGTGGAAGAACATTCAGACTTAAGTCTTCCACTTGCACTTTGACATTATTTACTTAAGGACTCACTTAATATTAAAGAAACCTCCCTTAGCAGTGTGCAAAACTCATCATGTAACAACAACATATAATCATTAAGCACCACATTGTTATAACAACAGATGAAACACAAATCAGAATTGCCAACTCTGGCAATTGCTCAGGTTCAGTAACCAAAATTCAGCAGTCACAAGAAGTCTGGATAAATACACTGGTCTTTAAAAGCATCTCGTGTGTTTGACCCAGGAACTTTGTGCCATGCCATTTATTTCCATGGACACATCAATCAATTGCTCCAGAATCAGAAAAAGGTCTGACTTTCAATCCAGTGGATCCACACAACTCCTGCCAGATCTGCCAGTGCACATTTCACAAAGGGTGAAATATTTTGCAAAGGGGGGAAAATAAGTCAACTGCCTAATGACTTCACAGGAAACAATGCGGCTGAGAATCTGTGCCCAACCTCACTGACCCAAACCGTTGAGGGAGTTCTGCCTCACATACCACATTTGTTAAGTAAGAGCAAAAAAATGATTAACCGTGGCCAGGCTGAAGAGCAACATGGTCCTATTAATAGAATGTTCCTGGGCTTACACTTCTTTGGTAAGAAAGCGTTCAGTCAGTGAACAAACTGAGCAATCATATGCTTGAGTTACACCCACTAGGATCACTCCCAGACCACCTTGCAGCGGTGGAGCAAAATGCTACGCCAATGGCGGGGGGGAGAAAGAAGATGTGCTGGTTTAAGCAATATATTTGTGCCAGTGGGTGGAATCTGTGACTTGAACACAAACAGGGCAATTCTATACCATCAGCTCCAGAGCATTCAAACTAACATCAGGGAGAACTTTGACAGTAACAGCAGTTCGACAGTGGAAACGGACTGCCTTGGGAGGTTGTGGAGTCTCCTTCCTCGGAGGTTTTTAAGCAGAGGTTGGATGGCCATCTGTCATGGATGCTTTCGCTGAGATTCCTGAATTGCAGGGGGTTGGACTAGATGACCCTCAGGGTCCCTTCCAACTCTACAATTCAGAGCCAGTGTTAAGAGTCTCATAATCTGGTGAACCGGGTTCGCTTCCCCGCTCCTCCACATGCAGCTGCTGGGTGACCTTGGGCTAGTCACACTTCTTTGAAGTCTCTCAGCCCCACTCACCTCACAGAGTGTTTGTTGTGGGGGAGGAAGGGAAAGGAGATTGCTAGCCGCTTTGAGACTCCTTAGGGTAGTGATAAAGCGGGATATCAAATCCAGATCCAAACAATTTTATGATTCTATGAAATTCAGGAAGGAGCTCCTGAGGGAGACCACTGTCAAACAGCTCTTGCCATTAGAAAGTTTTTCCTGACGTTTAGTCGGACTCTCCTTTTTTGTAATTTGCTGGCATGTGATTAAATCCCACCTGGGGTGGGGGGGAATCAGTGATTTGGGAATGCCCCAAGTTTCAGAGTTTTTGCAGCCACTCCTTCCCCCAAAGCTCACCCAGCCTTGCTGAGCAAAGCTTGAGCAGCATGTATTGATGTTCTTTCTGACCCAGCTGGTTTTCACAGGTCTGAGGATGTCTAAATAGTGCAGAACAACAGGGGCTGACAATGAGCTTCCCCTCCCCCCCCCACACCAATTCATCATGCTGTAAAATAAAACAGACATAAGGCAAGGAGTTCTCATTGATCCAAAGGCCACACTCAACAAAAACACACGCTAGCATCACTGATGATAACAGTTTTCCTGTTGGAGGAGGGAGCGGCGGAAATACCTGGGTGTTCTGTGCTGAGATAACCACTATTTCTAAGTTATTAAATTAATAGGAAGCATCTCTCTCTGTGCGAACCATCCTTGAGTTAATCACTCAGATCCAGCATATTGCAAAGGGTAGCCTGTAGGCCCCCTGCCACTTCCCTCTGTCAATATTCCAAACGAAAATGCCACAAAAGGAGTAATCATTAACTGTGATGCATGTTAGCTGCTCCTCGGCCAACAGGATTTTGGCTCTGAAATTTTGCTCTGATATTTTGCTGCTTCCAGAAAGCAATTATGGCATTTGCTATAAGGCAGGTGCGAAAAGCAGCCGCGTGCCCCAGTGTGTACCAAGAGGCTTTCATCTAACCTGTGTTTTCTCATTTCAGAAGCCGTCTCCCATCTAACCAGCAACTATTCCATCAGGTTATATAGGAGAGGGAGAGAAAGGAGATTGCTCTGCTGAAAAGCCAGCGACTTTGTGCTCCTCTTCTCTGTGTCATTCCATTCCAGCTGGCCACTGCAACAACTTTGTAACTAAAAATTGGTGTCTGGGCTTACTTATTGGATGGCCATCTTTCATGGATGCAAAACACAAAACTTTTTCCTTTAACTTGGTACCTTTTAGTCAATAAACCCAAGAAAAAGGAGTCTCTTATCACTGAGCTTGGTAAGTGACCCTGGAAACCATTTTTAGCTGAAGCGTGGGCTAAAAACACTTTTAATAAATGCAATAACGAATATTTACGCACTCTTTTAGACGAGGTTGAATCCAATAAATTTCACTAATGGGGGAACATGGTTTTGAAGGTGTATCTCTAATCAACTGTCTTTGCTGCCAGGACTAGTCTGGAAATAGGCCAAGAGGATATCATTTTCTAAAGGCTTTAGGAGTAGCTAATACAGAAGATCTGAGGGCAGTTTGCATCCAATGGAGGTTTGTAGTCATGATCACAGGACATGATGTGAATGGATCTGTCAGAAATTTGACAGGCACAATCCGCTTGGAGGTGCTACTCTGCCTGCAGATTTTATCCATTTATGTGTGTGGGGGGGTTGTTATGTATACATATTCAAATACATACATGCAACAGGAGCAAAACAGAGTTTTGGATTTAGCTGGTCAGAGTTGGATGCAAATAAAGAATTGAATTGGAATGGCACACAGAAAATCTGAACCAGATCAGTTTGCTACCAAATGCTACAAATACAGATACAAGATGAATCTTGTGATCGCGGCACTCCTCTTGTGAATACTGTTATTTGAAGGACTTTCTTGAAAATAAAATTTAAGGAACTACACAGCACATGCCATGTTCCCCTCTTGAGGCCTTTCTTTCTTTCCTTTCATTTTCTCTCCCCTTCTTTTTTGTAGACCTCCCATAAGGAGGGGATGGCCTCGGGCCCCATGAATGTGATGGAAGTGGCTTTTGCTTTCCAGTTATCTGTCAGTTTCAACGTAGTGAGGAAATATTGCTGGAAACGTCCAAGCATTGCAAGGCAGAAAAGAAGCCAAAACTAATTTTTCGGCTCCCGCCGTGAAAAGAATCTAAATGTAGATCACAAAAAGGGTTTTGTGTGCTTTTTTGTACATGTCTTGAATGTGAAAGGTACTTATTTTGGCTGTTGAAGTGATAAGAAATATCTTATGAGCTTGACGGCTGTGCGAGACTTTGGGATTTATTTATTTTTTAAAAAGCTTTTCAACTGAATCAGCCTTTTAAAAAAACAAGCCCACAGAAGACCTCCTGTTCTTTTCGAGCTACCAAAGGCAGTCTAGAACTCGGCATTATGAGAGCAGAGGCATGGGATAGCAACTCAGAGATAACAAAGCACCTCAGGTCAAAATGCAAGCGCCCAAGACAGCTGGAAAGAAACATGGTATATAAGTGTTTATACGCTAATGCTCAGAAGCTTCTAATCCAAGATGGGTGAACTGGAGCACTTGGTGTTAAGAGAACAGCATTGATGTGGTAGGTGTTACCGGAGACCTGGTGCAGGGATTCCCAAACTTGAGTCTCCAGCTGTTTTTGGACTACAACTCCCATCATCCCTAGCTAGCAGGACCAGGGGTCAGGGATGGTGGGAACTGTAGTCCAGCTGGAGACCCAACTTTGGGGAAACCCTGACCTGGTGGATTGGAAAGAACCAAAGGGAGACAAACTCTGCAGGAAGCACGAGGAAGGGTGTACTGCAAGTGGCATTGCTCTGTAGATGATAATAATAATAATAATAATAATAATAATAATAATAATTTATTATTTATACCCCGCCCATCTGGCTGGGCTTCCCCAGCCACTCTGGGCAGCTTGCAACAACATATTAAAATACAGTAATGCATCAAACATTAAAAGCTTCCCTAAACAGGGCTGCCTTCAGATGTCTTCTAAAAGTCTGGTAGTTCTTGTTCTCTTTGACATCTGGTGGGAGGGCATTGAACTGAATGAGCCAGAACTCCCCAAAGAGGCAGATTCCTCCACCGAATTATTATGGGTGGTGATGCCTGGCTCCAAAAGCAATTTGAAACTGGGAATGTGCTGTTGTCCCCTGTATCAAAATGCTCAGGGAGCTCTTGAGATGGAAATGGGATCAGGGGAGCATCCAAAATAGATGTTGTAGTTATGAGTGACCAACCGCCCTCACACAGAGGGTTTTCCTATCATGATAAAGAGAGAAAAGTTATTGATAACCCTAGACAACTGTGCCCTAAAACAGCAGGTCGTACACTCAATCAGAGGGAAGGTAACCCAGGACTTGCTTTTAAATGGTACCCGGGACGTAGTGTGGTTGAATCACTTGGGAACAGCAGCGATAGGGCTATCAAATTCAGTATTGGCCAATCGCCAAGAAAATCCAGCATGGTCAATTTTGACTTCCAAAGAGGAAATTTTCCCCCAGTGATGGAGGGGATTGGTAAAAAGGAAGTTGAAAGGCAAAGCCAAGAGAGCCAAATCGCTTCCAAACACTTGGAAGTTGTTCAAAACCACACAATGTTAGAAGCTCCGCTGTAACTAATGAAACACTCAGTAAAGCGAGTCCTATTTTGCCTCCTTTCTCTGCCTGAAGATTCAGTGTACTTCGGAGTTAACCGAACAATGCTAAGGCGTACTGGGTTGCAAAGAACTTGAATGGGAACCCTAGTAAGCTGTGATACGATGGTCAGTTCCATGTTTAGTAGTATTTTTAATCCAATCCCTCTGCCTGCAGTGGTAATTCAGCAACATGGCCATTTATATCTTGTGTTGTGTGTGTGCACTTATCTTAAGAACAATGACACTATGTTTGCCTCCGGGAGTGCCAATGTTTTACAGAAACCACACCAGTTCCTCATAAAAAACAAGACAAAACCAAATCCTGGTAATACTGACACACCCAGAGCTGGCACACACTCTCTCCACCATGACAGCTCTTCTTCCAAAACAGGACTCTTCCGAAGTGTGAGACAGCATGGAACAAATTAATCCAGTTTTCTTGGCGCCGTACAAGTCAACAGCCCACACCTCGTACTCAGTAATGAAGGGCGTGCATCTTCCCTTGTGGGGAATAGGCCTACTATTCCCATTTTAAGCAAAATAATTAGAGACCTGAGGCCACACAGAAAGCTGCGCGGCTTCCTTTGGCCGCGTTGAAAACTGACCCCAAATCTCCCATTTTCCAGCAGCAGGACTCTCTCCACTAACGCAAGCCAACCTTAGCAGAGAATCACATCTTCCTCCGTAGGTGGTTCCCAGCTGGGACAGGCATACCTGGGATGGACGGGTGTGGGGAGGCAACCCCAGGACCAACTCTACAGTCTTGTATCTTGCTTGCTTTGCTGCCCCCTCCCTCCCTAACTCTGTAGCCAAAATGCAAATCTACTCCAAAGAATGTGAGGGAGCTGCGCACCTGCATGGAGCTCTCCTCAAATCACAGGCTAGACAAAGCTGTCTTGGGCCAGGTCAGATCACTGGTTCATCTAGCTCACGCTTCCTCAACCTCGGCCCTCCAGATGTTTTGAGACTACAATTCTCATCATCCCTGACCACTGGTCCTGCTAGCTAGGGATCATGGGAGTTGTAGGCCAAAAACATCTGGAGGGCCGAGGCTGAGGAAGCCTGATCTAGCTCCATAATGTTGACACTGACTGGTAGTGAGTCTCCAAGCTTTCCTTGGAGATGCTGAGGATTGAACCTGGAACCTTCTGCACGGAAAAGCATCTGTTCAGCTGTGGAGTTGTGGCCCTTACGAATGGGGAACGCTCTCACTTTCGGCTCAGGTTTAGCAAGCTTAGGATTAAAGGAAGATGCACAGGCAGATACAGACCCTCCAAGTAATAATAACTTATTACTTACACCCCACCCATCTGGCTAGGTTTCCCCAGCCACTCTGAGCAGCTTCCAACAGAATATTAAAAACACAATAAAACATCAAACATTAAAAACTTCCCGATACAGGGCTGCCTTCAGATGTCTTCTAAAAGTCTGATAGTTGTTTATTTCTTTGACATCTGATGGGACGGCATTCCACAGGGCGGGCGCCACTACCGAGAAGGCCCTCTGCCTGGTTCCCTGTAACCTCACTTCTTGCAGTGAGGGAACCGCCAAAAGGCCCTCAGCACTGGACCTCAGTGTCCAGGCTGAACGATGGGAGGGGGGATGCTCCTTCAAGTGTCCCTATTTTCCAGGGACAGTCCTGGATTTACAGAAGCCATCCCAGTTTCTGATTTAGTCCTGGAATGTCCCGCTTTTCCTTAGGACATCCCTATTTTCATCAGAGAGGTGTTAGAGGGTATGGAGTTATGTGACGACCGAGCCAAGGAAATAAGTAACTATACAAGCTTTAGAAGGCATATGAAGGCAGCCCAGTATAGGGAAGTTTTCTTTAAAAAAATTTTTTTAAAATGTTTTATTATGTTTTTATGTATGTCGGAAGCTGCCCAGAGTGGCTGGGGTAACCCTGCTAGATGAATAGGGTATAAATAATATATTATTATCAATATTATTATAGAATAAGACGTCCCTATTTTCATTGGATAAATGTTGGCGGGTATGCAGATATTGTGGCTATTCCTGGTGGATTTTGCACGACTATTTCAGCTCTACGGATGGCATCAGCTGACCTGTGCTGAATATCATTAAAAGCAGCTATCTTTCTCCTACTCCCTGGCCTCTCACCCCATGGGACAAACATTCCTATCCAGGGGGCAGGTAGCAGCGGCAGAAGCCCCATCAGTCTGTATGAAAGGATCACATAGAAAGACAAAGCCACAGAAGCTCAGGGTGCTTTAAGAAGTATAACAAAACAAAAGAAAAAAACCTCACCAAACAAACTGGGTCATTGGAGGTGTCAGGAAAACCACTGATATCAAAAGACCCTTTGTTCAGAGTCTAAATGTATCATCTGAAGTGTCGAATAGACGAATCTGAAGCAGCCACAGAAGCCTCACACGCCTTTTGTCTCACATGAAAGAAAGCATTTTTCACACTGCAGGACGGTAGTGTGATGTGAAAGGATTGTGACCGAAATAAAATCCTTGGAAGTGATTGGGGCATGCGGTGATAAATATCTTAAAGCTCCCAGCTAATGGATTATAACAACTTCCTTCGGAACTGCAATATATTTTTATTTATAGATTGGATACAAAAGTTACATTCTGCGTGAGTCTATAGTAACACACACACACACACACACACACACACACACACACACACAAAGTGCATTTGCTCAAAAGTCCACATGTGCTAACAGGTCTAAAAGAAATTGGTGGGCCCTTTTTATGTATTCCATAATTTCCTCCTGAGGGAGTTTATAGTCCTTCACACAATAAATATAGGTGCAATTTTTTATACCTGGTGCTACTGCAGATGGAGATGGGGAAGAAACTGGCCCAATGTTGTGTAAGATTAGAGAAAGCTTGAGCAGGGTCTGTCCAAGACATTTTGCTGTCCGAGGCATAGGACAGGATAACACCCAGCCCCAGTCCAACCAGAAGTCAACTAGATTGGCAGTTATATCTTATTCCAACATGACCATACTCCTCGGCACCTCAGGACAGCAAACTAGCAAGCCACATGGCACAAACCGCTCTGTCTTCCGATCACTTGCCACTGCTGTGCACTGCCAGTATCAGCCACCAGAGGCAGCTGACTCACTTTACCTAACAGTAGGGCCAACCTACCCCTGGGTTCAAATCCCTGTTCTGCTATCCAGATGATGTTGAGTCATTCACCCTCTGTCTCAGCCTAACCCACCTCACAAGGCATAAGAAGAGGTACAGAGGGGGGAAAGAACTGTGCACCATACCCCAAGTTCCTTGAAGGAAAAGCAGAACGGAAACATAACAGATTATACTTGTCAAGGACAGAGCTTTAGCATTTGCTTAATTCACATTCCGGAGACACACAAAGGCTCACCTCCCCCCAGCCGTAAGTTTCCCCCAGTTCTGCAACCGCAAACCTCACATTACTATTTATTTTTTACATACATTAGAAAAAACCAAACCAAACTTTTTAAAAACATTGCATGCTAAGTAACCAGGGTCTAGTTTGTTTCCCTTTTCCCCACATTTCCATTTCTTCCAGCTGTGCTTTGCAGTCAGCAGGGCTATTTACAAGATTATATCTCTCTCTCAACTGGATGCACGCTGGACTCCTGGGCTAGCTATTTTTACAAACAGTGTGTGCTCATTTGGTTGCTGTGTGTTTGTGTGTGTGTGTGTTTTAAAAACACCCCAAAAGGGATTATATATGAATATGAATAAGAGCTACATCTGCAGTTGCACTTAGTATGATAAAAGTCACAAGGGCACAAAATCCATGTGCTTTGAGGAATACATTTATCACCATGTGGAATTAAGATGAAATCTGTGTGTGTGAGAGAGAGAGAGAGAGAGAGAGGAGAGAGAGAGAGAGAGAGAGAGAGAGAGAGAGAGAGAGAGAGAGAGAGAGAGAGAACACATGCTTTCCTTGACCCACAAACCACAATGCCCTGAAGGGACCTTCTACTGAAGTCAGCTTGACTCTGGCCCAGTGCATTTATTGTTTTTAAGCCAGACCATTAGCTGACGCAAACTAATTCAGGTAGCGAGAGCCGCATTCCCTTCTCGGCAGGCTTCCAGGGGCCACACGCAAATGGAGGACAGGGATGGAGGCACAATTGGGTACAGCCATGAATGCAAATGTTACCTTTGTGCAGAAGGCTAGTTTCTCCTCTCTCCATTCCACCCAGGCAAGCAGGAGGCATTAATAGAGCCCATGGACATATTCCAGCCAGGCAACCACACTCAAAGAGGATGCAGAGAAAGGATGGATGTGGCTGGGGAAAGCATGTGACCTGGGTATCACCAGACAGACAGAATTAAGGGGTAGTAATAATGTCTCCTACTGCGAGCAGGGCACAGTCACATATTTGAAGGTCTGTTGGTGAATAAGCCTCTTATTTCAGGGATGGGGAACCTGTGATGCTCCAGATATTGCTGGTGTACAATTCCCCTCATCCCAGACCCACTGGGAGCACTGGTTAGTTGGAACTGGAGTCCAACAACATCTGAACGGCCTGCCCCTGTTCTGTTTTAAGGACTCTTGGGTCCAGTTTAATGATAAAGATGGGAGAGAGCTGGAGTCTGGATGTGGCCCATCAACAGTTCACACCTAGAAACACACATTACCTGGCCTCAGCCTTACCTGCTATGGATGGCGAGATGTAGTTCTATTTAAATTTCAGCAAATTTCAGAAGATCATTCTGAAGTTTTCTGCTGGCTGGAGCTGATGTGAGTTGTAGTCCACAGAGAACTAGGCTGGTTAAAGCTTACCTAGCCCCCAGCCTAAAGCATCATCGGTTAGCTCAGTTGATTAGAACGTGGTGCTGATAATGCAAAGGTCACAGGTTCAATCCCCATATGGGCCACCTGCATTGCAGGGGGTTGGACTAGATGACCCTTTGGGTCCTAATTCTAAGGCAACCTCTGCGTTCTTATGAATCCTTTTCCATGTCCCCTGCAGCCGATTCGGGGTTGGGACAGTACAAAGCCTCCTTTCAGCTTCTGGGAAGAACATTTTTCCACATTAATTCTGCCACAAGCTCCTGCTCTTTCATCTCCACCCGCTTCCTTTACAATTCCAGCATGGAAATGGAATCAGTGACCTACGAGCACTCGGGGATTTCGTACTCTGTCAAAAGGAGGCCTGATGTTTTCTGCACATTTTCGGCTTTCCCCTCCATCGGCTACCGTCTTTAACATTTCTGGGATTCCAGATGGCATCTGAGAGCGTCCTCTTGCAGAAATTCACATTTCGTATGTGTCCATATATCAGCTGCCTTCCTCTGGGCTTCATTCTTCATGTCTCGATCGCTTTTTGAGCTGCATGTCAAGAACCCTGGGTAGTGACACCAGCATGAATTATTTCCAGCTTCCTTGCTGGATTTTGTGCTCCAGCACAAATGGAGTTCAGGGTGGGAAGTTGCCCTTTGCATCTGAACCAACAAAGGAGGATCACCTCCAGACTTTCAGCATTTTGCAGGAAGGATTCAAACACACGCTGTAAATTTGGGTTGCACCTGTAAACTGCTCTTTCACCTCAGCATAACAAATACTACTTGTATTTTAAAGGACTTGTTTGCAGTTAGGAATGTGATGAAGAATGAAAGGCAGAGGAAGAACGAATGGCTAACAGGAATATGTGTGAATGCCACACGAACAAATATGATCATGGAATCACAGAATTGTAGAGTTGGATGGGAACCCTAGTCCAACCCCCTGCAATGCAGGAATATGCAGCTGTCCTATAGGGGGATCGAACCTGAAAATAATGAATGTTCATTGCTATAGCACATGTCAGTGTAAACCTGCTTTGGGGGCAATAAACCATAATTCAAACCATGTTTCAAAAGGTAATCATAATTGAAATGAAGCTTTCACTTTCATTTACCTCTCAGTCCAGGGAACCTCCGGCTTCTAGGTGAGCTGAGTATATATAGAAAGTGCCTTGAATTAGAACAGCCACTCTTGAGGAATGCTGCCTTAGGTGTGAATTCTGAATTGTTTTTAAACCTATTTTCAGGTTTGTACTGTTTAAAAGACTACTTTAGCCATTCCTATGATACAGCTAAATTGCCTTGAGACATATGCATGTAAAATGCAATTCATAAATTCATAACAGCTAGGAGAACCCAACATACTGAATCCTTAGGAAGTTGTAGGTTTGCTTTAATAAGTTGCAATTTTTATGCCATCAGACACCAGGGCCTGAAAACTCTCATTTTCCCGGCTGCATGGACACAATCCATGATGGCAGGTGGACATGACTTGGCTAAAATGGCCGGGGTGTGTGTGTGCAGAGGTTCCAATACCCTCCAACTGTCCTGGAAGTACAGAAGCCATCCCAGCTTCTGAATTGATCCCGGAATGTCCCGGGAATTAGCCAGTGCCACACACTCGTAAAAAGGTAAAAGGTAAAGGACCCCTGGATGATTAAGTCCAGTCAAAAGCGACTATGGGGTACGGTGCTCATCTCGCTTTCAGGCCAAGGGGGCTGGCATTTGTCCATAGACAGCTTTCTGGGTCATGTGGCCAGCATGACTAAACCGCTTCTGGCACAACGGAACACCATGACGGAAACCAGAGCGCATGGAAATGCCATTCACCTTCCTGCCACAGCAATACCTATTTATCTACTTGCACTAGTGTGCTTTTGAACTGCTAGGTTGGCAGGAGCTGGAACAGAGTAAATCCCCATCGTGGGGATTCAAACCGCTGACATTCTGATTGGCTAGCCCAAGAAGCTCAGTGGTTTAGACCATAGCGCAACCCGTGTCTCAGCCACACTGTCGTACGAGTCAGCTAGCTCTCACCTTCTGATTTTCATCAGGGGAATGATGGAGGGTACAGGTTCCTCCCCACTGAACTAGATTCACTGGGGGAGTGGGCCCACTGAGGGAGTCAAAGGTCAAAATCTGGAGCCAGCACTGGAAGCTCCTTACGCTTTCCTGTCCCATTTTGTGAGAGTGTGTACGTGTGCCTCTGTCTTTCTCTTCTCTTCTTCTGTGCAACTAATAATTAGACTGCAACTTCATCCATCTACACGCATACCACAGTGATGGGGAAACGAGCACTATGTCCCCATAAACTCTATTCTGTCGAGGAGCAAGCCTATAAATTGTCAGCAAAGGCTCTGGGCTGCTTTTCACAAAAGCCTATTTATTCAAAGCTTTCCCTATTAATTTCTCCCCGTTGCAAACACAGAGTTGAAAGCAATGTAAATGGATCCACTGCTGCCCTTTTAAACCAGTCTGGCAAAGCTGCCTCATGACCTGACTAAGTGATCTATGTGTCCACACAGCCCAATCCGGTGTGCGAGCCAATGAAGGTTCTTTCTTACAAACCAGTCTGCAATCTTTGCTTCTATATCTTGAACCACTCCCTAGGGGTCTTTTGAAAACAGGGCAGAAGAAAAAGAGAAAGAATTTCCTGACCACTCAAAGGCAGAAGGCAAGACGTCGGGGCAAAACCCTGCAAATTTTACTTGAAATACCTTGTGTACAAAAGGTAACAAGAAAGGGAAGCAACTTCTTAACCTGGTAATAAAATGGAGTAAATCGCAACTTTACAGCCTTAATGCAATCATATACTTTTTAGGTGCCAAACAATGAAATAAACCATATATAGTTTGGCTCCTGCCAATCCCAGAATTATCATTCCACAAACACAATCCAAACAACCTGCAGAAAAAAACCCTGTACTCTACAAAAGGTGTTTGCAGTGGAAATGCCTCTTGGAAGATTTGAGCAAGTGAGTCAAATCCCATGTGTCAGAGGAAAGAAAAACAAACTGGGGGGGCTGGAAAGGTTACCGTAATTTACTGCCCAGTTATGGAAATACCCCAGAATAAATAAGTTGTCTGTACAGTTTCAGTGCAGGGACTGTACCATTGCACACTGCAGGTGGAGGGTTTGCACCTTGGAATGTTCCTTCACATGGAGGTTCTCACATACTGTTCTCTGTTGAGAACTAGCCTATCAGTTTTCTACATTAAGAGTGTCATGGTTTTTTTAAGACACAAAAGGAATATGCAAACATATTTAATCCTCCATTTGCGTTGTCAGATGGTACAGTCTCAATAGTCTTGTATCATGTGACAATTCTCAGAATCTGTATGAGCAGATTAGCTCAAACTTCAGACACATTGCAAGCAATAAACAACAATTCTCAGCAATCCCTGCAGAAATATGTTGGAGGGAGATATGATGGAGGAAGTCATCATAACAGTCAGCCAAACACTCGGTTTTTTGCAGAACAGATGCAGTCCTTGAAGCTTGGCATCCTTCCCTTCAGGGCCAGGTGTTAAAGACTGGCTTAGCAAAACATATACAGAAAGAAGCAGCGATGTGGGATGGAACAATTTATAGCGCTTTGTTTTTCTGTGGAAACGAATAACATTAATTCATTGTTAATGGTAGATGGATGCCAACGGCCAAAAAAAGAGAACACCAGAACAGTAGGCAAGCTTGGCAGATTCAATGTTTTTTAGCTTTATTTCCTAAACAGAAGGAAAATAAACATGCTAAATCAGATCACTCAGGCATCAGATAATTTCCCCATTCAAACTGGAAATGTCCCTATGCAAATTATCCTATGGTATGCTGAAATAACCCCTGGGAAAGTTTTGCATAGTAAACTTTCCCCCCAAAAGTTCCCAATCGAAAATATTCCAGAAAATCCATAGCACTGGATAGGAGACATGGAAACACAGCTTTACTAGCTGCCACCCAGCTTAGACCAGACTTGGATAGAAAAATATCTGATTTAGTGGAAATCAAAACAGCTGAACAAAATGTTCTGTATTAGCTAAGTCCAGCCTTGCAAAAGCAATTTGTGATTTTGAAATCTCTAAACTCTGGGCAGTCAGCTGAGGAACCCACACTTAGGAAGTTTGCCCCTGCTGCAATGACGTTAGAATACATGGTGCCTGGCTATCACAAGTGTACCGTATTTTTCGCCCTATAGGACGCACTTTTTGCCTTCCAAAAATGAAGGGGAAATCTGGGTGCGTCCTATGGGGCGAATGCAGGCTTTCGCTGAAGCTTGGACAGCGAGAGTGGTCGGTGTGCACCGACCCCTCTCACTCTCCAGGCTTCAGGAACACATCTGCAGCCTAAGCAGCCCTGCGGGACTTCCCGCAGGGCTGTCTAGGCTGCGGATAGCAGCCTGCTTCCTGGAGCGTCGGGCGCCCTGAAAGCAGAGCGCCTGGCGCTTCGGGAACACATCTGCAGCCTAGGCAGCCCTGCGGGAGGTCCCGCAGGGCTGTCTAGGCTGTGGATAGCAGCCTGCTTCCTGGAGCATTGGGTGCCCTGAAAGCAGAGTGCACGGCGCTTCGGGAACACATCCGCAGCCTAGGCAGCCCTGCGGGAGTTCCCACACGGCTCCCTACGCTGTGGATAGCAGCCTGCCGCCCGGTGCAAGGGGCACCCTGAAGCAGAGCGCCCCTCGCGCCAGGCAGACATCCGCAGCGTGTTGGAGCCCTGCGGGAGTTCCCCGCAGGGCTCCCCACGCTGCGGATAGCAGCCTGCCGCCCAGCGCGAGGGGCGCCCTGAAGCAGAGCGCCCCACCCGCCGGACAGACATCCACAGCGTATTGGAGCCCTGCGGGAGTTCCCGCAGGGCTCCCCATGCTGCGGATAGCAGCCTGCCGCCCGGCGCGAAGGGCGCCCTGAAGCAGAGCGCCCCGCCCACCGGACAGACATCGGTCAGCCCCACAAGCTCGGGGGACAGCAAGGAGGCGCAGCGCCGCCATCCCGCTGTTCCTCGACCTGGTTCGGTTTCCCCGACCTGGTTTTGGGGGGGAAATAAAGGAAAACAATTTTTCCTTTATTTCCCCCCCAAAAAACTAGGTGCGTCCTGTGGGACGGAGCGTCCTATGGGACGAAAAATACGGTACTTTGCAGAGATAGTGGCCCTTCATGAGATTAATACAGTGGCAAACTGGAATGACATCTTCTGCCCAACAGACAGCCCAACACTGGGATCGTGATTTTTGGCTTTCTAGTCCATGAAAGACATCCATCTGCCATCAGAACATTTGTAGGCAGACAGAACAAAAGAGGTGACTTTTGCAAACTTTCTCTTTCTATTTTTCTGGAAGAGGTGTTAGTGGGCAACCCCTCACTTCTTCCTTTTTATTTCCACCCAGACACAGATGTAGGTTTACCATTGTAGGAGAAAAAAATGGTGCTGGTGACAAACCTATGATGAGCGCCATGCACTCACCATATGGGCAATTGCAACAGTGGCTGCCTTGCAATCCTTTAAGCACCAGAGGTGAGAGGCAGAGGCATCACCAGCAGTAACTATGACAACCCAAAAGTCCGCCCATAGGGAACTTGGGCTGAACAAGGTTTCTAACTCCTCTTTCACTGCCTGTGGGGAACTTCTGCGCATCCAGATATTGCTGAACTTCAACTCCAAACATCCCTGATCACTGACCATGCTTGCTGGCACTGATGGGAGCAACATCTGGAGGGCAAAAGGTTTGCACACAGTCTAACCTATTGCTCCAATGGCACACCAAACACCGTAGCAGCACAGTATCAGGAAGTTTTTAATGTTCGATGCTTTATTATGTTTTTATATGTGCTATAAGCTTCCTAGAGTGGCTGGGGAAACCCAGCCAGATGGGCGGAGTATAAATAAAGTTGTTGTTGTTGTTTGCAGTGCCTGAATCTGTTGCTTCCCCATTCTCTCCCCCATAACTCCTTTCTGCCAGCTTTTTGCAGGCTTCTTTCGAATGAATGGCTCTTCAGACAGAATTTTATCAGCAACGATTCCCCTTTTTTTAACCAAAGGAAATGGTCCGATGAGTAAATCAAACAAGTCTATTGTGCTACCAGCCGGTTGTTGCGCAACGTCGTGCAACAGATTGCCAAGAATGCCATTAAGGCAAGTCCGACTTAATTAAGGAAGTTCAACGAGGCCAAAGTGTTGGAACGAGCAAGTGGTCCTCAGGAGCAAGAGAGCATGGGTTCTTCCAGATACAAAACCCTCCGTTGACCACCTTCTTGCACAAAAGGCAAAAAATCTATGTAATTAAGAGATTGATTAAGAGATAGACTGTGCTTACTCGCAAAGCGACGGAAGAAATAGCACTCCTGCACCCACATAATGTAATTAGCAAATAACTAAATAAATGGTTGTTGCAGCCAGTTCTCTCCCTAGCAGTGAAGCAAATGTGTGTTTACGGAATAATGAAACCAATTATCTCGATGCAGAAACTCAACTCGCGCTGCCTTTTGCACACTTTCCTTTTCGTTCTCTTGCTCTCCCTCCCATTAATCCCTGGCATGCAGTTCTATGGAAATTCAACTCACTTAAAAGGCTCTTTCAGGCCAATTTGCCATTTATTATCTTTCCTACTGCATCAGCTCTGGGACCAGCTCTGAAACTCGAGATCGGCAACTGGAGGCCTTTGGGCTCACAGCATTCCTGCTCTTGGCTTTCAGTTCGGCAAGAAAAATCAGGGACAGAGTGCCATTTGAGAAAAGGAGAACAGGATGCAGACCTGTCTCATTGTCCGTTATGTTCCTTATGGGACCTGGATAGGGGTCCAAAAATCTGTCAGTGATGCTTTCTCATTTTTCCAGTTTTCAGCCTAGTTACCCACATTTCCACATCAATTTGCAATTGTTTCCAAGTCCACATGAAAAGCCATCAACCTTTTAGTGCTAATTTCTCCAATGTTTGTATGCAATTTTGCCTAATATGCACATTTTTGCAAAGCCTAAGTTCTCTAATGTAACAATTTATTGTATAGAGACATCACCTTGCCAACGAAGGTCCATATAGTTAAAGCTATGGTTTTCCCAGTAGTGATGTACGGAAGTGAGAGCTGGACCATAAAGAAGGCTGATCGCCGAAGAATTGATGCTTTTGAATTATGGTGCTGGAGGAGACTCTTGAGAGTACCATGGACTGCAAGAAGATCAAACCTATCCATTCTGAAGGAAATTAGCCCTGAGTGCTCACTGGAAGGACAGATCGTGAAGCTGAGGCTCCAGTACTTTGGCCACCTCATGAGAAGAGAAGACTCCCTGGAAAAGACCCTGATGTTGGGAAAGATGGAGGGCACAAGGAGAAGGGGACGACAGAGGACGAGATGGTTGGACAGTGTTCTCAAAGCTACAAACGTGAATCTGACCAAAGTGCGGGAGACAGTGGAAGACAGAAGTGCCTGGCGTCCTCTGGTCCATGGGGTCACGAAGAGTCGGACACGACTAAACAACAACAAATAGTCAAAACTATATGCATTTTATCCAACTTTACCCTAGCTTATACTTCTTCTCTTTTTTAAAAACACACATGTCAGTTGGCAGGAGAAAGGCATCTTAAAATTCAGAAAAGTGTAACTCTTGAAGAATGGCTGTTTTGGTTTGTGAGTTAAGCTGTGTGGTAAGTGCGAAAAAGGGAGATTTGTATTCAAATGTGGACTGAATCAAAATTTCCCCAATCCCTACACTTGGGTAATTTACCTTCTTCTATATATTGCTTTTCACTAGGGATGATAGGACCTGTGAGTTTGAGTTATGTCAGTTTATTTTTTTCTAATCTTAAATTCAGTTCTCCACATTTTGCAGCAATTTGTGACTTTTTAAAAATTAAAAATCCTCGCTCAGTCATGACGTTCACTGGGTGAACTGGGGCTGGTCATTGTCTCTCAGCGTAACCTACCTCACAAGGTTGTTGTGAAGATGAAATGGGGACACTCAAGGTACACCACCATGAGCTCTTTGGAAGAAAAAAAGTGGCATATAAATGTGATTAAAATAAAAAAATTAAGAAAACCTCATGAAAATTCAGCAGCATTTTAGTGCAGATTCTTCCTAATAGAACACATTGTTATATGCAGTCTAACCCTTGCACATTTTTGTAAATGATTTCCCCTAACACAATGCATTTTTGTGTCATTTTTACTAACATATCCATCTTTATGCACACTTTCACCGTTTTTGTAAACCTTGTTTGGTCAGCGAACTGCATAGCAAAATTTGCAGAAGTGCAAATTTCAAAGGCTTGCTGTGCTTCTGTTCACATACTGTTTCAGAAAAGTGCAAATCTGACAGATTCAGCTGGGATCAATTTTCTTCCCAACCCCACTCCTCACATGCTGTCATTGCCGTCTGACTAACCCAGATCCCCAAACCTGCATGGTGTGGTGGCAACTCCTTCAGAGAATTGTCGTTTCCTGAAGTAGGAAATGTGACTGCTACATCTCCCTTAGGATGGTCACTTTTCAGGAGGGTCTTCTTTACAAGAAGAGCTGCAATAAGCCACAACTCTCTGGCAAACATGCATTGCACACGGACGCATCTTCAGACTTCTTCTACATAACAGATGCAGAAGTGGCTCAGGGGCCCATTTTGCACACGCAAAAAGAGTTGTTGCTAGTAGCAAAGGTTTACCAAGCATCTGAACAAGGCTTGCAACCTAACCAACTTTCAAACGAGTTATTTGAAAGCGCTACGGAAATTCCAGACTGACCACTTGACAGGCCCGTTTCTCTTGGTTTATCTTCTGAGGCTTCCCAGCACTAGTTTCGCCAGCCTGTTTTTAGCTTTGCGAGGAAGCCTTTAATCAAGGCGCTGGAAAGGGAAAGAAAGCTTGCTGAATACACCCTAAAGAAATCTCTCCTTAGGATCCCTGGCCCAGAGATGCAGGAAGGACCTCCTTCAATGGCACCCATGTTTCTGGGTTAAAGGTTAAGAGTGCACTGAGATTCCTCAAAGCATCCTTTCTTGGGTCACCACACCTTCAAAGAACATTTGTACCGTCACCGCTCCTGGGATTCTTTGGGGAAGTTATGTAGGGTGTGGCTGTGATCTTGGGGGAGGTGGGAAGGAACAAAGGGTGATAGTCTAGTAAGTTTTACTCAGAGCAGACTTGCTGAAATTAATGGCCCAAACTTAATGTTCACTAATTTCAGTGGGTCCACTTCAAAAATTAAATAAATTAAAGATTTTCTTAGGTTATAAAAGTACGCGCCTTGTCTCTTTTTTCAGGTTTTTCTTCAGTGGGTCCATTGTGAAACTTATTGCAGTACCAACCTGAGGAATTAAACTGTTTTACTATCTTGTATTCCATATATTCATCTTTGGAAAGCCAGCATATGGCATATATTGAGATACATGCTAGAACCCAGAGGCCCTGGCAAAGCCCATTGCCACTACTGCCTGCCAGGTCCCAAACCACTCCTGCTGACACTGCCACTACCACCACTCCTGGGCTGGCAAGAAGGGCTAGGGGATGGCAGGGAACTGACCAGAGCAATCAGCCATGCGTGCAAATTCCCCATCAACACCAGCTTAATTAGGCCAACAATGATTGGGGAAGGGCTGTGGCTCAGTGACAGAGCATCTGCTTTGCATGCAGAAGGTCCCAGGTTCAATCCCCACCATATCCATATCTCCTGTCTGAAAGCCAGGAAAGCTGCTTCCAGTCATTGCGGACAATACTTAGTTAGATGAGACAAAGGCCAAAGTACAGGGCAGCTTCCTATGTTCCCTGCCATGCCTATGTTTGAGGGTGAGGCGGGTGCTATTCAAGCTGGTGGAGGCAGGGAGTTTGTGTACATAGGCTGGAGTTCTGATCTGCACCACTGCTGGGCCCCTTCTGGGTCCTTGCTACCTGAGGCTACCTGAGGGTGTAGCATTGTGCCGCTCTCGGCACTGGGTCACATGTGCAGACTACCTGGGGCCATCAGCTTAATAGTGCCAGCCTTCTTCCTGAAGGCAAGGACCCTTCAGGGTGTGGATGGCAAAAACCAGCATCGCCAGGGAATGTGTGTGCACTGTGATCAGCACAGCTGCCACCACCATGAGCAAGCACCGGGGACCCCCCAAGTGACAGGAGCGAGCCAGCAGGAAATCACACCAAGCAAGTTGGAGTTCACTCTTTATTAGCAAAAACACGATCTTCACAGATTTGGCTGAGTGTCAGGCCTAATGAGCAGAGCAACCCATCTCTGGTAGGTCTTGCCCCATGAAGCAGAGACTAAAGGTCCCCACCCTCCACAGCCATCTATGTCTCCTCCTATCCAGAGGTTTTTTTCCCCTAAGCAATCGGAGACTGCACCTGCATGCCTGCCTTTGCTCCTCCTGTTTCATGCCTCTCCTTGTTCTGGGAGACCAGAAGGGAAGGGAGCTTGTTGCAGCAGGATGAGGAGACACCCATGCCTCTCCCTGACCCATCTTTGCTTCTTGGCTTCCTTCCTCTCCTGCTTCAGCTTCTGCCTTTCATTCTGGGCTTCTCTCAGCCACAGACCCTTTCTGCTCACTAAATCCTATTACCTCTTCAGGTTCCAACACCTCCTCCGCTCTGTCTGCTCCCTCTTCTCACTCTGACCGCTCATCATCATCCCACCACCATTCCCCGGGCTCTAAGCCTTCTTCTCTTGGGGGTTCCCCAGCTGGTGACTTCCACCATTCCTCTGCATCCAACCAGTCCATGACCCCAAGGGCAAATGAACTGGGGACCCCAAATCTTGGAGCCAGATCTGAACTTTGGAAGACCATAAGTGTTTAAGTCTAGTGTCTGGCTGTTGGTTAGAAACTATGAGCCGCACCAGTGATAGAACAACTGTCAGGGACTCCTGGCAGTCCCGGTCATCTTATTTACTGTTGCATGCACTTTTCTCTTTATAGTGGATCAAGGCCTCCTCCTCCGGGATCTTGGCTAACGTTTTTGGATTACACTGCTTGGCAAGGGCCTCCAGCTGTCTGGCCAGCCCTGTCGAGTAAAGCAGGCAGTGCAAAGAACTGCCACATAAGTCATAATGCTGGATAGACTTTCGTCCTGGCAGCTTTGCATTCAGCAGCGGCCTCCCTTTGATGGTGCGAAACCCTGCAGATCTGGAGAAGGAGAAGCTCATCCATTAGGCAACTATCTACTTGAACTGAGAGTTGAGCACATCCATCAAGGCCAGGCTGCTCCAAGCAGAAAACCCAGTGGCTGTGCTAGAGTCCAGAGACTTCCCCTTTTGCAAAGCGAGCACCACACTTTGCCAAGAAAACCATCTGCAGAGCAGAAAAAGGAGGAGGGCGATGGCATGGTGTGGTGTCTGAGAAACCCCTGCTTCAGAGAGGCTGAGCTAGCATACTGTTGTGGCTAAAATGCTGGACATGCTAATAATTTTTATCAGCTTTTCAGTGATAAATGCACTGTATGAAGTCAGAAAATAGAAACTGAATGTAACAAGAAATACAAAAACAAACAACCATACCTCCCTCCCCTCTATGCTAGAAGCCAGGAAAGTGATCTTATTCATTCTAATGTATTGAATGAATTCTTAATGTATTTTTCTTATGTATTATGTATTGTTGCCTACATCCATCATTTTTTGTGCTGCTCTTGCAGGGACTTTGCAGGGCATATCATCAGGACAATGTCACTGTTTTCATTGGCCAGAAGAGACTGATACCCAAGCACAAAGTTCAGAGTAGAAATATAATCATGGCATTCAATGCTGGAAATAAGGTATTTTGTAAACCGGTACTTCAGCATATGTAATAAACGAACACCAAATAGCACAACATACATCTGGTTTCTAAATTGTTGGCATTTGTGCAGGGTGATTTGGGTTAAAAAAAAAATACCCAATCTCAGAGCTTCCTGGGTGATCTTGAACCAGTCCCTCTTTGTGCATTTCTTCTAGTGCCATGCCCCCCCAAATCATCCAGCAGTTCCTCACCTCCCCACTCAACTATCCATCAAGAAACTGTACTTGCAAATTATCAAAGGGGAGAGAAGATTTCAGTTACATTCTCATGCTTTGGGTACAGGTATTGAACCTTCCTCCTACTTTACAAATCATCACACCAGTGTTCTGCACTTTGCAGCCTCCCCAGGTGCCAGCACTTTAATTAGAGCCCAGTTGGAGCTGTCTTATACTGAGTTAGACCCTTGGTGCATCTAGCTCAGCACTGTCTCCACTGACAGTGGCATGTAGTCAATACACAGACACTGAAATTCAGGTAGAGGTCTCTGCCAGCCCTACCTGGAGATGCTGAGAACTGAACCAGGAACCACCTGCAAGCAAAGCAGACACTGAACTCAGGCTCCTCCCCCAACATTGCTCCCTGGAAATGAGGCGGGGCTGAAAATGCTAGCCAAAACAATGCTTTCAGTCGTTCATTCCCATTTATCTACAAAATTGGGATCCTCACAGCCTGCCTCTCAGGGATATTGTACTGACGATGTCTGCAAAGGACTTGGAATGTGCTATATGCAGACTATGTATTAGCATTCAGAACCAGGCGTTGACATTTTACCATTTTCCGCAGCAGCAACTGATTTGCTTTCACACCCATCCCCTCAATACGCTTGAACCTGAACAATTCTTCCAGTCAGAGGACAAAAACTGGCAAACTGCTAATTTTTAAGTGGAGACCATAAGGGAGGGAATCGGTTAAGCAGCAGGCTGGCAGCTTTTCCCTCCACGCAGCCCCCGTTCCAAAGCACTAATGCTTTGAATGAAGTAAATTGCAGCAAAGCTGGGTCCTTCCAAAAAGTCATGCTGACCTCCTCTGATGAAACATTTCATTTGTTTACCACTGACTTTCTATGACAGGAGAGGGAGCCTTTAGCAGCTCCAGGGCCACATTCTTCCCATGGGAAACCTTCCAGGGGCCGCAGGCCAGAGGTGGTGAGGGCCAGAGGTGTACCTCTTACCCCTGTGAAGTAAAATCAGGAGGTTTCTACATACGCATCTCTTTATTCTCCATCCAGGCAGACAACAGGCATTATCACAATTCAAGAAAAAGATTGCTCAAGGAGGACACAGTGCAGGGCCACTGAGGGGGTGTGGCCTAGGGCAGGGGGAGTGGCTTCAGGAGGGGTATGGCCTGGGAAGAGTCCTAAAGACCAGACCAAGACAGGCCTGACCGGCTGCTTCTACACCTGTGACCTGAGGTTTTTTCACCTATCTTCCAGGAAAGGCTAGTCAACCAAGCTACCCTACACAGGTTTGTCCTAGTGGCCAAATTTTTATTCCACAGAAGGGTGAAGACAGTCCACGGACCCTGAAGGTGCCTGAGACCCTCTCCTGTTGCCCCTATATGCTGTTCCAGAAGACTCAGTGAGACCATGGTGGGTGGTCGGGTTTGGTCACCAAAACAATCACAGTGCGACGCCTGTTTTAAAAGAAACTCCCACATCTTGGCTCAGGTCAATTCTTGTGACCTTTTCGGTGTGCAGCAACAGCTTCAGAGTTTATTTAATGCACCTAAAGTGGCTTAAATGTTCCAACCTTTTAAAAAATAACACAGAATTACGGGTGTGAGAGGCCTTAGCTGGATCAGAACTCTGCTGTGTGTGTGTGTTTGTGTGCAAAAATACATCTTGAAAACACAAGAAAACAAAGCCGAATAAGGAGCAATGGAAGAGAAAGCAGACATACCTGACTTTCCCACTCCGGCTCGGCCAAAGATGGCCAGTTTCACTTCTGCACTCTTAGCCATGGCGGGGAGAAAATGGAGGATGGCGGAAACGTCGCTGGCTGAACCAAACTGGCACGAAGGATGAATGGCAAAGTCCTTTCTTCCACCTTACCGTGCCATTGTGATTTTCAAGCAGGGCCTAATGGGAAAAGACCCACCAAAGAGAAGGAATGAGCAGGTGAACAGGGGTGCTGCCAGCCACTGCCAAGGTCTCAGCAGAGGGTTGAGGTGTGTCCTGTTTCGCAAGGACCCACAGGGAGAGCTTTTCGTCAGACGCAGCCCTCAAACGATAAGCCATGAACCTAGAACCAATCTCCTTTCTAAAAGCTCAGGGGGTGGTTCTCTGTCTTCGGGCATGGGGGAAGAAGAAAAAGAGCAAAAGCTCTATTTCTTTATATTGCGTATTACATTTACCTAGGCTAGGCTGAGAGAGAGTGACTAGCCTAAAGTCACCCAGTGAGTTCCATGGCTGAGCAGGCATTTGACCCCTGGTCTCCCAGGTCCAAGGCTGGCACTCTAAACCACTGCATCATGATGGCTCTGTTCAGAAGAATCACATGTTACAGCCCCCTCTCTTCAGATCACAGCTGGGGCGATGGACGGACTTGACTCCCTTCCTGAATGATCCCATATATATATATACACACACACACACACACACACACACAGTGGATGCTCCGGATGCAGCGTTTGCAACCCACAGCAGTGCGTCTGCGCACGTGTGGGTTGCGATTCGGCGCTTCTGCGCATGTGTGACCGCCAAAACCCGGAAGTAACCCGGAAGTTCTGGTACTTCTGGGTTTTGGCAGTTCGCAACCCGAAAAAACGCAACCTGAAGCGTCTGTAACCCGAGGTATGACTCTCTCTCTCTCTCTCTGTATACAGTGGTACCTCGGGTTAAGTACTTAATTCGTTCCGGAGGTCCGCACTTAACCGGAAACTGTTCTTAACCTGAAGCACCACTTTAGCTAATGGGGCCTCCTGTTGCCACCGCACCGACAGAGCACAATTTCTGTTCTCATCCTGAAGCAAAGTTCTTAACCTGAGGTACTATTTCTGGGTTAGCAGAGTCTGTAACCTGAAGCATATGTAACCTGAAGCGTATGTAACCCAAGGTACCACTGTGTGTGTGTGTGTGTGTGTGTGTGTATAAGCTTGCATACAAAAGATGTGCAAATCATGTGGAAATCTTGGCAAGAACCCTATTCCCTGAGATGCTACCTTTCCACATAACTTCATGATAAAAGCTTTGCTGGATCAGGCCAAAGGCCCATCTATCCCAGCATCTCGTTCTCACACTAGCCAACCAGATACCTGGTGGAAGTCCAAAAGCAGGATCCAAGAAAAGCCACAGCTCACTTGTGATTCCCAGCAACTGGCTGCGCTTCAAGACCCCTAAGCCACTCCCAGGAGAATGAAGACACAAGGACACAGAATTTAGGTTAATGTTAATGGGCAAAATTTAGGCCTGTGCATCAACAACACAATGCATCTGGAGTGACCTTTGCATTATTCCTGTACACCCCCCCCCCAATTTCTTTTTATAGGACTAACATACTAAATAGTACAATCTAATGTGCTGTTGCGTGAAGCAGGGAACACAGATTAAGTGCTAAGGCCCCAATGTGGCCTTAATGGATCAATCCATTTTGCATCTGCACCACAACCAACTCAAGCCTTGGTGCAACAGCAGAAGCCATTGGTACTACAACACATGCATCTTCTGCCAGTTCCTGTGCAGATGAGTTTCAGGAAAAAGAAGTTGTGCAGCAAAGCAGATGGAGGAGTGCAGCTTCCAGCAACCCATGGTATGGACAACCAGTCCCTCCATTTGGTCCTTGTAGGTCCTTGTTTCAGCCCCCTCCCTCCCTGGCTCCAAGCATCACCCACAAACCCAAGACCTCACCTCCCTTCTGCTCTTCAATCACATTTGAGGACAACACAGTCAAAGCTATCTTTAGCAATTCCTCCTGTGCGGGGGCATCACAGCTTGAGCAGAGCCCATGCCTCATTACGCACAATGGCTGGTCACTTCAAAAAAACAAAAGCACAAAACAGTTTGCCTTAAAAACATGCTTTAAAGGGCATAATCAGAAAATTACTCTGCACAAACTTCTATTACAATTGGGAGGAAAGGGTTAAGCAGCCCGTTACTAGCTGTCAACAATTAATCATTTCAAAGTATGGCCCTTGTTTGAAAAATGATCTGCCAATCCAGATTCAGACTGTTTTTGAGGGTGCAACTCTGTGCTTTCCTGTTTTTAGGGGAGCTTTAATGTGGGGCTTTTCTGTCTTGCTTGCATAACAGAGAATGTCAACGTCATGTTTGGCAAAATTACCTAACAGTTAATAGATACCATAGGACACACAACCGCTGAATAAAGTCTCGACATTCTTCAATATAATAGGCTCAAAATACTGAAAAAGTCCCATTTCTACCCCAGCCAAGATAGCTGCAATTATTATTGCCAGCAGTTGGCCTTGACAACTAACTTCCAATACAGGTTTTTACGTTTCTGAATGTACGAAAAACCCATTAACGCCGTTGTGGAGTCAGCTCCCCACAGCCTACTGTAACTCCCTTTATTGGTCCTCAGGAATTGCTATGAAACCCACACCAGTTGGGAAAGGTATGCTTCTCAACATTTCCCCCTAAACAAACCTCTGTGCTTTTAAGTGCTCAGAAGCCCTTTGTGCATTCTGCATCAGGGGCAGAGTTCAGGGTTAGGCAAGGCTTAAAAGGTGTTTTATTATAGGGCTCGGAAAAGCTTTCCCCACCCTGCCCCATCTCATCTCACTCATCAGCTTGATGGAGGAGTTCTCTGTGAGAAATGCTAAGAGGTGGAGTGGACCAACACTGACCCCCTCACCCTTCTCAGTTGCCCACCCCAGAAAAGCATAAGACAACTGACAACTGTGAGGAAAAGTGTGGCCGTTTTTGGAAGAGGGTGTGAGTAATCTTCAACTACGCAGAGATGCTTTGCCCAAAATCAAGGGTCCCTCCAGATGTCCTTATTATTGTGCACCCACAATAATTTGTGCTCATGATAATATTGGGGCAGTTATAAGTAATCAATGACGCAGGCTCCCAGTATGTTTCGGAGCACAATCCAAAATGTTGATGCTGACTTTTAAAGCCCTAAATGGCTTTGACCCTGAATACCTGAAGGAGTGTCTTCACCCCCATTGTTCAGCCTGAGGTCCAGCTCTGAGGGCCTTCCGGCAGTTCCCTCACTGCGAGAAGGGAAGTTACAGGGAACCAAGCAGAGGGCCTTCTCAGTAGTGGCCTCCCATCAAATGTCAAACAGATAAATAACTATATGACTTTTAGAAGACATCTGAAGGCAGCCCTGTATAAGGAAGTTTTAAATGTTTGGTGTTTTATTGCGCTTTTAATACTTTGTTGGAAAATGGCCAGAGTGGACGGGGTACAAATAAAAAAGTTGTTGTTGTTGTTGTTGTTGTGTTACAGAGCATATCTGCAGACACGGAGCAATGGATCCAAACTACAAGAAAGAAGATTCCACCTAAACATTAGGAAGAACTTCCTGACAGTAAGAGCTGTTCGACAGTGGAATTTGCTGCCAAGGAGTGTGGTGGAGTCTCCTTCTTTGGAGGTCTTTAAGCAGAGGCTTGACAACCATATGTCAGGAGTGCTCTGATGGTGTTTCCTGCTTGGCAGGGGGTTGGACTCGATGGCCCTTGTGGTCTCTTCCAACTCTATGATTCTATGATTCTAAAAAGACTCTGGCCTGGAGTGTCATTTAAAGCCATCGTAACAAGACTTATTATTATTATTTTGCTATGCTAACAATTGACAAGCAACTGTAGAGAGTATTCTTCATCAGCCTCTATTTTCACAGGGTGGCTACAAATGACATCAGTTATGTGGGAAAACACAGAAACAAACGTATGTAGAGTTGGACCCCCTGATCCATCTAGTCTCTAAATTGACTGGCATCAGCTTTCCAGGGTACCAAACAGTTATCTCTTCCACTGCCCAGTCTTCTGGGAGACGCTAGAGACCAAATCTGAGACCTTCTGGCATGCAAAGCAGATGTTTTACCCACTGAGATACAGCTGTTGGGTAGCTATTGCTACAGGAACATGCCACATGCTCAGAGATACTGCATCTGCATTTATACTAAGGGGGCAAAAGTGTGTGTGTGTGTGTGTGTGTGTGTGTGAGAGAGAGAGAGAGAGAGAGAGAGAGAGAGAGAGAGAGGAGGGGAACCTTAGTTTCCTCATTGTTTCCACATCTGTGTTCTAATTTACATTTTTAAAATGTGATTTCTATTCAGAGTCATTGAGAGCTGGTGACTACCCAGTTGGCTTCATGGCTGACTGGGGATTTGAAGCCTGATCTCTCAGATCCTGGACCAGCACTCTAACCACTAAACCACACTGGCTCTTTTCTTATTTTTGCAGCTGCATCACACTGTTAATGATCAACTACAGCCCTGAGATCCTTTTCACCCATACTATGGCCAAGCAACCATTATTTGACTTGAGGACTGACAGCTGGGCATGTGAAGTGATTCCACTGGGGGTTTTTTTGAGAGGTAATTGAATGTTCTTGCACAAATGCAGACTTTAGTGCTCGGTGCCAAGTTATTTCACTAAACACTGACTTATTTCACTTTAAGTAAGTTTCTAACACTGCTCTTGCCTGATTTATTGGGCTGGCAATAAGTAAATAAATCCAACTTTGCTTGGAACAGAATTTAGAATTCATTTTTTTATGTGTAAGAAGCACATAGTTGGGCTCTCCAAGCTTAGCACTCTGATGGCATACCTCAGTCTGTAGAACATGAGATTCTTAATCTCAGGGGTCGAGGGTTTAAGCCCCATGTTGGGTAAAAGATTCCTGCAATGCAAAGAGGTTTCGACTGAACCTCATAGTCCATTCCACCTCTATGAATCCAGGATCCAGGACTTTGCAGTCAGACAACACGGTGACCACCATCCAGTAAATTCAGCTCACTGAAATAATTTGGTTTAAACATGTTTAATTCTGTTCTGGATTGCAGCTGATGCCTTTGGAGCTCTTTTTCATCATAACTTTGTTCCCAGAGCTATCTTGTTGGCTCAGGGGTGTTTATAATACTGGCAAAAAATAATAATCTACCGAAGGCCTCAGTAGGCCAAAAGGCCGGTGAGAAAGATACAAGTAAAAACAAACCAACACTCTACTCTCCGAAAACGTCTCCCCAAAGTGTAAAAGCTGTGAAAAAGGAAACTTCTATGTCATGGGTCATAACGAAAGGGATTGAAAATAAAGCTGCCAATTATCATAATTCCTTTGTGCAAATCTGTGGCACGGCCACACTTGCAATGTCATGAACAGCTCTGTATCCTCACCTCAAAAAAGGTGAGGTAGAGCTGCAAAAAGGTTTAGAAAAGAGCAAGCCAAATAATCAAGGAGACAGCGCAACTCCCCTGTGAGGAAAGATTACAACACTTGGAGCTTTTTGGGGTAGAAAAACGGTGAGCAAGGGAGAATGCAACAGAGGAATACAAAGTGTACACAGTGGGGAGGGGAAAAGTTGGTAGGCTTCTCTCAAAATACTGGAACTCAGGGTCATCTAATGACCATACTTTTGCTTCTCCTAGGCCTAGAAACTGAGGTTTTCCGCTTGTCCTGTACTTTCTAGGCATGGGTCTGAGAGACTTTTTGTTGGACCCACCACTTTCCCCAGGAAAACCTGCCGTTTATCGCTCAATTGGAACAAACGTCAATCCGCTTTTACGCTTGTTCCAATTTGGCAGCAAATAACAAGTTTTCTGGGGGAAAGTGGCGGAAGTGTGGACGAGCCCATAGTTAAAGCGATGACCTTCACTACCACAAGATGTGATAATAGCTTTTGTTTTCACTTGATTTGGTTAACCCCTTTTAAAGCCATCCAAGTTGCTGGCTATCAATGGTTAATAGTCAGAGAGCGATCAGTGTTACCTTAAGTATCAGAGACAGCATGCCTCTGAAGACCAGTTTTGGGGAATCAGAATAGAGGTAAGGGCTGTTATACCCTCCTTGTGGGCTTCCCGCAGGAATCTGGTTGTTTCACTGTGGGGACAGGATGCTAGGCTACATAGCCCTTTGGTCTGATCTAGCAAAGCTCTCCTTATGCCTATTGCATGTTGCAGAGATCCACCACAAAGAACACATATTATATTCCACACCTGCCCCACCTCTGAAACTGGTCAGTCTCCAGCTCAAGATGTCCAAAGCTGGAAGACAGCCATCCCGTACAGAAGATTGCCTCTCTATTATTCATTGCATCTTGCGGATTTCTAAAAGGAGCATCTCCACCCCCATTGTTCTACCCGGACACTGAGATCGAGCGCCAAGGGCCTTCTGGCGGTTCCCTCACTGCGAGAAGCCAAGTTACAGGGAACCAGGCAGAGGGCCTTCTTGGTAGTGGCACCCGCTCTGTGGAACGCCCTCCCACCAGATGTCAAAGAGAACAACAACTACCAGACTTTTAGAAGACATCTGAAGGCAGCCCTGTTTAGGGAAGCTTTTAATGTTTGATGTATTACGGTATTTTAATATTTTGTTGGAAGCCACTCAGAGTGGCTGGGGAGGCCCAGCCAGATGGGTGGGGTATGAATAATAAATTATTATTATTATTATTAAAACCTTTTGTGTGCCTGAACAAGAGTCAAAGACACTTGAACACTGATAATATTTGCAAGGAGATGGGGGGGGGAAGGAGGCAGAGAAGTTGGTAAGGTGACGTTAGCAAAAAGAATGAAGGAAATGTTCTTGAGCTTTGCAAAAGTAACAGAAAAAATCTGACAAGGAGCTCTGTGAAAGTCAAAAGCTGGCAGCTCTTCCGATGTATTGGAACTGTTCTAGTAAGAGATAATACTGTGGTACATCTTTTAGGTTTAGAGTAGAGTATCCTATTCCAGAGAAAAACATTTTCATGCTAAATTAAACAAAGCAGGAGCTTTCATTCATCCTTGGAAAGCTATTTTTAAAAGCCACACGTAAACAAAGCAGGCATATGCATCTATTTCCTGTCTTGGCTACTGTGCAGCCTTGTTTCTTGGAGACAGTCAGTATGCCAGAGAAACGCAGCATTGACAAGGTGTCCTGATGAAAGTGCTTCTGATCATCCAGAAAGTAAGAGTCAACAACTGGCAACCCTGGGTATAAATCTGCCCCACCAATTGCTAACCTCAGAGGCAAAAGAAAAGCACAGATGAACAACTCATGGAACCTGATAGGGAGACTATTAAAAAAGCAGCAGGTGTAAAACTAAAAAGTGCTGCTGCTGTTCAGGGCTTATTTTGGAACAAAAACTTTGCCTGAAAGGTGGGCATGATATACTATTTTCAAAAATTGTACTGTGATTCTTGCCCCCCTTGAGTTCCGTTTTTGAAAATAAGGCAGGACAGATTTTCCCCCTAAAAAATAACATGCTGCTCCATTTACTTTATTTTGATAACAAACAAGTTTTTTTTTTAAAAAAGGAAAAGAAATGAAAGAAAAGTTAATTTTTAAAAAGGGAAAGTTGTCACAATTGCCAGCAAACAAAAGTATAGGATACAGTTTTGTGATTTACCAAGTCCATAATAAGGCATACCAAGAGGGAAGGGATGTTTGGTCTATAATTACAAAGCGTCTTATGGTCTAAATCAAAACAATTACAAGTTTTTATTTAAAAAAAGAAGACGACAAAAAGTAACCTTCAGCTGTACCAAACTGACACACTAGCATAGCTCTTTGGTAGCTCCTGAGCTACCAAATGATCTCAAGCGTTTTGGCCCCCGGACACTTTTAGCTTATGTAAGGTTCCCCCCCTCCCCAGAAGGGTGATTTGCCAAAGCCTGGAATACTATACTGGTAGTTCAGATTATTGAGCTTGAAATAGAACAAGTTTTCTGTGCCACTAAGATCACCCTGAAAATACATGAATTAAGGATGGAGGTCCGTGCCCTCCAAGCATGTGCAAGAGCACCTTTCTCAGAGCATTGAGATAGCCACAGCTGATCCCCAAATATCTACATTTGGCCTGGGCATGCAGTGAGAGTGCAGGACTTCTGAGCAGCCATGCTCCCAAGCAAGGTAAATTAAACTCTGACCTAGATTTTGGTGGTGGAAACATATACAGTGGTACCTCGGGTTACATACACTTCAGGTTACATACACTTCAGGTTACCGACTCCGCTAACCCAGAAATAGTGCTTCAAGTTAAGAACTTTGCTTCAGGATGACAACAGAAATCGTGCTCCAGCAGCGCGGCAGCAGCAGCAGGAGACCCCATTAGCTAAAGTGGTGCTTCAGGTTAAGAACAGTTTCAGGTTGAGAACGGACCTCTGGAACGAATTAAGTACTTAACCCGAGGTACCACTGTAACGTGAACTTCTTTTAAGAAAAAGAAAAGAAAACTGTACCTCTGAACACATGCAGAGTACCTTCACCATTCATTTATAACCCACCCTTCTTCCAAAGAATTCAGGGCAGCATAGCTAGTTCTCCCTCCTTTTAACATCACAACAACCCTGCAGTGTAGGTGGTATGTTAAGAGAGAGGGGGGGGGGACTAGTTTAAAGTCACCCAGTGACTTATGGAGCTGCAGAAGTGGAACTGAACCTCAGGGCCCTTCCAAGATACCCTTTTTATTGTGCATCCATGCTGATTTGAACTCATGGTATCAGGGTGGTCATGTGCAAACCACCATCAATATTGTTTGCACCTGCAAAAGTTTTAGGGCGGACATACTGTTTCATTCCCAAATCAGTGCACGTCCCGTAACTTCCTGCAGAATTTCCACAACTTTTAAAGACCATAAACGTTCCTTTGGTTTTTGTCCGGCTTTTGTTAACACTTTCGTTGCCTCTATAGCAATAATGACATGACATCGGAGAAGCATCTCAGAAGAACAGATAAAACCGACTGAAGTTTGGATGGTCCAGTTGGTGCTCTGATTGCTGGATCAGGACCTGGGAGACCAGGATTCGAATCCACACTCAGCCACGAAGCTTACTGGGTGACCTTGAGCCAGTCCCAGTCTCTCAACCCCGAACCTACCTTGCAGGTTGTTGTGATGATAAAATGGAGAGTAAGGAGAACCACATTGGAGGTTCCTTGGAGGAAACGCTGGTATATAAATGCAATTCAAAAAGAAAATAAGTACCAAAATCCACCACTATCGTTGCATCATCCCCCCCCCAAAAAAAACACAGTCTGGAGGGGCTCCCAGTCTCTCCAGTCCTAGCAGCCCAACATTGCCTTGGCGGGTGGAAAAAGTTCCTAAGATTGAGAAGCCAGGATTCCTAAACAGCCCAGGTGGCTCTGCTTTGCGAATGAGCCACGCAGGTAACAGATGAGGGAGATCCGTTGCTGAATCCCAGATTTGTGGGTGTGCGGCTGGGGAGAATACCGAGCCATTTTATAGTCCAACAGAAGCACCAGCTTTGGTGGACGTCTGCCCACTTCCTGAGAGCCTCAAAAGCTTCTACCCCCATAAATCTAACAGCCTTTAAAGGTGCCAGGAGATGCTTTCGACGAAAGAGCAGAAGACGCCAACCTCTCTGCAACTAACTCCCTCAACCTCTTCTACCCTGGAGAGGAGCGAAAAGCTTCAAAATATACACCCACCCACCACACCTTCCTGCACCTGCCTCCTCAGCGGCTGCGATCCTGTCCCAATGAACGTACTTCTGAGCAGACATAATAGTGAGCGTTCCTGACCAGGACCTGGGAGACCAGTGTTCAAATCCTCGCTCGGCCATGAAGCTTGCCGGGTCACCTTGGGCCAGCTGCTGTCTCTCAAACTAACCTACCTCGCAGGATTGCTGTGCAGATTAAATGAGGAGCAGGAGGGAAAAGGTGAGGCATAAATGCAATCGATAAAAATAATAAGCAAGATATGTAAGCTTGCAGTTTTGTGGTGTTGTTGCTGCAAAGAGGTCCCTCACACGCAAAAGAAGGACCCCCTTCCAGGAAGTGCGTCTCCTTTTTCACTCTTTCTCTCGCTGTCCTTTTCTGCCTGACAATCATAGAACCGTAGAGTGGCAAGGCACCCCAACGGTCATCTAGTCCAACCCCCTGCAATGCAGGAATCTTTCGCCCAAAGCGGCACTCGAACCCACCACCCTGAGATTAAGAGTCTCATGCTCTGGCTTTTAAACCTGGGAGACTTCCCTCCGCTCATCCTTGGGAAGGACGAAACAAAACTCTTCCTTTCCGGCACATTTTACATGCAAATTACCCGCCCACGATCCCGGAGATCTGCAAGCTTGTGGCGGCGGCACTTTTCTCCTTGTGCTTTTGCCGCAGCGATGGGGGGGGGGGGGAATCACCCTTCCAAACGCGCAGCGACCCTCGGTCTCCTATCCGGCGAAACCGACTCACCTCGCTCAGCCTGCGCTCCGGGAGGCGGTCCCTCGAGGTCAGGTCTTTCCCCGCCCGCCTCCAACCCGGCAACCCTGCGGCGCTGCAGCAACGAAGGGACCCGGCGTCCGGATCAGAGGCGCCGCCGAGCCATGGACAGCCTCCCGGATTCTTCGGCTAGCGGCAGAGACTGCGGCGTTAAAAAAGGCGGCGCGGCGCGCAACACTCGAAAGCAGCCCGACGCGTCTCCCTCGCTTGCCGGCAAAGCTGTGGGAGCAACGAATCACGCCGCCGGTTTTTTCAGTAGGGGGAAAAGGAAGCTCTAGGGCGCCACCGGCAGGCCGCCGGGCTTCAAGGCGGCTCGGGGGACCGCATACCAAAAAATGGCAGCCGGGAGAGGTGGGGAGGCAGAGTTTATTTTCTAGGGCGCGCGTATTTGCGCAGCGAGAAGAACGCACGACCCCGAAAGTTGGAACAGCTCCCCGATGAGGAAAGGTGGCCGCACTGGTTTTTTGTTTAGTTTGGGTAAAAGGCGAGTAAAAGGGAAGCGTGGAGTACAAAATAATGCGTACGGAATGATAAAAGTGGCCAGAGCAGCAGTTCTCAATTTTCCCCTCTCTGGGCCACACTTTCAGCATAAAAATTTGCTCACCGAATTTTTTTCTCTATTAGAAATACATTGGAAAACGAAAAGAAACAACCCCTAGCGGTGCTTGATGAATAACATAGAACACAGCTGCTTTATAATATAATCAGGGGACATCCAGTAAGTATAAAACAATGCAACTACCGAAGAACACGAATCATTCCCAAAATATAATTATAAACGGCAACTGGGATTGTCCTCAGCTTCACTGGATGCTCTTCCTCTCCTTCTGAAAAGATATCTGTCCATATTCTGCAAATAAATAAATTGTGGTAGTATACTATATTACACAGAAATGTCGAAACGTTTACTGGAATGTCCTTGAATCTTCTCATCCTCTTCTGCCAGACCTGTGTGGTGCACCATGCCCTTTGAGAACCACTGGGATAAATAAAACTTTTCCTGCTCTCCTAATACTGAATGTTGGCTAAAGCGGAATGTTGGAAGGTTCAGGGCAGGCAAAAAGAAAATGCTTTCCCCCCATGGTGCATGTAGTTAAACTGTGGAACTCCCTGCCACAAGAGGCAGCGATAGCTACCAACTTGGATGGCTTTAAAAGAGAATTAGAGAAGTTTGTGGAAGGCTGTCAGTGTATGCTCCACTTCTACTGTCAGCTTGGGTTCATTCTTAATATCAGCCTGGTGCCCTTCAGATTTTTTTGGACTGAAACGATGATCATCCCTGACCTTTGGCCATTCTGGCTGGTGCTGATGGGAGTTGTTCAACACATCTGCTTGGGAACAGATGCTGTCTAGCCTTGGCCCCTTTTCAATACCACTTCGAATTATGAACTTACGGGATGCGCTTTCGAGTGAAGTAGCCTCTGGAGCAATTTGTGACCAAATTCCACGTCCATATATATTTGCTTTATTCTCAGCAAACATTTTTCTTTAAGAGCCCTTTAACAAGATATAACAGGGTGCTTTGGGGAGCCAGCTTGTTTCTTCACTTTGAAAAGAAGCACGTTTCCAATCAGTTGTTACTGCTCAGAGGTTATTTTTAATTCAAGGTACTCTCTTAGAAATGAGACGAGGCTTGCAAGAAGGGGAGAAAGAATCAATACCGGTCCATAGAGGTTTTCCGGCAAATTGTCTTTGCAACCCACATGAGGTCTGCTTCAATGCAGGCCTGGAAATTGGCGATGAGTCAAACCCCGATAGGACTAGAATCTCTGTTATTCTTTTTCCATAATGGCTCTTAGGCATTGAGCTAGAGGCTTGTGTAACTACCATCCCCCCCTCCCAAAATATGCCACTCCCTGAAAAGCCAGCGCCTTAGGTACATGCTCCCCCACTTTGAAATAATATATATATATTAACAGCAGAAAGATGAAGAAAAGATCTGGCAGGTTAAGTGCTAGAATTCAGGTCTCAGCCCATTCATATGGTCCTTCTGTCTTTGGGCCTTGTTCAAGATTTACCTCCATCTCCCACCTGCTTAATTGGTCTCTTAATCAATTGCTTTCAATTCCCCTCCTCAGAAGCATGCCTGAAGGTCCACCTTTTGAAAGAAAGTGAGGCATTGATATCCCCCCCCTCTAAAGCAAGCAACCCACCCTCCCATTCTTCAGAAAGTACATGCCCCTTAGTGAAGCAGGCAGCAGAGGCATTAGTGTGCTATGTTGACACCTATTGTGGCATTTTATTTTATTTTTTTTAAAAAAGCAAAACTCACCCAAGTGGAATGTTAAAGTTCGAAAGCTACATAGCAGAGGGGGAAGCAATAATGTTTCTTCCATGAGATCATTGGTGCCAACTGCCTGGTGCAAACGCAGTTTGATAGCACCACCTACAGGCCACATTTGTGCTCACAAAAGGCTGGATTAAAACGCTCCCATCAGCAATCTATCCTATCGCTGTGGGAACCCGTGAAACTTTGTGACTTCTATTAATTTTCAGTATCTATTTGAGGTATGCAAATCAACCTCGCACCATGAAACTTAAAAAGAGACACCTGATTGCAAATGGCTTCAGTATATTTTTCTCTATAGTGTTGTTGTTTAGTCATGTCCGACTCTTTGTGACCCCATGGACCAGAGCACGCCAGGCACTCCTGTCTTCCACTGCCTCCCACAGTTTGGTCAAACTCATGCTGGTAGCTTCGAGAACACTGTCCAGCCATCTCATCCTCTGTTGTCCCCTTCTCCTTGTGCCCTCCATCTTTCCCAACATCAGGGTCTTTTCCAGGGAGTCTTCTCTTCTCATGAGGTGGCCAAAGTATTGGAGCCTCAGCTTCAGGATCTGTCCTTCCAGTGAGCACTCAGGGCTGATTTCCTTCAGAATGGATAGGTTTGATCTTCTTGCAGTCCATGGGACTCTCAAGAGTCTCCTCCAGCACCATAATTCAAAAGCATCAATTCTTCGGCGATCAACCTTCTTTAAGGTCCAGCTCTCACTTCCATACATCACTACTGGGAAAACCAGAGCTTTAACTATACGGACCTTTGTTGGCAAGGTGATGTCTCTGCTTTTTAAGAAGCTGTCTAGGTTTGTCATATAGTAAGCTGGCTATAAATCAACTAAATAAAGGAAAGAAGGTCTTCACACTGTGTTGGAATACCCAGCAAGCCGTAAGCAAGATGAATTTCCCTACATAAGGAATTACAAAGTCTGGGTACAGTGGCATATCCAGGATGCTCCCATTCACGTGAATCGAAGGGGACAGCTGAGCACCCTCAAAGGGATGCGTGTGAAGAGAATCAATGCCGGTGGAGGGTGCTCCATGCATTTCACAGAATCGTAGAGTTGAAAGGGATGATGAGGGTCATCTAGTCCAGCCCCCTGCAATGCAGGAATCTTTTGGCCGACACGGGGCTCGAACCCATGACCCTGGGATCAAGAGCCTCATGCTCTACTGACTGAGCTATCCCAGCACTGGAGCCCCAGGGTCTGCAGCAAGATGGTTGATTGGGGTGACTTGAGAGGAAGGTAGGTGCAGTTGTTGGCTATCTCAAAAGACAAGAGTGCACCTCAAACTGTTGGAGAGTTACAACACCTTCTGTGGCTGCAGAGACATATTTTATTGCAAGAGGGGCAGATGAAGGCATCCCGCTTTGCTGATACAGGTGCACCATGGCGTTTCAAAGAACCTCACTTCCTATCACTGCCCTATTCACACATGCATTAAGCAATCTCAGTGCAGTGCTGCCAGCCAGTGTTTCATATTTAACAGAATACGGATTGCTGTATATTTAAGGTTTGCTTGCAGGGGGATGAAATCCCTTGTCCAAAACATTGTGAATCAATTGGTCTAAACATGAATGGTTCTGAAGCTAAGCAGCGATCAGCCAGCAGTGAGTCTTCATCTGTGAATCAATCCTGCCCCCCCCATTGCCTTAGTGTTACTAGACCAAAAGGACTGGCCCACAGATTGGCTTGTTGACCAGCCCCCTTTTTCCTTTTCCTTTTTTGAATGAACAAAAAGGGAAGCTGATGGAAATGTTTACCGGCTCCGTTGCCTGGATACTGGAAGACAATTTGTCGGCTGCAGTCAATGGAGTGCCATGAAGCATTTGGATGAAAGGCCACGTTCTTTGTTAGCAAATGGTCTGAAGAAGGCCAACTAAAGATTTCGCTTCATAATCCACTTAACGTGAGATATGAAAAAAATCTACGTGGGTGGCACAATGGTTAGTAAGGCCATTGTACTGACTGATATGGCTACCTATAGTGTCAGGCAGTTCTTTGTTTGCTTGTTTGTTTGATCCTTCCTTCCTTCCTGCCTGCCTGCCTGCCTGCCTGCCTGCCTTCTCTTTTTTTGGATACAAATTGCTGTATCCTATTAGAAAGGTAGGGACGTGGGTGGCGCTGTGGTCTAAACCACAGAGCCTAGGACTTCCGGAGGCGGCGCCAGCGATTAATGGCGGATTTCCTCCACCGGAGGAAATCTCACTGCGAATTAAGGGTCGGATCCCGCTTTCGGCGTAGCGGGGGACCCCAAAAAATCACAGGCGGGAGAAGCCTGTGAGCCTGGAACCCAGCGGGCACATTTGGTGCTCCCCCAACCCGGTAAGAAGCCCGGCAACGGGCTTTGAAGCGGAGAGCGCTGTGCTGTGGGCTGTCTGCTCGTTCGTGGTGTGAAGCCGCAAGCTGTTGATCGGAGAGCGCTGCCTTTCTTCCTTAAAATCCGGACCTGAAAATCAACGATCCGTGAGTAGGATACAATTTAAATTGGAACTGTATAAAACTGGAATTTGGCCGAAAACGGAAAGAGGCTCAAAAAGGAAGTCAGCCTCTTTATTTGTAGATAAAATAAAGCATTGAACTTGAAAGCGGAAGCAACTGGAAAGTACGTTTTAGCGGACTTTAATCCAATCATCTAACCTGGACTTTTCCCTTTTCAAATTGAGGGAAAAGGGGGAGAATTGTGGATGTGATTTCTTCACAAAGAGTGGAAAAGAAGGGATTGAACCACCACTCAATTCCCTGGGAAAGGATCTCCAGATCTCAGGAAAGAAAGAGAGGTACTGTCTTGTAATATATTTTGACAGCTAGTCCAGCACAAGAAATAAAAGTTTGGACAATTTATGTGAATATATATCTCCTGGTCTTAAGTTAAAAACTCTGAATAGACTGTTTTCATCCTGAATAAACTAGGGGGGCTTAAAAAAAAAGGAATTAAAGTATCCAAGAACTTTTATGAC